TCTTTGGGTATCCAAATTCGTTTTTGTAAACCCCTTCATCTTTATAAACAAGCTGTTACCCACGACGTCGGTCGCGTCGCTTCCCGTTGTTCTTGCAAGTTAAATCTGTAAAGATAGATAGCGTCGCGGACATTTTTTTAATAATTTAAAGCAGAATTATTGTTTGATACATATTTTTTCAGTATCTTGAACCATTTTTGAAGCCTCGGATGAATAATTTTTTCCAATGTTTTTCACATTTCCCGCTTTATCTTCACAATTATTAGTCATAGGGCGATATTTTATAGCTCGTAGCTTTCCTCGATAAATGCTTTAACCGAGACAAAAAATAATCTTTCAATGCGAACCCGTAGTTCCTGAGATTAGCGGGTTCAAACAAACAAACAAACTCTTTAGCTTTATATATTAAAGTATGTATAGATTTTAAACTACCCACGTGCTCTGATTAAATGATTGTAAAAAAAATTTCAATGAGCTGTCTGTGAGCTGATCGAAAAAAGTTTATATACAACCTTTTTTTGTTTCGTATATAAAATTGGTCGTTATTGCTTGTACATCGATTCGGTGGATAGGCTTTTGAAAATTTCTGCATTAAAAGATATCCATAAATTAATTTTGTTCAACTTCATTTTGCATTTATTCGTTACAAGGTATTGCAAAGTTTTAAAATTTAATATGAAAATATTTTAGTAAGTTTTTGTTGTTATACAAAAAAAAACTCCATTTAATATCACTTTTAAATTATACATTGGCTCATTAACCAGAAGGTTAAGTCGAAGGTCAGGTGAAAAATTATAGACTGCGTGCAAATTCACCACATGATAGTCATTAGTTTCTGATATTGCCAATAAAAAATATTTTTATCTCCAGTTTTTCTTATTATTATATAAACCGATGTGTACTCTTCGATTATTCTGCGCGTGAGTTGTTGTGTACTTCGTTACATAAAGCATATTTTCTTATCCGGAAAATAAAATAAAAAATTGCATAATAAAAAAAAAAAATTGCATTGTTGATTTTAAATAATGCTCGACTTGTTTCATAAATTTAAATAATCAAGTATTCTTTTTTTTGGTCGAGTAATTTTTTTTATTAGTCTGTAACATTTTGACAGATATGTAAGACATAATTCATTAAAACTACTGTATTTTTGACACCAACTTTACGTAAGTGTACAACTTCATCATTCTGTGAATTTATTGAGCTTTGGGCAACGTATAGACTGTATGTTCATATTTTTCACTTAATTGGATAATTCATTATTCCCATAAAAAAATATATTTTGCCGAAAGTTTACTTTTCCAAGCAAATTAAATTAGGACGAAGACTGTTTTTTAGTTAAAGTTGTAGTCGAAGTGTGCTTTTCTTCAGATTAAAATCATATGTACTATAGTATAATAAAATAAATGTACCTTTTCTACTACTACGTTGACGAAGACTTTACACGTTTACTTACGAACTTAACTGTTTCCTTTAGATATAAGCCCCGCGGGTTTTTAAGATTTTAAAATAATATTTATCTGCTAACACTTTATTTCACAAGAGAAAAACACCGAGACTTATATACTTAAAGTTATGGAGTTCAACGAGCGGCCTTATCGCTAACCAGCGATCTCTTCCAGGCAACCTAAGATGAAAGAAGAGAAAATGTACGGGAAAGCAAGGTGGGTGAAACCAAATATACAATCTTGAAAATATCAAAACAAAACAAACACACAATTTTTCGCGCTATGCTAGGACAAAAATTGTGTTATACGTGCTATTAATGTAAATTACATTATACATTGTCTTTTTAATTATTTTGCACTAATAACCTCTTACACTGTTCCCTCAAATAACTGTCGCTGCCGAAATGATGAGCTGTCTCTCTCCTTTGCGAATACTTCCGCAAGTTAGAAAAAGACGAAGTTATTTCACCTTGACATGAATGTGAAGTATCTCTTCTCTTTCGCATTCTGTAGATTTGTTTACTAGATACAGTTGTATCTTGTAGAAGAGATATATATCTTTGTGTCAGTGTCACGTTATATCTACCTAACACTGCTATTTGGCGATAAAACATACTCAATGGCGTCTGATATACCTTGTCAAAGGCTTTGATGGAATGGTATTTGCAATTTGTAATTTATTACCCTAGTAGGATGATACTACAATTAAAATAGTATCAGCACAACAAGAATAGAAGAAAACAATTGAAAAACTTTTGTACTTAAAATGATACTGAAAGCTTACAGTACGAGAATGTTTATTTATTAGATTGAGGACTGTCGACATTTTATCACAATTACTGACATATGTAACTTAAACTTTAAATATATAAAAAAATGTACAACATGCCAAATTGAACAAAGACAACTTGTAGACTGAATTGTACAATTTGTATCTATATATGTGATATTCTTTCGCTCTCGCTTAATCTATACTAATATATAAATCTGAAGAGTTTGTTTGTTTGAATGACTCGACCAATTTAAACGGTTCAAGATACAAAAAAAAAATATGTATGAAAGTATGATTCCTCTTTGATAATTAAAAAAACATGTTCCCTACGTCTATATGTCTATCTTTTAAGATAACTAAAAAATAATTAACGGGACGCGACCGATGTCGTTGGCAACAGCTTAAATTTACCAAAGATGAGGAAAGGATTGCAAAAACAAATTTTGATGCCCAAAATAGATATTCTATGCAGACGAAGTCGCTGACACAGCTAGTGTTCGATGAATGAGAGTAATTTTATTGTCTCACTACATGTACAATATTAACGGTTTATTTTTTCTAATTAGAAAATAACTTTTCAAACTGTAGTGATTTCTCTTTTAAATAAATAATTGTGACCCTATAGGCGGTCCCCTAAGCGTCCCCGTTCGAATATGCTACATGACAAATCAAATAACAAAATTCACACCCACACATGAATGCTCTACTTTAGTAGATTATTGGAAATAATTGAAAGCTACTGTTACAGTAGTAATCTAATATATGCATCATTGAATGCTAATGTCGTTATTGCCGTCACAAGTTCAAAATGTCAGGGGATCGGGCCCATTAAGCTGGCGCTGGCGAAAATTTATAACTATTCAAATTACTTGAAACGAAAAATCATGAAGTACATTTAAATAAAACACGTTTTAACGGTTGGAAACACGAAGTGGACTAAATATGGTGAGTGTCAAGTCAAGCGTTCTCCGACTTTAAGCACGCCGAAAAGCATCTATAAAATTAGGCTACTGTTAATTTGAACTATATTATCAGTTGAAATAAAACACTTTAACGGTTTATAACGGAATATATTACTGTGGCCACGGGGAGGCGGCTGCTGCAAAGCAGCTTATACTTTAAGTTTTAAACAGTTAAAAATATAGCATATCATTGTCTTTCGGGCTGTTCGGCCGATGTGACTTATACACACATCGCAAACACGCGGGCCACATAACATCGAAGGAAGTTGCACTGTTCGTCTATTTTGGCTTTGGACAATTGGAAACCCACAAACTAAGGCCGAAGGGTGATCACACTTTACGGTCTTTCACTGGTGACTAGTATGAAATTTCGATATTCCTATGAATATCATCTGTTCTCATGTTTTACCCGGTAGTAATGGAACCCACTATTTACTGATTATGACTAACATTGCTACACAAGGGCCAATGAGGAATTCCTATAAAAGATGGAAGCGATTATGATTGAAACACTTTAACGGTTTAAAACGCGATATATTAGTTAAACTTATTTTAAAATGATTTTTAACTCCGGCCCGACGTTTCGGATGCTTTCCAGCAGCCGTGGTCACAGGGAGCGTTAAACTAATATATCGCGTTTTAAACCGTTAAAGTGTTTTATTTAAATGTGTACTACTCGCGTAAACTATATACAGTATTCGATTATGATTGGTTATTGTTTATTTCAACCGCACCGAAATTGTGTATGGGACGTGCATTGAATTGATATAATAAATTATCGAATCAAAAATATAATATTTATATTAACTTACTGTCAGTAGTTTACGCGAGTAGTAGGCAAACATAAAATAAAATAACTTTAAACGGTATAAAACGCTTATTTTTACTTTAATTTAAGTACGGCTGAAGTTTACTGGCAATAATACTGCCTAGGGACGACGAACTATTCTTCTGAAATTCTTTCCCGCATTGCTGTACAAGGAGAAACGGGATTTATTGCTAAAAAATAAATAGTGGTCTAGTGGTAGGTGACTTACGCTAATGACATAAGGACTCGATTCTCGGTCGTACACTAATTTTATATTTATAAGATTCCTATTTCCATATAATTTTGGCTAAAATCATTCGTTAAATTTTCTTTCTTTTTTATCACTTAATACGAACTTTATTAATTTACCTTTATTTCTTACTTTTTCTACGAGGGTAGATAACAGTAATGTTACTTGGTTGTTGTAATTTATGTTACATAGAATATCCTCACTTTGTAAATAGGTTATTTATTAATCTATGCTAATATAAAGCTGAAGAGTTTGTTTGAACGCGCTAATCTCAGGAACTATTGGTTCGAATTGATACATAATTTTTGTGACGATTGCGCCAATTATTGAGGAAGGCTTAGGCTATAAAAATTAGGCTGCGATCGATAGGAGAGAAGCAACGGAGGAAAATATAAAAATAGCGAAAAAATTATTAATCTTTGAGGGCTTCCTACGATTCAAGAAACCGAAAACCGTACGTGTATGTGTGATTTTCTTTATAGATATTCCATGCGGACGAAGTCACAAACACAGCTAGTTAAGAATAAAACAAATTTATCATATGTCAAATGTGTGTTTTGAATCTATGCCCTACAAATTTTAATGACCGTTGAAACAACGAAATTGTATTTATGTCTGCAATCACTTATTCAATAAGAAACGGTTGATACTGAAACACATTTTTAGTGCATAAACAAAACATATCAAATAAGTTAATAAAAATACATTTGATATTACGTTAATGCATGTAGCCTTCAAACTATTTAAAATGTTGACTTACTTTGTAATTCCACTTGCTGATTTATAAGAGTTTTAATAACATAACAGATTACAAGAACACCGATAAAGAACGCAATTGTTAACATCAAATGAAAATAACACAACACAGCACAGCCATTAAAGTATTTTTAAAAACGCACGTCTTCCCGCCAACTAATTATGTCCGAAGTGTCCCTTTCGCAATCAATGTCAGCGGCATGCCAATAAAATCAAAACGTCATGTTATCACCGCGGCCACAGTAATTATTAATTAGTTATGATCAAGTGCGCATCATTTTGATTCGCGATAAAATTTTATTTCCATACACGCGGACTAGCATGCTTCTTTCACGCGGTTTGGCATTTGACAGCATTCAATGTATCTATATTAGACAAATTCAGCGCGACACCGCTCGATTCGAAATACCGTCTAAAATATAAAAATTGTATGGCGAGGTTTAAAGCGCTTTTCGCGATGTATTTTCATGAAACTATCGTACGATCTTTGTGAACTCGTGGTTGTTAACTGATAATGCGATATTCTTGCCAATCATAATACGGCGGTGGTCGGCCGACGTATCTGAATCAATGAGATTCTTGGTATAGGCATAACTGTGCCATACGGTTTTACTCGCTCAGTTTAAAACTTCTTGTACTTAAAGTAAGAAATTATGGTAAACCTAAACATACAGGCAACATCTTCGTTAGTTTTCCCAAACTACGAACCTATTGACTATTACTAAATCGGAGTATGTATACAAAAAATTGAAGTTACCGATAACCTCTCTTATTTATTTAATCATCTGAGACTATTACCATTTTAACGGTTGAAGAAACGAAGGGGCTCCCGTAACCGTAATGATATGTTAATAAGTTTAACTAATATATTTTGCGTTTAAACCGTTAAAGTGTTTTTTTTAAAGTGTACTATTCGCGTTAACTACAGACAGTAGGTAATTATTTACGGATCCATTTATCAAAATTTGCAGACGAACCCTAAACTCTGTTTATTTATGTGGATGCTGAATGGTACCTAATTTGCTTCGATTTCAGAGCATAATTGTGACCTTCTCTACGTCCTTTTCTCATTTATCAGTAGGTATGCTTAGACAACATTTTATGTACGCGTCCTGTCAAGGATTATCTATCTACAAAAATCACCATTTAATGTATGTGTATTCACCTTTTCGTAGATCATGGCGGCCTTTATTATTTTTTTTATTTATTTATTTAAACTTACAATCAAAAAAAAAATCACTTATTGTGCAGATATTTTAATTAAAGTTTATCTTAGTTAATTTTTTATCTTCACCTTTTAATTTATTGTGGATGTAATGTTACATTAATAAAAGAATGATATTATAAAAAAGAATAGTTAATTATATTACAATAAAGAAAAATAAACTAATAGGAAATGAAAAAATCTAGTATAGATCAAAGTAATTAAAAGCGATGTGTTTTTTTGTTTTAAAAACAACAAGCAAACCTTTTCTTATTTCATCTAAGTACCTACGAGCGACTAAAAATTGTTAAAAAACGTTCCTGAATGTAAAACTTTTAGACTTAGCTGGTACAAGATTTAAAGATTAATAACTAACTCCTCAAGCAAACTAAGATTACAATTTAGTATGATAATTACGTAAATCCTACATAATTATTTCCCTTGCCCAATAAAATTAAGATTAAATGGAATACCAGCTGGTTTTACTAGCTATAATTTCCTGCGCTTGAAGCCTTGATAAATAGATTGAGGATATTATGTTTGTCGTGTGGGATCACAGGTAGAGAAATTCGTAGGTGATATCGAGAAAATAAAAATTACGGCGCTCATTTCTACATAAATACAAAATGCACTAGTAATGATTCATTTAACGTACGTTACTAAGTAACGATGAACACTCGTTACTTAGTAACGAAAGCTTTGTACATTTTATTAATGTAATTCATAAAAAATAAGCTTTCGAGTCTGTATTTTCGAAAAAATAAATTTATAGTTAAAACTGATTCACGTAACAACGTAAGTGATGAATCATGCAATTTATAACTAAATTTCTTGTTACATTGTACCACAGTTTTGTATTGGATTTTTATGACAACATTAATTTACACCGATGTCAATTGTCAATCTGTGTCTATCAAAATAAAGTTTTAAAAGAAACTTTTCAGGCGACTTGTTTACATTATATATCAAAGAAAAACTGATCTAAACTTGTCTACATTCTAAATACTTGAACCTTATGGTTAGAATTTGTTGTGGTTATGGATGGACGTGATAATGAATTAACGACATTTGAGCAAGCACTTACAAATAATTCAAAGCGAAAGCAGACAATATATGGTGAAGAAAATAGGAAAGGAGTTCCAAATCAACATAGAATAGAAGATGTTATTCGAGATGTATCAAAACAGATTCAAGCTATGCATAATGCCAGTTGTTATAAAAATCAAACTTATCCTCTTAAAACTGAATTCCCAAGGAAGCCCGAGCTTGTACCGTTAGCTAAGCTGTGTGATCTGGTAGCTTTATAACTTTCTTAAACTTTTTCTAAAGTTAATAATGTGCAAAGTTGAATTAGATAATACTAATTAATTTAAGCATAGAAGTTGAATGTCAAGTGTTATGGAAATTTCACAATTGATATTTCTACTAATTTAAAGCCTGTATTGAGGCAAGTGAGGGATCAATCTTATTTGAAACGCTGTCGTTAACGACATGCAGAGTAGAACTTATAATATTCTTACTATATTAATGATTATGATAATGATGATTTCTTTTTACAGCAATTACAACAAGGAAACCCTAATAAATTTGAAACACAGTGTGTTTCTGACACACAATTAATAGATATTGTTAAAGTTGCTGAAGAAAATGATTCTAAAACAGGAGTAACACAAGAGTTTGATAGCACATTTTGTGAAATGTCACATAATTTTCATGATGCTAAAAAAATGATGATTGATGATTTTAAAGATTTTACTACTAACAATAGTATGACCATAGATACTGGTCAACAAAGAAATAGTTCTAGTGTGGAGTCTATTTCAAAAAGGAATGATGTCATAAAAGATAAAACTTATTGTATATCAGATCATACTGGCAGAAGTAATATGGAATCAGATATGGAAGACATGGAGTTGTTTGAAGCATTGGATGATTTAGAAAAAAGCCCAATACTAAGTAAAATTAAACCCATCTTTCTGAAAACAAAACCACCAGGGATAGTTTGTAAGTTAGACTATTTTGAAAAGTTTGAGGCTTTAGCTGTACCTATAATTAAGGAAGAACCTGATTTTCAATTAGCAAAAAAACTCATCAACTCTCAAATTATGAGTAATGAACTTTTATTTGAAACAGACTCCGGCCCATGTTTAAAGAATCAGAAACGGGACCAGAGTCCTGTTATCTCTTTAAAAACTGACAAAACTAAGAGTACACTAAGAAGAATTAGTGAAATATCAATATTTACTCAAAAAATCTTGGAGGATGAGATTCTATTTAGTAGTGATGAAGAAAATTATTTTTCACCAGTACATGTTAACACATTGGCACCGACTTGTGCTCTACAACATTTATCCCAGAATGAGAGAGATGCATTTGATCAAACTATATATGTGGGTTTTCAAACCGCTAGTAATAAGTCCATACAGATAAACTCAGATTCATTTATAAAAGCTAAGAACTTATTGATTGAAAATGACAATGTAGAGCTAAATGAACTTGTTAATGAAATTGATAAAAGATCCAAAAATTGCAACAATATAGTTCAACATGACACTAAACAAACACGCTCCACAATCATCAGAGACAACATTAATCGATCTGATATAAAGAAGTGTTCCACACCATGTAACAATGCAACTAATCAAAGTTTACTTAAAATTAATGATGACAGTATCATCAAGGAATTTGAGACTAGTTTGGTAGAAGAGGGTATTATGTCACAGGAGTCAGAGAACATAAACAGTTTTAAAGGTTTTCGAACTGCAAGCTTCAAACCCATACATATTTCTGAGCAAGCTCTTGAAAAAACAAAAGGACTATTTTTTGATATCGATAATGAAGAGTATGAAGGAAGCCCCCAATACAAAACTGAAGAGCAAAATTTTGCTTTGAATGACTCCACAAATAAATTATTAAATAATAGTAATATGTTAAATGGGTATGATATAGATAAAATAAAAAATGCCAAGACATCTGTTATCGGATTCTTAACAGCTAGCAACAAAGATATTAAAATTTCTAAGAAAGCTTTGCAAAAATCTAAAAGTATATTTCAGAATATTAATGATGAAACATCTGAAAATGATTATGCACCCATTGATTTTGATCAAGTTATTACAAACTTTAAAACAGAAAAACCAGATCAGTCTTTAACTTTAAAAAATGCATCATCAGAAAGTGTACAACAATTGATACACAATAAAAGCATATCAAATAAAGTGTATAAGCCAGGGTTACAATTTGAAGGATTTAAGACTGCAAATAACAAATCGATTACTGTATCAGCTAAGTCTGTAGCTAAATATAAAAATATATTTGAAGATATTGTTCTTTCTCAGCAACACAACATAAGTGAAAAGCACAACAGCACAAGTACTATGCACAAAAGTCCTAAGAGTGTTGCAAAAACTTTAAATTTCGCTTTTCAAACTGCTTCACAAAAACCAGTAGAGATATCAGAAGAATCTTTAATGGCAAGTCAAAAATTGTTAAACAACTCAGAAAAAAAAAAATCAAATATCACATGTACAGGTTTACAAACAGCTAGTAATAAACATAAATGTAAAATTAAAGAAAACCATGATAACGGAATAACAACTCACATTGGATTTGGCTTAAATACAAATGAGTCATTACCGACATTAAGATCTTGTAAAGTTCCACAAGCAACAAATGCATTATTGCCATCATGTGTAGTGAAAGACAGATATTATGCTGATATGGCAAACGAATGTAATGATAATGTTAATGATAAAACATTTATAGGTTTTCAAACTGCCAGTAATAAAAAGTTAACAATATCTAAAGAAGCTTTAAATATGTGCAAAAACATTTTTAGTGATATAGACATTGAAATCAATAATGATTTCACTAATGATCTTAATGCGAATAACAAACAGAGTATTAACAGTGTCGTGGAAGGGTGTAAGGACAAACTCATGAGTGATTTAAAATGTGTGTTTAAAACTGAAAATCATAACATGGTTGATGTTTTACAAGAGGCAGTTATAGCTACTAGTCAGAACAAATTTAATAAAGAACAATTTAAAGGGTTTCATACAGCTAGTAAAAAAAATGTTCAGATTTCAAAAGAAGCTTTAGCAAAAACTGCAAATATATTTGATGGTATTGATTTTAACATGATTAAAAAAGAATATGATGTATTGGAACAGAGTGCTAAAAAGTCGTTTTCATCTATTTTCAATGGTGAAACTTTAGATGGTCAAAAAGACAATGAAGTGCAAAACCTTTTCAACACCCAAGTCATAAATAATTTTGAAGATACACTGTATACAGAAGATTTTCTTAAGGATAGAACTCCATTAAAATCTAAGAGATCTGGAAGTCCTTTACTATCTTGTCCTAAGGCAAAGAAACGAAAATTTGTAGTTCCGGCGAGCGTAGACGCATTAACTAAAGAAGTAGAAACGGAGAACATTCACAATAACAACATCAATGTTTTCACATTTGACAGAAAATTTAAGAAACAAAAGCTTTTCAAATTATACGATCTCTTAGCAATGGAAAAGGAAAGTGACACAGACGCTAAAGCAGACAATTACATTTACAATTTTAATATTGAAAATATTTTAGAATTCCAGTTTAGGAAAGAGAGAAATGAAATTGAAAATAAAGATTGGAATACAGATGATATCAAACAGAAATTCCTGGATTCTGTAAATAAAAAGTTAGTTCCAACTGGATGGATTGAGAACCATTTAAAGTTAATAATTTTTAAGCTGATCAATTATGAGAAGAAGTTCCCATATGTCTTGAATAGAGTTTGCACAGTAAGAAACGTTATGGAACAATTAAAGTACAGATATGATCGAGAGTTGTACAATGTCCAAAGACCGGCATTTAGAAAGATCTTGGAAAAAGATGATGTGCCAAACAAAACACTTGTTTTATGTGTAGTTGGAGTGTATTCCAATGGTACTTATATAGCTAGGTGTGTTTTTTTAATGATTCTAATAGGCTTTTTTTTTAAAATAAGGCAGTTCATTAACGGCTTCAGAATCAAAATATATACAAACAATGTACACATACTTTATTCAATAAGATTTCTTTTGGGACAATAGCAATTTTCGATTTCAGTGTTCCCAATCACATGGACAACTTGGAACTATTATTGACAGATGGATGGTACTGCATAAAGGCGTGCATTGATCAAGTTATAGCCAAACACGTATGTGATGGTAAAATAAGTGTTGGCACAAAGTTGATGACTCATGGTGCGGAGCTAATCAATTGTGAGCAAGGAATTGCTCCTTGGGAGGTAACTAAACTAACTTATTTATGGCATGCCCACTAGCTTGACGATTACCTTGTTTGAGGGTATAATATCATAAGATGTTTTTGTGATATTTTATAACTTTTACTATTTGGTTCCGAAAGATTTACTTTACTAAGTTTATCACAATAACCAACTCATTTCTGTTTTTTGAAAGGACACCTCATCAGTTCGATTAAAAATTTTCGGTAATTCTTCGCGCCGCGCCCGATGGGATGAGCGCCTCGGTTACCATAGTAACCCGGCCATCTTGACGCAGCTGTCATCTGTCAAACCTGAGGGTGGGAAAGTGTCAAGAATGCGACTGTTTGTGACTCGAGTATATCCGACACTTTATATTGAGAAATTTGATGATGGCAGCACAGGTAAAATAATAGTTATTAGTTTTGATAGTTAAAATCATACAGTGACTCTTTAAAATGTTGTTTATTAACACCATTTACAGTTACGCGCTCGGAGAGATTGGAAAATATATATCAAATGAAGTACGAGTCGGAAAGACAATTGCTTTTGGAAAAAGTTTATGAAGAAGTTGAAAAAGAGTTTCATGATATGGTAACATGACAATTTTAATAGTACTACAATAACTTTATTTCTGAAAATTAGAATGTCATATTATCTACTATTTTGTGTATGATGGTGTTTTTGTTGATCGATTCTAAAAAAAAGAAGAAGGTAGCCTGTAGTCTACGGGCTACCTCCTTCTCGTCTTTAGTGTTCACGCAGATAAATTTTGTAAGGATTTTGTTTATTTATTACAGGATACACAAGATTCAGAAAGTATTGACATAGACACAAAACTAGATACTGGATCCCAAATAGCAAAACTTATGAAAAAGCACAAGGATCCAGCTGAATTCAGGGTAATTCTGTGTTTTTTTTAACTAGCTCATTTTAGTATAGTTACCTCCTTAGTTATTATAGTCATTTACATTATATGACTTTTTATTACAGTCAAATTTAACGGAATCACAATTGAAAATGCTACAAGAATACAACATTAAGCATAAGGAAAAACAAATCGAACGATTACAGACAAGAGTTCGGGAAAAAATAAAGAACAGCAGTATCACTGCTGTGAGAAACATTGTACCACTGCAAAAGATTAGGGTTGCTAGTGTAGAAAAAAACTGTAATATTACCCACGGTATGAATACTTTCTTTACTGACTATCAAATAATTTATTTCACACAATTAAATCAAAATTATGTCAATTGCGTTTTAGGAATACTTTCAATATGGCGCCCAAACGAATCCTTACAAGTGGTTATTAGTGAAGGCAAATGGGTTGATGTTTACAATGTGGTGCCTACAGCAATAAGGTATATTATGGTGTCAGATAAAAGTTTACTTAATGTATTATAAAGAACCATAACTATAATTAATAGCAAAGAAAGACTTAAACTTATATACTGCTTTAAAACACTACATGGATAGACATAAATAATTTGTACTTAATTTTCCAGGTATACAGAAATTCAATTATCTGCAGGCAGGCAAACTATATTTCAGAATTGCGATGTGAAGAATTCAAAGATGAACGCTTTGACAGATACACTCACGCGCCGGTGTTACCCTATAAGAAGTTTAGCTACAAATCCACAACTTATCACAGAGTATAAGGAGATTGATACTGTTGGTTTTATCATAGCGATTGAACCAACAAATACAGAATTTCAAACTTCAAAACAACTCTATCAAAACGTTTATATTGCTGATGAAAACAAACATTGTATGTGTATTAATTTTTGGGGTGGTATAAAAAAATTTGGCTTTGAAAATATCCTTGACACTGGTCAAATAATTGCTTGTGTTAATTTACAAAAACGATCAGGCAACTTTACAAAAAATGTTCCTCAGTATAGAGCGACGGAGTTTACATATTTTACGAAAACACCAAAACACAATAGTTTACAAACCGTACTGGGAGAATTTATTCAAGTATTTTCTGGCTTGGACAAAATAAAATTCTTGCAAGACTGTATCGCAATCAAGAACAATTTAACAACATGTAGATCTAACAATACTGATGTTACCCCATACAGAATGAATAACACGGACTACAATATATCGAAACATAAAATGTTTATCGATTCACCCGTAGCTAGAGATGACAATTTGAACCTTAGTGGGCTAGATTTTGAGTCCACTTTCAAACAAAGAGATACGCAAAACATGTCTCCACAAGAAGTATTACGTAAGAAAAAAGTTAACGAAAGGATAGCTAAATTAAAAGTATATGGTGAACCTCCACCTCTGAGTCCAATTAATATAATTAATAAATCCAAAAATGCAGCTACTGCTTTTAAAAGTCCATTGACAGATCAAAATGGCGTAAAGGAAGGATCAAATGTAAAAGGAACTGATAATGAACATTCATCTCTGCAATCTAGTCCAGTTTTGCCATTTAGGCAATACAGACGCCCTCGCATTAACCCTATTAAATTAAATTTTAATAGATCAAAAGAAAATGTAAGGGAAACATCCGATCCTTTTGCCGAAGAGTTTGAGGGTAGCCCGCCTCTTAGTTTAGATTAAGACATGGTAATTATTTATAGCTGTGATTTGTAATTTTTTGTAGTTGTACATACTAACATTAATAACATAATTTAATTAAAACCTGAAAAATATTTGTCTAGAATTATATAACATGTTATAAGAATAGTCATATTGTGTTTTCATTATTATTGTCCGAATTTCCAAGGGTGATTGATCGAAGGAAATCTACAGCGCTTTCTTTTTTTCGCAGCAACTCTTTAATTGCTTTTTCTACAAACTTCTAATGTGATTTTGAGAAATATTATTTGGTGGTGGCAATCGTGGGTATGTGGCGAAAATATCTCACAATAAATTAAATAATCCAAGTCTCACAATAAATTAAATAAATTCGAAGTCTGTATTATATTTTGAGTTAATATCCAACAAATAATTACACCTAAAGGTATGTGTGAAGATTTAACGGCTAATCCTGAAATATGTGATTTAGATGAACATTTGAATAATAAAACATATTTCTATTTTAAATATGTGAATAGCAAAATATTTTTTATAAATATGAATATTTAATTAAATAAGTTCCTATCTTTTACTACAGGCAACATTCCTTACAGATTGTCACTTCAAGGTGACCTTCAAACTAGTTCGGCGTTTTGACGTCTATCTATTCTCAAAAGTCAACTTGCGAAAATTATTTACGTATGAGTTTTCTACCCGCGTAGACATGTTTTTACTAAAATAACATCGTAAATACAATTTTCGTGTCTCTCATGTGTTGAAAGCCGCGCTGTGTCACGTATTTGAGTGAACTTTTCTGTGATAAACCAGTCAATCAAGATTCCTGGGCGGCTTTCGTATTTAAAACTGTACGTAAACTTTTTGATTCCGTTTCTTGGCTTACGATGTCTTTCATTCATCGTGTGTCTATAAATAAATTTATCACCTGCCATCGTAAACGTACACTGAATGAGCTCGTGTTAAATATTAATTATCTTTTCAAACGGTCACTATTAAAAATATGCCGGTCGCCGGTAATTATTAAATATAATTAAAATTATTAATACCAGAAGTACATAGACAAACCCGAATTACAAATGGTTATAAATATTATAAGTAGTTAAAAAATTGTAATAGGTAACTTAGGAGAGGCAAACAAACATCCGTAAATAACTTGGTAATAATAATGTGTTGCAGCCTGTGTTATACAAACTATGTACATAATAAATTACTTTGTCTATCTTTATTTTATAATTATATTAGTGTAATTAAGTAGTTCTATTAAAGACAATTTTTAGATAAAACTAACATAGATTATAATTTATCATTACTAAAAGTCAGGGTCATTTAGATAATACAAATATTGTGGTATTATTATGTCAGGTCAAGATATAGGTAGGTTACAAAAAATGATAGCGATAGATTATAAATATCATGTTTTTACGAATATCATGAAAATGTACCAATAGGCTGCCGGATTCATTTTTTTAAAAACGATCTCAATTCAATAGTGGATTAAAAAAAAAACACCATAATTTATGGAAAAATATAATATGAGATTCCCTTGTTTTATAGATACACAGCCAAGTGGCAAAGTGTAATGTATTTCATAAGCTTAACCCTCTCACACTCAAAGGAAATATTTTTACTTCTAGAAAAATCATTGTTTTTGATTATTCAATTATTATAGTATCAAATTTTTTAATGAATGATAAATGCGTTTTATACACATGAAATTAGAGAAAATCTATATACCCTGCTCTATATACTGCATCTATATACCTCTAGTAATATTCTCTTACTTTACACCCAAAATACCTAAAAAATAGTCTTTTATTTGCATATTTAGTATCTTATGGTCCTGTAAGGGTTAAGCGGGCACTACTATTAGATTTTTTAATTTACTGCTTATAGGTGTCATTCCTACATAAAATTATGATAATTTAAAAAAATCTTTAACAATAAACATTACCTATCACTACATAGTATAAAATAAAGTTGCTTTTTCTGTCCCTGTATGTTCACTTAAATCTTTAAAACAACGCAACGGAATTTGATGCGTTTTTTTTTAATAGATAGTGATTTAGGAGGAAGGTTTTTATGTACAACATTCATAGGTTTTCTGTAGTGTATTTAGTATCAGCAATGTCGCCGACCGAGGCCGGGGCGGGTCCCTAGTAAAATATATTTGCGTGTTAATAAATTTAGAGTATAAGAAGATCTGGTGGATCCATAACAGTTTTATGCCAGCAGAGGACTTTAGTTAGCTTAGATGCAACCAGATAGTGGCCGAGAAAACATAATAAATATAAGAGATATTGACTTGATGTCTATTTTCAATGATAATACAATTACTATCAACTATTGATAACATAACGTGTGATCTCGTATGTTTTCCTGTTGTTCAATCCATTGGTTCTTAGTTTCCCTCTGCTGGGACCAAAGTACCTCGGTAACTTTGGTGTAACTGTGGGCTAGCAATAGGCAAAAGTTGTTTATATTGACTTTCGATTCCAATTAAATCGTGACTATCTTGTAAAGCTCTTTAGTTTTTCGAGATGTTATGCCCTCTTTATTTAGAACTGGGCCGCTTCTTCCATGATGTCGAGTTTTGCTGATTTACAAATCGTGAAGGCGGAATGTCGAGAACAGTTTCTCGACAACGACGGTTCAACAACCCAAACACAACAACAACAAAATAGCTCCAGAACCAAAGAAGCTATGACATTTCAATTGGTGGTTTCCTCTTGATTCCTCATTGTCCATGTAGTTTATTACCTTTCTACATTACCTACTAGCTGAGACTGCGGCTTCGTTTTGCGAGAATCGTTATTTTGGGCATCCAAATTCGTTTTTAAATACTGTCTGTAGTTTACGCGAGTAGTACACATTTAAATAAAACACTTTAACGGTTTAAAACGCGATATATTTTAGTTAAACAACTTTGACGTCAGACATCTTTAGTTTCCCCGTGACCACGGCTGCTGCAAATCATCCGCAACGTCGGGCCGAATTCCGCAAGTTTAACTAAAATATATCGCGTTTTAAACAGTTAGTTTTATTTAAAAAATCGTTTTTGCAAATCTCATAATCTTTACAAGCTTAAGCCGTTACCCACGACATCGTTGGCAGCCCTTTAGCAAGTTAATATTAAAAGATAGCTGCGCGGACTTTTTTTTAGATAATTTAAAGAGTCTTTGTTCTTTGATACATATTTTTTGGGTATCTTAAACCCTTTTTAGCATACGCCTGATTTCCTAGGCGTATGCTGCAAAAAGGGTTCTTCAATATGATGGGTGAATTTGAGTTGCTCCATGCTCCAACCAACACAAACGCATTTTTTTAAATTCAAACCCGTAGTTTCTGAGATTAGCGCGTTCAAACATACAAACAAACTCGTTAGCTTTATAATATATTAGTATAGATTAAAACGTGCCCAAGATACAATTGTGTCCGTTCTACTAAAAAGTAATTTTATAATGATATCGTTTCACCTTCATAAAGAATGGCGAAAACTCGTATTGTTTGACGTACATACATACGTATGACGTTGTTATCTACGTAATATTGGTGACGTACGGTATGAAACGAGTAGGAACTACTTTATGCCCTTACTAGCTGTGCCGGCGACTTCATCCACGTGGAATAGTGACTTGGGGTAGAATTTTTAATTATTTAGTCTGTTTATTAATTTACGGAAGAACGCATTAGGGCAGCCAATCTATGGTAAGTGCTACTCAACAGCAACACTCTCACCTCACATCACTCCTATTCTAACCCTTCCACTTCTATTCCCAAAAAGCCAAAGAAGAAAGTTTCATTGTTCTAGCTTGAAAAACCACGAATTTCCATACAAACTTTCACCCCCTTTTCAACCCCTATCAACCCTTTTTTGGCATTAAGCCAATGTCCTTTCTCAGGTTCTAAAATATCTGTGTACCAAATTTCATTTAAATCAGGTTAGTAGTTTCGGAGTTAAGGCGGGACAGACAGACAGACAGAGTTACTTTCGCATTTATAATATTAGTAAAGATTACTAGCACTATGTGGAATTATTTACAGTACTACAAGTAGAAGTCTGAAGGGGCAGGAAAGCCCTTAAATTTATTATGTTTTTTTTTGGGGAAAAATTTTGTTTAGAGCATACATTTGGTGTATATCCAGGTCTTGAATTTAATACAACAGTGAGTATTTGTGAGCATGGGTTTTACTTAATGGACGGCGATATACCCCAGTTATATTCCAAACAAAATGCACTCTCGACCTCTTTTAAATTTGAATATAAGGATAACGAAAGATTTTAGTTTATGCCTTTGGTGGACATGGTTTTTTGACCCGGATGGTATTTCGATATTTCATCATCCATTTAATATTCAAATTTTAAATACTGTCTATAGTTTACGCGAGTAGTACACATTTTAATAAAACACTTTAACGGTTTAAAACGCGATATATTAGTTAAACTTATTTGAAAATGATTTTTAACTTTAAGTCTCCCCGTGACCACGGCTGCTGCAAAGCATCCGAAACGTCGGGCCGAAGTTAAAAATCATTTTCAAATAAGTTTAACTAATATATCGCGTTTTAAACCGTTAATGTGTTTTATTTAAAAGTCCTTTAAGTTTTACACAAATTACATTATCAGAAACATTTTAGATCTCGTGGAAATCGAATTCAAGACTTGATGATCATTAGCGATACGTTGCTACCATTTAACAAACATTACGCCTGTTACGTATCGTCCCGTTATTATTAGAGGCCCCGGGCCCAATACACTATATAAAAAAATCTCTTAACCATGGCAACGAAAGGGCAAAGAGCGAAGGGACCACCAAAAACTGGAATTCATTAATAAATATCACAAATGTTGCGCAAGATTAGCATACTTTTGCATATTTAGTCGAAGCGTTTGATGTTCGAAGTATTGGATTACAGCTAGTACGTATGACGTTGGTATTTGTTAGTTTTATCACTTCTTTACAATGTAGAATACACATTTTTATATTATAGAGGAGGACAGAACTGATAAGCATGGGGTTTACATGATGAGAAGTAAAATAGCCCAGTTATTACTCGCTTGGCATCTTCGTCATCATCATCATCATCGCGTTTTAAACCGTTAAAGTGTTTTATTTAAATGCGTACTCGCGTAAACTATCGACAGTATATTTTGGCTTTGGATATTCGGAAATCCACATACTGAAACCGAAACGTGATTAACCTCCACAGATTTGATATTCTTACCTCTTATTCAATATCCAGGTTTGACGAAGTCCAATATGTTTCATGAAAAATATAAATTGGTTTGAAGGCGTTGGACCCAATTGGGATCGAACTCACGACCTGTAGATTATTCTCTATATAGTGTTACCACTAGATCAACTAGCCCAACACATCTCTTATTTATTACGATTTCGTGGCTTCAACCTCTCACTGCTAGGGAAAAGTTTGAAAGCGGTCGTAGAATCGGTAGGGGTTAAAGCATTTGTTCTCTAAGATAAGTACTTCAAACCCAGGGTTCATTTGCTTCGAAAAAATCCAAATTGTCTGGATCTCGGAATCTGTAGTCCAGTAAAACGAGGAATAACATTTTGCGTTTTCGCATTTGGCCACATTGGGCTTTTTGAAAATCGCACGCAGGCACGGAACGCTGAGTCCCGCCCTGGTCAACGAAAATACATTTTCATTACGTACCTTATATTTTTAACTAGCGTTTACGTCTTAGAACTAGTAAAGTTAGCCTGCATTTTAGATGCGTTATAAAGATTAATTAAAACACTTTGACGGTTTAAAACGCAATATATATATATAGTTAAACTTATATGAGTTAACTTATTGATGCTTCGCAGGAGACTGATGTGACACCCTCCATCCTTAGTCTCCCCGTGACCACTGCAGTTAACGCAAAAGTGTTTTATTTAAATGTGTACTACTCGCGTAAACTAAATACAGTATTTAGTTGATTATTTTTATATGTATTGGTTATATTAACGCTACGTTACACACGGCTGTTTTAATTCATTGTAATTGTAAATTTCTGTAGCAAAATTAATATCACGTAGCTTATGTTAATCTAATTAAAATTTTAATTATTATATCGTCTGAGAAGGGATAAATTTTGAATTTTAATTTCGTTATATTATTTTATAGTGAGAATTAGAAATCTAACATTGTTTTGTTTGCATGATTCATATTATTATGATGATACAACTCAGAAATAATTGGTAATAATGCATAATTAAGATTAAAATTTAGATTTGTTCTTGCGAGTTAATTTTAAATATAAACATTTAATAAACAGGAACCATTCTTTAATACTTATTTTTTTAGTTGCCTGAACTGTTTTTGCGGCACACGAAGTCCTCAAAGAGAATTATTTTCTGTGTTACCAGTTTTTTCACTGTTTCTTTGCTCTTATTAGTCTCAACCTGATGATTTATCGCCTTAAGCCTTCCTCGACAAAGGGTCTATCCAACACAAATTAAATTAAATATTAATAATTAATAAAAATGAAACATACAAATAAACAAATAAACTCTTCAGCTTTATAATATTCGTATGGATAAATAAAGAGATTTCATGACAGTTCTTTTTTTTATTAAACACTTTAACGGTTTAAAACGTGATATACATTAGTAGAACTAATTCAGATATTATTTTAACTGCGGTCCGACGTTTTTAGTTCATCTCTTTCTACATGCCGTAATTTCATAACTGATAGTAGGTTACGTTTACAAGTGTACGTAATTACCTGAATGATATCCGTTTGTGTGTGTTCCAGGCAAGATGTCCCGCGACAGATCGTCTCGCCGCTTCTACCGGTCGGAGTCGACGCATGACCTCCTATCCTATATGGATCGCGGTCAGGCCGCGAACGAGGAGAACAGATGGACCTTCGAGACGGCTTGGGAGGCGGCTAACAAAGGTACAGTGGAAGTGTAAAGGGTAATGATAAAATAGTGCAGTAAAAGCCGCTTAAGATTTCTCAGGGACCTCGAAAACGCAATTATGCGAGATAGGGAAAATCAAACTTACTGCATATTACTTACTAGCTGTTGCAGCGACTTCGTCCGCGTAGAATAGCTATTTTGGGAATCAAAATTTATATTTTTTGAACCGCTTTCACATTTCCCGCTGTTTCTTAGTTAGTAGTAGTGTCTAAGATTAGCGCGTAAAAAACAATCAAACAAACAATTTCTTCAGCTTTATAATATTAGTATAGATAGATAACAAAATGGCGCAGTTAAACCTACTTAAGACGATTTTATCTACCCTAGAGACCCTAAACTCGTCTTTTCGGTCACTGTGCTCTTGTAGATTAACATTTGTATTTTTGTATGTATGACTATGAAAATATGAATAACTTAAGTCATAAAATTGCAGTTAGGCTACTCTGCCTCTAACCTCATATATGAGTAGAATAACACCACTGTCACTCTCAGTAACGCTCGGGACAGGTTTGACCGGTCCACACTGAATGCATACAATAGATGTATTGTTTTAACTCGTCGCACTAGTTCGCAAGATGGCAATCTACGTAAGAACGGCGAAACGACTTACTAGAGAGTAAATAAACTCGTAAACGAAATGCAATTCGTAATTTATAGGGTTCTGTACGGTTCAAATAAAACCGTGATCCTAAAACTTCGATGTTAGACTAGACTTAGATATAGACTAGATATGTAGCGTTATGTATTTTTATTTGTTTTAAAAATTGTAAAGACAGTTCTTTGAAGTATTATTGTATGGTTGTTCGCTATATACAGCAAAACTTTTACCTCAGGCTAGAGCTAAATAAATTACATTTTTTTAAACTGTTTAATACTTGAAACATATTATTTAACGTTACATTAGGGACACGCTCCACCTTCATGTTTTGCAAAGTATTCGAAACATCGGGTTGTATTTAGCGTAAATACAAATTAAGTTTTTTAGTATTATATTTCAAGTTTTAAATAGTTAAATATGTTTTATTTAAATGTGCATTACTCGCGTATACTATAGGTATACACAACGCATTTGAATAAAATAAGTTCAACGGTCAAAAACCCAAATCTTTCATGTTTTATTGATTTCGACCCAACGTGATGATGTTTTTCAGCAGCAGTGGTCATAGGGGATCGTTATTTAGTATCCGTTACAATAATAGTAACACTAGTAGTTGTCAATTAAAATCATTTGACTTCTCTTACTGTAAAATGTATATAAATGTTATGTTTAAAACGTGAATAGAAAATATGAATCAACAATTGACGGGTGTTTTCTTGGTTTCCAGTGGGTGGTATATACACCGTGATAAGATCAAAGGCCTTCGTGTCCACTGAAGAAATGGGCGATAACTATTGTCTTTTAGGTAAGTACATGATCGTGAAATACCTTTCGAATTCAGTAAATGGAAAGACGAAAGAAAAAAAAAATATTCCCCGCTTTCGTTGCGCAACATTATGCCATGCAATGTATGACTAATAATCAACAGGTTCAATATTTTTGTAAAAAAAAATCTGAAACATTTTCGACTTCGTCTGGAATAACACGATATACTTATAATATGTATTATATTGACTTCAAGTCTCCGCCCATATCCTTTGATATCCTTCTCGCTAATGTAACACCATTATAACTGACATACCTAATTGACCTGAGAATGGACAATATGAGTGTTGTACTATTACATATTTATGTCGTGCGAGTTTCCTAAATGCCTAAAAATGTTAATGTGCCCGAAAAAGTTCGTCTAATCATGCGAGTTTGGTTGAAACACATTAATTGTTATAACAGGGTGACTTACAAATTCCAATATTATTTAAATGACAGAGTAGGACGACCATGGAATTCTCTTGGTGCATGGTATGGGGTAATGGGGGCTGGCTGGGGATGTTATACGTTGCGTTGTTGACCTATTTTGACTCTGGATATTCGAAAATACACAGTCTTAAACTTTTTCACTTGTGGACAGTATTCCGGTTGAAATTTCTATATTTGAAGAAAACACTTTAACGGTTTAAAACGCGATATATTGCTTAAACTCATCCGGAAATGTTTTTTTCCCCCCGCCCGCCCTTTCGGTGCTTTGCACCCCCCCCGGACGTTAGTCAATTCTACAAGGACCCGGCTAGTTTCGCCAAATACCAACTTCGACGGAACAGATGGCGCTAGCGTAGCAATTTTTTACTTTGACGTCAGAGACAACCTCCATCTTTAGTCTCCTCGTGACCACGGCTGCTGCTAAGCATCCGAAACGTCGGGCCAAAGTTAAAAATCGTTTCCAAATAAGTTTAACTAATATATCGCGTTTTAAACCGTTAAAGTGTTATTTAATAATAACAGTATTTCTATATTTGTACCACCCATTTAATATACCGATTTTCCACGAAGTCAAACATATTTCGGAAATATTATATATTGGTTAGAAACGTTAACTCGGCAGTAATCGAACCCACGGCCCTTAATTATTAGTTGTTGCTACCAATTGTCCAACGAGCCCGTCGTATATCTATATATCTTTTTTCTGTTTCTGTGTGTGGTAATATTTTGGATAAATAAATAAATATTCTTATTTAGGCCCTTACAAAGAGACTTGCGCCCGTCAAGAAGTTGAAGAAGCAGACTTCGCGCCCAATTCCCCCCCTTACGACTGCCGTCAATGCGATGAGAAGCCAAGGATACAAAGTAAGGATTTATTTTAGTATAGTATTTTTACTGATGGTGATGATACACGCCCACGTCTGGTAATATTGACGCGGGGAATATGGTAAATTTGAACTACAACCTCCTCGGAGACAATAGCCGACTAAACCACTAAAGATACGCTACGCGCGATACTTCAGGGTTAGGGGGGGTCGGTGTAATCAATTAACGTATCTTAAAATATATACATACGGTTTACAAAGCGAAAATGGTGCTGCGAAGAACCAAAATGTGGAGCCGTAGTTAAAATAATTTGTAAATAAGTTTAACTAATATACTTCGCGTTTTAAACCGTTAAGGTGTTTTATTTAAATGTGGAGCACTCGCGTAAACTACAGACCCTATCGTAATTGTTTTCCAGTTACATACAGGCACGTGGCTCGTAGATGGCAACCCACAGATAATATTGTTCGACATCAGCTCAGCGGCGTGGCAGATGGACAGCTACAAGCAGGAGCTCTGGGACACCTGCTCCATTGGTATACCGCATCTGGACGTCGAAGCCAACGACGCGGTTATACTGGGCTTTATGGTCGCGCAGTTTATTATTGAGGTGATCATGGATTCACATTTTCTTTAAACTTGTGTGATTGCCTAACCCAGTGGGTAAGAGTAACGTGGGGACTGTGGTATATCGTACTACAAACTCGAAGACGAACCACTATTCACACCACCAGCCCGCTTTGCGATATAGGGTGCTATGCTTTAAGGGAGCCCTGGGAACAGCATAGGTTCACCTAGTGGTTTACTCGTAGATTGAAGAGTTTTTGATTCATTAAACCACTAGCTGACTTGGTAAACGTTATTTTGATATACTAAGTATTTGGACCAAGTTGGATTACCATAAAAACGATTCTTGGTAGTTCATCTTAAAAGAAAGCCGTGTACTGTCGCCGTTTTTTAGATTATTTAAAGAAAAATTCTTCTATACATATTTTTTGGATGTCTTAAATCGTTCGCAGTGCACACAACGGAATCCGGAATGTTTAATAATTTTCCCCGTTCCACATTTCGTCTATTCAATTATGACTTCAAGTTTCATGTACTCAAACCACATGATTATTACTCTAGCACTCTTAGTAGCTCTACTCATTAAATTAATTAAAATCGAAATTTAATACGACCAACATTTTTCAGTTCCGCAAAGCAGCTGAAAACTACAGCGACACTCCGCCGAGGGTAGTTGCACATTTTCACGAATGGCAGGCTGGTATTGGTCTTATTGTATTAAGGTAAATAAATTAATTATTTGACTATATAGTATACGCTCTTAGTCTTATTAGAAAGACCCTTGCGGTAATGATTTATATAATCTCTATCACTAGATTATAAATGTATTACTTATTAGTGTTTCGCTGTTGGTCTTTTAGTTACGTAACATAATCATAAATTAACAAATTTCAAACTGCACTTAGAGTACACGAATAAAAACAAATGTTTTTAATTGCTGCAAAAAAAAAACAATAAAATACTTGCGGAAAATCAGGATCTTCCATGCTTTCAGAGTTCGTCACATAGATGTCGCTACAGTGTTCACAACTCACGCGACGCTCCTCGGTCGATATTTGTGTGCTGGCAACACTGATTTCTACAATAATTTAGATAAAGTAAGTGGCACCTCCATAAGTAATGTTAAATAGTATGAACTTTTAATTACATTTTCCTATTTCGTTCTAGTTCTCAGTAGACGAAGAGGCGGGAAAGAGACAGATATACCACCGGTATTGTATGGAGCGTGCGGCCGCTCATATGACGCACACATTTACCACTGTTTCGGATATTACGGGTAAGTTACATCAATAACAAACATAGAGGTGTTTAAATTAAAACACTTTAACGGTTTAAAACGCGATATATATTAGTTAAACTTACTTGGAAATTATTCTAACTGCAACCCGACGTTTCTTTGCTTTGCAGAAGTCATGGTCACGGGGTTAAGTTCAACTAATATATATCGTTTTAAACCGTTAAAGTAATTTATTTAGATGTTTATTACTCGTCTAAACTACAGATACTATTTATACATGTTTAAAAACTGAATTATGAATTCTTGGCATTTTCTACATTAACTAAGGGAGAGATTATAAGATGTATTTTTAAAATTTATTTATTACAGGTTTTGAAGCGGAGCATTTACTAAAGAGAAAGCCAGACTTTATAACTCCTAACGGTTTGAACGTGAAGAAATTCTCAGCCCTGCATGAGTTTCAAAATCTGCACGCATTGGCTAAGGAGAAAATTAATGAATTCGCTAGAGGGCATTTCTACGGGTAAATTATTTTCAATTTAGTATTGCCGTATAAATAACCGGTAGTTCAAAGTCAAATCGAATTCGAGTTCAATTCAAGTCTGATGATGTCAGATAAAGTGTGGATTTGATAATTGAGTGATGGTTACATAGTATCGACTTCATCGAATTTAATTTATATAATAATACTTACATCGTCCTAGCGACGTAATTTCAACCAAAACACATTCATATTAATGTAAATTGTACAAATAAAAATAAACCTTCAACCATTATTATTTTATGAATGTTATAAACTTTTACAGACATTTCAACTTCGATCTGGACAAGACGCTTTACTTTTTCATTGCGGGTAGATACGAGTTCGGCAACAAAGGTGCCGATATATTTATAGAGGCTCTTGCACGGCTGAATCATTACTTAAAGGTATATAAATCATTAAAAAAAATATATTTTGTTGATATGTTTATTTATTATTAAGTAATTCTTGATGCTTTTCAACTGCACAAAGTATTGACTACATAAGTTTTTATTTAATATTTAATAAATACTTCTTAAGGCATACCTTAAAGTACTTAAGTAGTCAGAAGAACTGTATTATGTTAATAGAGCAACAAAGTATTGGTATCTATCGAAAACTTGTTAATCATATAAATTACATTTTTCAGTCCTCCGGCTCGGAAATGACGGTAGTTGCATTTCTGATTTTCCCTGCCAAAACTAATAACTTCAATGTGGAAAGTTTACGTGGACACGCGGTTACTAAGTCTTTGAGAGATACCATACAGGACGTTCAACAGCAGATTGGGAAGAGGATGTACGATATTTGTTTGAGGTGAGTCATCATCATTATTATTAGAATTATCAATTCCCACAACTGAGATAAAAGAATAATGACGAAGCCATAAGAATATAAGTTTTCTTATTCTTAAGAAGACTTATGGCTTTAAATTACCACTACAAACATGACACAACCCTCATTTATACTGACGACCTCACAAACAGAATACATACACACTACAAAAACAACGTCTACAACCTGACAATATTATCTTTATGGTCCTTCGTGCCGGATATGACGAGTACCAAAGATATTGAAATTCGACTTGAATGTTATTCAAGTTGAATTGTCATTAGTAAGTTGAACATATTTTGTAGTATAAAGTTTATTTGTGGTGTTACATAATTTTCTGGCATTTTTAAGATAATAACTCTAACTCTAATTACAGAGGCCATCTTCCTGACACTTCTGACCTCCTACAGAAGGAGGACACGGTTCGCTTAAAGCGTTGTATATACGCATTACAACGGGACGGGTTGCCGCCGGTCACTACGCATAATGTCGTAAGTTTCTTATATATAAATTGTTAGGTTACTAACCGAAGTCCGAGTAGCGATAGTAGAAAGACATGTTCTACTTATCTATTATTGTACGCTTTTTATCAATTTATTTTATTATTTCAGGTTGATGATTGGAGCGATCCTTGTCTTAACTCGATTCGGAGATGTCACCTTTTCAACACTGTCAATGATAAAGTTAAGGTTAGTTGCGACGTAAACATTTTTAATATAGAAGAAGTACTAAAGATAAAGCTTAGTCGTAAAATATTTTTGGATTGCAATCCATTATAATAAAAAAATGCCTATCTCCAGGTGATATTTCACCCCGAGTTCCTGACATCCACAAATCCATTATTCGGTCTTGATTACGAAGAATTCGTAAGAGGGTGCCACTTAGGCGTTTTTCCCTCCTATTACGAGCCCTGGGGATATACCCCAGCCGAATGTACCGTTATGGGTATACCCAGTATTACAACTAACCTATCTGGTAAGTTCTTTGTTTACTTACGCAGTCCGATTTAACTCTTACTTATTATTTGACACTTAAAAGCTGAATTTCGATTAATTGATATGGTGCTTGGTTCGTCAACCTGTTCGGTCGTCGTAATTGAGAAATATTTCTGTGATTCAGTATTTTCTTAGTTGAGAAACGCTGCTCTCAACGCCAGCGACTAACACGCGGTGATGGTCAGTTTTTATTATTTTATTTGTTTTTTAATTTTTATTTACATGAATTCGTCGAGCCTGAAAACCGTGCAAGCGGTATATTTAGGCCACGGATCACTCGCTTACCTAATGTATAACGTATAATACCTATGACCTATGACCACTACACCTGGTTATCTAACTAAAATGTATCATTGTTTTTCGGGCTGTTCGGTCGACGAGAGTGAGAAGAGGTCTTTGACGTTCCGCCATCATGAGCGGACGGCATCATGAGAAGATCTTAGCTCCTCGATTACTCGAAGAATTCTTCGACACAGCCCGAACAACAATGATATGCTGAACGATGGCCGTGAGAGCCTTACACAATTTATTAATTTAAATGTCTTGAACTGTGACTGATGCAAGGTTATTTCCTTACACTTGTCCGGCATAGATAAACGTCAAGAACTAATTACCAACTCAACAAACTTTTCCAATTGAAGTAGTTGTGAACGTTCTTTACAACTCGCTAATAACTAAATTATATTGTCAGGTTTCGGCTGCTTCATGCAAGAGCATATAGCAGATCCAATGTCGTACGGTATTTACGTCGTGGATCGCCGATACATTTCGCTAGAGGGCTCTGTACAACAATTGGCCCAGTATATGTATGATTTTACCAAGTGAGTTGTATTTATTAATTGTAACCGTTACTAACATTATAAATGTCGTAGAACGTGTTCATATAATCAGTAAGTGGAACTGGAACTAAACAAATCATATAGTGACTGTCTACTCAAAGTCTGTTCTGTAAAGTACGCGCGCAGCCATTCAGATGTGAGACCCATTTGTTTTATAGTCTTAAAATGTTGTGTAATGAAATATTGTTATACAAGATTTTAATGAATAAAATTAAAGTATTTCCTATTATACATTTCAGATTGTCCCGGAGACAGCGCATTATACAAAGAAACAGAACGGAACGGTTGAGTGATCTTCTGGATTGGAGGAATTTGGGTATTGTGAGTATTGATATATTTTTTTTAATAAATCGATATCAGTTTGGCATCTACAACGTTCCGTGCGGTTGCTCGATCCAATCAAGCTACTGTCCTACGCGTCATTGACGAGTTTTTTTAACCTATAGATACATGCACCTTTCGCACAATGTAATTTCAACCTTAACTCTTACGCTTTGAGGTTCAATGTCATATGCTTTGCAGCGTAAGAAATAATCCTAAAAGGTTCAGCATTCAAACATCTTATGACACGTGTTAAGTGAATGTCTAAGTTCTATCCAGATCGCGACTCCATATATTGCCGTTGATATAGAATTACATAAAGTTAATATCTTGCCTGTTTAAATTCCAGTACTACCGCCAGGCACGGGCGGAGGCGTTGCAAATAGTATATCCGGATTATGTGGACCACATGCAAATTGAACTTGGCAAGAGATTCAACTACCCGCGGCCCATTTCCGAGCCACCCAGCCCGACGCATTCTAGTAAGTTTTACTATTTTCTCCCTAGCATAACTACTTCAATTGTTCAGTGGTTAAAACTAACCTAGGGAAGCCCTTGGTTTGAATCCCTGGAAATCTATGTGAATCAAGTCATTGAATGTGTTGTCCCATTTCCTTATATAGGGGAAACAGGATTTCATTTGTTTAAGTTTTTTTATGTGTTCTATATTAAAAGAATAGTGCTTATTGATTATATAAAATTACTTTTAAATAAAACAATTTAATTTAAAAGTTCGAATTATATTAGCTAAACTTATTTGATAATTATTTTACTATAAGTGCTTTCCCATTATTAGAACTATTGTCTACATTCTACTATACATTCCGACCTTTTTTACGAAACTTAATTTTTTATGAATGTTTAAATCACCTACAACAGCTGTATCGAATAGTACTTTCAGATTTTAATCGTTTTATATTGATGTTTACAAAAATAGGTCATTAAAATTAAAAATAGTTGAATTGTATAAGACTTTCCAATTTAGAAGTGTCTGTAATTAACAATAATATGATTCTACATAAATAATTACTATAGTGATGAAAAGTCGCCACGAATCGTCCTGGCTGACTGCCTCGTACCACAAGGAAATAGAACAACTCAAAGATACGAAAGACGAAGAAATTCAAACCAGCTTCGATCTAGATGAAAAACTTCGACTACAGAAGTCCCTAGAGATCCTAGAACTTACGGATCTAGAAATTTCCAAAGACATAGAAGTGAGATTCGAGAAGGCGATAGAGTTGGAATTGGACGAAGGCTTCGAGGCTAAAGACCTCTTCGAACCGCTGAACGCGGCTGTCGCTGAACAGATCGACCAACTGATCGCTAAGTTGAGCGATTGCGTCGAGAGGAACTAGGTTCGCGTGTTGGGTGGTCTTACACGATTTGCTTTTGTACGTTTTGAGTAATCGTAATTAAGTAGTTTTAAATTGTTGCTTTGACGATATTACGTGGACCTTTTAGTTAATTTTGAGCACATCTAAAAGCCTTGGATTTATAAGCACCGTATCATATCACACACATTGTTTTTATATGAAAACTTATGTATATTTTAATGAAAAATATCAAGTAAAAAAACACGGTATAAAATTTTACCGTAGTTATTTTAATTGGGTAATATTTAGAAACTTTTGTTAGAAAAGTACATTAGAGGGATATAAGTATATTAGGGGGCCTAATGACTACAATTAAAATTTATGTAACCGCATTTATAATACATGAATGTGATAATTAGATTGTGATTAGATTCCTACCGTTTTTACTACATTTTATTCTAACCGGTCGAGTTTAGGCGGTCTTTTTCTAATCACCAAATGCATCAGGTCATAACTACAGACATTGAAATGAATTACAATCATTGATAACTGCGAAGTGCGTGTTATCATTCTCAAAAATAAAGGCTGTGGTAAAATTTTACGACTTGCGCTATTCATTTTGTATTAAAAGTGAACTTCTTTAAATCTTGATGGAAATTGATTTTTGTTTTCGGAGATAGAGATTATAGATTTATTACAATGCGTACAATGCACGGTAAAATTGATTTGATAAGTCTGACAGCACCATGTTTATACTTGTATTATATTATATCTCGACCTAATACAATTGTACATTATTTCAGGAGCGACAACCCCAGCTGCATCAGTTCACGGTTCTGATGATGAGGATGAAGTGGATGAGGAGAAGGAGCTAGCTGAATTAAGGATTTCTGATCATTAATATTTTTTCGATAGTTGTCAGCGTTGTTAAGAAAGACAAAATCCCATACAAAACAAGATACAGCTAAAAGGAAAACAGTTTAAAGGGGGAAGCTTTTAAACGTCCAGAAGAAACATCCAGTGGCCAAAATTTAACATAAACAAAATTAATAGTTTTTTTAAATTTATTACTATTAAATGGCTAGCTATAATGATAGATATAGATCTATAATAATCAACACATTGTGGTTCAATTTGTTTTTAATCGATTTATTAATTTTTTTGCCGCGTCTGGAAATCTGGATTTCAATAGATGGCGTTCTGTAGACATACCGAAATCAACGATCAAGTTTAATCGGGTTTCGGCTTCAGTCTGTGGATTTCCGAATATCCAATACCAAAATAGATCGACAGCGCATTTTGTTGAGATGTTATAAGTTTGGGCCATTTCGCCAACCATCAAGTGAACAGCAAGCTTGTCTATCCATCTCTATCATAAAAAATAACGTACAATTAGTTTTTACCAATTATATAAATTCAAAAACAATTATTTTTTAAAATCTAAATATTTAATTTAACTTTTGGACCATTTAGTAAGGGGTTTGAAAATCTAAATCTTATTTTGTTGACTGGAGTATTTTTGCCTATAATAGTCTTTCCCCATTATTTACAGGACTATAAAATATGTAGTCAAAGATCAGAGATGAAATAAAAACCTTGGCATGTTTTGTAACGAGAAGTAGCTGTCAGAAAAAACCCTTATATTTAAAATTTTTGATGATTTTTAATACTGCTCTAATAATAGATAATTAATTTACAGAAATTATTTTTTAAACTCATTAAAGATAAACTGGATCGTCAAATATAAAGTAACAGTTTAATTAATATATTTAATAAAAAAGTATATAAATTTATATTAAATAAATAAAAATCAATACACTTAGTCATTAGTACTTGCCAACATTTAAATTTATTTACGGTAGCTTATTTATAAGAATTATAAGTTACTATAACCACAATCTAATAAAAAATATCTTTCAGATAGTTCCTAAATACCCCCTGTTCATCTAATTACCTCAGAAATACTCCTATATACTACTTTTCAAATGTTTATACTTTATTGGCAGCTATTTTTATATCGATGTTGTTATATTTTATAAGGTAAAAGAAAATGAGGGATACTTATAGGCATGAATGTACTCAGAAGTTGTCGGGTCATGTGATGGCAACTACCCCCTCCGCTCCTAAAAATGAATTTTCAAAAATGATTTAGTAATTCGCTGTTGAAGGACTTACAATTAATTTTCATCAACATAAAAGAACATACTTATATAAAGTTAACCCCCCCCCCCCCCCACAGGCCAGACTCTGGTTTGTCCAGGACCATAATATCAAGTTGTTTGTTCATTGTATTTTGTATGAATTATTAATAAGATATTTTCAGGTAGAATTCCTTTAAAATAAGTTTTTTGTAGACTATTTAGAGTATTTCCTTACTGTACTGCCACCCATTCGCTTATTTGCATGTTTTACAAATTTATATGTTAAGTTTTAAGCAGATATATTGTCTAATTATATTATGGATTGAGTATATTTATATGAGAAATAAATCTATTTTATATTGTCTATTGCACAAAGACAGGCAGCAAAACGAATTTAGTTACTAAGTGCCATATTGTTATCTAGTAATTTAGAAATAAATGTGTTCCATTACAACTGTGTTTCCTTTTTGTAGCTCCAATAAAGGTCTCAAAGGCGAGGTACTGGGTCCAAATCCCAGAGAAACATAAGGGCAATTAACAAAATCCTGATCAACTTTCCTTTGAATAAAAACGATCAGTTTCGGAAACAGATGTTCACTCCACGCCCCACAGAGTGGATATTCTATAACAGCCTATGAAAGCTGTAATTGACAATAAAGGGATTTTTTTTGTTTTAGTTTAACATCTTAAATAAAATTTATCTTTAAAATGCGTTACTAATCATAAAATAACTTTAATGTTTAAAATGCGAAAATTAATGGTTTATATTTTAACTGCGACCCGGATTCTTTGTAGTTGCGGATAATGTGTATTGTGTAGCAGAAGTGGTCACCATATACGTTGGGTCGTAGTTAAAATAAGTAATTTTTTTAGTTTGAAACCCATTAAAGTGTTTAAATTTAATGTATTACTCTCGTAAACTATAAACTATATTGATCTATGTATACTATATAGTATAAATAGATACAATATAGTGATAATTACTAAGCTCTCTTTTTATATTTCAACTCCGATAGATGTTCGGATCACTTAGAGACCATGGGCATGGGCCCACAAACTGAACTCGAAACCCGAAGTAGCAAAGAATGTTTAAAAAAAATTTCAATTTATTTAAAAATCTTTAATTAAACTAACTATACTTAATACTAAACATAATAAATAGTGATCTTAATTAATCATTCTATCTTTTTCTTTTTAATTTTGCCGTCGTACTGGCAACCGTTGTAGATGTCGTAGAAGTCGAATTTGTACTTGTCATCGGCGTAGTGTTATCTAGACTATGAGGTGTGTCCGTTGCGTTACTAATAGTAGTACTTCTATCATCTACTAAGGTAGAATTTTTCTTTCCAGAAGTTTTTGTACTCCCATCAAGGTTTATAGTAGATTTTACTGTTGATTCCGTAGTTGCATTAGTTGTAGAATTATTAGGAGGCGCTGTTGTAGCTGCAGGCAAACTAACGTCTTTACTTGTAGGCGGTTCTGTTGTGGCGTTCGTTCCACTGTTGGCTGTTATTGGTACCGTATTTGAATTAGTTGTGTTCTCAGCCGCTGATGGGCTGGTTGTAATTGTTGGTGTAGATAATGTTGTTGTTAACGATACAGATGGTATTGTAGATGTTTCTGAAGTACTGTTTGGATAATTCGAATTTGTCGTAATTTCTGTCGTTGATTGGACTGTTGTAATTGTGCTGTTTACAGATGTGTTCGTTGTAGATTCTGTGCTAGTCTCATTAGGCAATTGTGTTGATGTCGTGTTTGTGTTAGTTGAATTATCAATTTTAGTTGAGGCTAAGGTTGTACTTGTAAATGTTTTAGTAGAATTGGTTGTACTTTCATTTTTGCTATCGATAGACTCTGTTGTAGATTCAGTAGCATTGTTAGAAGTCAAAATAGTTGTGCTGGTGGTAGTGGTTGGTGTTTGTGCTTTGGTTGTGTTGTCGGGTTGAGAAGTTGTTACAGTAGTGGAATTATCGGTTTCTGTAGTCGTGTTGTGTTGTTGCGTGACTTGTGTTGTGTTTGCAATAGTAGTCATGTCTGTTACAGAAGTTGCTGATGTTGTTTCTGTGTTCTTAGGACTTTGTGTTGTCGTTTTCTCCGTTGTGGTTGATGTAGTTATGTTGAAATTTGTAGTGGGTGTGGTTGTAGTTGGTAAATTTGTTGATGTGGATATCAATGTAGTAGATGTCGAATTGTCATTTTCGTGTTTTGGCAATATTGTGGTTGTTACATTTATTTCTGCTGTGCTTGTAGTTGTAATTTGAGGATTTTCTGAAGTAGAACTACTATTATCACTTTGTGTCGTAGTTCTTACTGTAGGTGTATTAACATTTGAATTATCTAATTCTCCATCTTTCTCTTTCGATATTTTTTCTGTTATATTTGAAATTGGCAGAGGTGTCGTTAATTGTAATATTTTAGTCGAGGTCCTATTTGCGTCAGTAACTGTGGCTGCACTTGATGCATTTTCAGTTGTGCTACTGTTTGTTAGATTAATAGGCGCTATTGTCGTACTGGAACTTTTTTTGTTTTTTTCTAAATCGGTGTTGAATTTTGAAATTTCACTTAATGTTTCGTTGATAATAGGTTGCCAGTGAGTGGTATTGTCCTTTAAAAATACGAAAACATTTGTAACGTCCACTGTATCACCGTGTATTGTATCTCCTTCTATGTTAATGGAGCTATCCTCGGGTTTGTTGCTTTTATATGGCTCGTGATTTTCTGCTGTAGTGGCATTCTTAGTATTTTTTCATCTTTCGTACTGATGGAAGTATTGCTTGGTTTATTATTTTCATTAGGCTGTTTATTTTTTAAACTCTGTGTTATATTCTTGATTTGACTTGCAACCTCCTCTTTCACCAATTTGTGTACCTCCTGTAAAAATCTGTGCTATTAAATCGGAATTAATCATAATAAAATATATTCACATTTGAACTTACATTATTCACGACTTCCATGTAGGAAGCAGTCCACCCGGAAAGCCAGTCCCAGAATACTTTCTGAAAAATTAAAATAACATTTAGGAATATGCCAACACTTATTTCCAGCAAGTTTATATTGTTGTTGTATTTCTATATACCTTTTTCAAAAGCTTATTTAAATCCTGCTTAATAGTTGCATCTTGTTTTTGTTTCTTAAAATTCTTCGAATCGTCCTGAAATAAATAAAATTAGTTATAGTAGTTTGCATATTTGTTAATAACAATGCCATTAGTAATGCTTTTATAGATTTAAATATATAAAGCTGTTTATACTTTACCGCCTTGCTTTTTAAACTACTTTCTGTTGTTGTATTCCCTGCTTCTAGAGTAGTAGGGTTTTCTGTAGAATTTATTTTGGATTCTACTTTGGGTGTCGAAGTAGTAGTATAAGTTTCTTTTGAAGTAGTCTCGTTTAACGTAGGCTTTGAATTCTCAGATGTATTTATACTCTTATTGGCGCTTGTCTGAACGTCGTTTTCTTTAAATAAATTGTATGTGACCTGAGTCGTAGTTATAACTGCTACAGTAGTTGTTTCCTGAGAACTTTTCTCTGTTGTAGTAATTTCAGTAATGTTATTACCGTAGTTAACTGTAGTTGTTTTTATTGATGGTGGTGTAACAGTTGTGATTTCACTTTGAGGTTTTAAAGTGGTGGTTATTGGGGGCGTAAGATTATTGCTTGGTGTTGTGTTATTTGATGGCGTTGATGCTTCTGATGTCGTTGTAGGTACTTCTATTGTTGTCTGAGTTTGTTTGACAGTTGTTTCAGTTATTGTCTCCGGTACACTGCTTGAATTTTTATCAGCGCTTGTTACTTTGTTACCTACAGTAGTCAGTTCCTCAGATGGTTCAGTTTTTAACTCTTCTCTGTCTTTTATTGTCGATACTTCAGGACTTTCTTTAAGAGTCGTTGTCATGTCTGTGGTTGTTGAAGTCTCAGTCGTTGGTCTAGTTACTTCTGTTTGTTTGTTTGTATGAACGTCAGCTAAAGTTGTAACACCCGTTGAACGAGTTGATGGAATCAAATCAGTTGTTGTTTCATATGTCTGTAAGGGAAAGTGAACATGTTAATATTTATGTATTGAATGTATATTATCTTAATATCAATTATAACTTACAGCTTCCGTGTTTGTCGTTCCTACGTCAATAAATGTCTCGTGTTTGGGATCCAAATCCTGTAAAATAAATTCGTTAACATCATCACATTATATAATTTTAAACTGTTGGGTCCGTTTTATAAATCCATTGAACTCAGAACAAAAGTTTTACAATGTAAAAGTGAAAAACCCTTAAGAACTTACATTCCAAACATATCCTTTGCCGTTAGCCAGTCGCATTCCATATGTATTTTGTACATTTGGACTTTGATTTGCATTTGGTAAAAGTGATTCTTCAACTTCGATAACATCCTCAAAAGATTTTTTTAGCTTGCTATTGTTAAAATCGACATTATTGTTAGTTGTTCCTTGGTCAATATTACTGTTAGGTCTTGTTACTCTTGTAGGTTTAGTTGTGGTGTTATCTTCTATTGGCATTTTATTAGGTCTTATATTTTTTTGTTTATTTTTCTTGACGTTATCTTTTGCCTTTTGATTTACATATATTTTTGTGGTAACTTCAGGTCTTTCACCACTGACACTAGCAGGATTTTGGTTAAACGGTGAAATTTGATTCAATAGATTTGCAAATGATTTTTTTACTCTGTCGTAGTAAGTATCTTTTGCCTTATTTTCGTTTTGATTCGTGTTGATCGAAGGAAGTTCCTGCTGTGTGCTTTGGTTTTGGTTAGGACCACTTACTTTTGAATTTTTATATATGTTTCTGTTGTTATCTTCGTTTTCATTATCATTAATAAAAGCCGGTTCAGTATTTACAACTTCATCGTTCCGTGCCATCTGCTCTTTAGATGAAGTATTTTCTGCAATTCTCCTTAACTTGTTATTATTTGTAAAAGCGTTCTTTGGTGGATTCTTAAAAGAATCCGGTTTTATATAACCAGATTGTTTAATCCGTTCACCTTTCAATCTGTTATTTAATTTCTTTGGAAATTTCGTCTTTGGCTTCTTATTTTTAGATGGATTATTATTATTTGATGCTTCAGCTGCAATTGACTGCATATATTCCGGTTCATCATACCTTGGTTCCAAAATTTTTGGGGCTGGTGGTATTTCCTGCAAATAACCAAGAAAGTTAATAGAAGATTTTGGTGTTCAATAAATAGTAATATATTATATATCCAACACTATTAAACTGTAAACTAGATACATACCACGCCAGTACTAGTTAAATAGGGTAAATCATCGTTCCCGCTTTCATTATTTGCTTCGGATTCGTTTCGTTCTTGGATATCCGATTTATGCTTTTGATCTTCAGGGTCGTCATAATGTTCTAATTTTTCCTTGAAATGTTTTATCGTGTCTTGATTTACGAACGGTTGTTCCAGATTCTAGATAACGATACGAACGATAATATTTATACTATCTGCTAGTACCTATTGGTAGCTGAGAGTAGTGTAAGTAGTTTTGTCTGGTAGAAAGTCGCGACTAATCCCAGCTGTGGGAACTATGAAATGGAAATACTTACGTTCCAAACTACACCCTGACTACCATGTAGATCCATACCGTAAGTAGATGCATCTTTTGAAAATGGTGGGTCTAAGTTTGCTTTCAGCTTCTTAATTTTATTCGTTCTCAAATGTTTTTTGTTCTCCTGCATTGGTACATTATTTGTATAGACAATGTTGTTTCTTGGTTTATTGTCTATGGGTAAATTCTGAAAAATATAGTTATTGGTGACTTCTAAATGCACTTATAAATGTCAAGAAAGTTAAAGCAAAAGAGGATATTTATCTATACTACCCGTTCTCAAAAATTAAGCGAGAAACGAAATAGAAGAACTGTTACATTGAAATTTCTCTTTAAAATTTTAATATTAATTAATAAAAAACTTTTAAAGTAAAATGGCGGGTGACTATATTGGAATCCATTGACTAGTTAAGTTAGTAACTGAGTACTTACTAGTGATTCCTCATAAAACTTTCGCAGATAGTCAGGGAGACCAGATAGGGAGAAAGGTATACTTGGCGCTGGTGGTATATTCTGAAATAATACACACAGATGAAGAAAATCATATAAATTCTATGATTACGTTGAGTTGAACTTACCCTTGCGCCAATTTCTCTTTTTCTTCGTTTACTGCTCGGTTTCTCCTAAACATGACAAATATATTGTAATAATTAGTATATTAGTAAACAGTGCATTAAATTACTGCATACGGCTGCAGATCAATACTTTCTTTATGAAAAAAAATTACATCATATTAATTAAAAATCACACGGACTTGAACCGGTATTCTTAGCGTTTCGGGCTGTTACTTTAAGATTACGAGTCAGCTACCGTGTTTTACACGCTATGGTCGAATTTCATCAACCCATTGATAGATGCCCTCTCGCAATGTAATTTTAACCTTAATACATTAAGGTTGAAATTACACTAGTCCACTACTACTAACAATGACTACGTTAGGAACACAATTGTTAGATCAAGCGCAGATTGGTCGTGGGTTCAAGTCTCGATAAGCACATGCGCACTAACATGCATAAAATAACAATATAATTTTTCCTTCAGGAATTATAACGTATCTATTACTTGTACAACATCAAATTAATTAAATACTGTCTTTAGTTTACGCGAGTAGTACACATTTAAATAAAACACTTTACCGGTTTAAAACGCGATATATTAGTTAAACTTATTTGAAAATGATTTTTAACTTCGGCCCGACGTTTCGGGTCTCCCCGTGACCACGGCTGCTGCAAAGCATCCAAAACGTCGGGCCAAAGTTAAAAATCATTTTTCAAATAAGTTTAACTAATATATCGCGTTTTAAACCGGTTAAGCGTTTTATTTAAATCAAAATTTACTGTTATAACGACTCACGTTTCTTTTCGGTTCTTCGTATTTCACATTTCCCGCACTCGGTATTTCGGCTTGCAACTTCTTTCTCTAAAATTATAAAATACCAGATGTTTCAAAGTCTCTTTTAATATTTGTATTAGATAAAGATTTAAAGAGCATACCAATATTTCTTCGCTAGACGTATCCTGAGTGGAATCCTGCAATGTACAATACTTTCTGTCTTATTTAAATGTGGACAAGGTTTGTGATACACGCGGGTCTGAACTCCCAAAATGAATACTCGAAAGTCTCGTTGATTTAATGGTAGTAATGACTTAATTAATACAAGGTCGTTGGTTCGATTCCTAACGGATCCAATATGTTTCTAATACATTTTGATAATTCTCTGAAAAGTGTCGGACTTCGTCTGGAAATCTGGATATTAAATGGTTGATGGGAATATTGAAACTCCATCTAGAACCACAGTCCCCGGATAAAAGAGCCGAATAGTTAGAATATGTTTCTTTTCCAGTCTATGGATTCCCGAATATCCAACACAAAAATAGGTCAACGCCATCTTTTGGAAATGTTACTTGGGTGGGGTATTTCACCTTCCGTCAAGTGACCAAATGTTTGTCTACCCTTCTCTATTATATTTTTTTTATTTAATTCTAGAATCTTGCATCAACCAATATTCTTTTATAATTATAATTATTAATTACCTTCTGTGTTGCCGTTGCATTTCCGCTGTTGGCTTCGCCAGCGTTCTAGAAATAATTCGTATTATATCGCTTGCATAGAAAAACGTTTGAGTTAAAAATGAGAGAACAGATAATGTCTTTTTTAAGACAGGTGCAATTGAATTTGCGTCGATCGTGAGGTCGGGAGTTCGAGCCCTGGGCGAGCCTAGTATATTCTGTCGCTCTCCAGTGAAGATAAATAACTTGAGAAATCAATTTTTGAGAGCACGGTCTAGAAAGAAAAAATAGTACGATGTGTATTGCTCAACAGCTCAGTATTACACATTTAAATAAAACACCTTTAACGGTTTAAAACGAGAAATAAATTACTTAACTTATTTACAAATTATTTTAATTATGACCGGCTGCTTTGCAGCAGCCGTGGTCATGAGGGGTCCTAAAAACATTAATATAAATTAGTTAAATAAAGTGTTTTATTTAAAATAACATTGGTAATGTTCGCTTATAAAAAGCACCTACGTTCTAAATAATTCAATAGTTTTATTCTCGTATAAATTACCGTACCCCTGAGTCGAGGAATTGGTACCCCTGGCCGTTGGTAAACGGTCTTACTGACTGGTCGAAATCGGGTCCCTGCACTGAAGACTCTGATGATGATACCTGGAAATTTATTATCATAGTGGGTAAACTTACTTTATTAATCAAACTCAGTTCTCGAGAGACTAACAGAACAAATGTTTTACGGTAAATCTTTATTAAGTTAAGCGCTGAAAATATAAGACATATTACCTTAATGAGTGGAACTTATAGTTGAAATTAAATCATGTTACCAAAAACGGTTCGACTTGAAAAACTTTTCTGTTGGTTAAAGCACTTATCGCATCGATAGAAGAGAAAAAACAGTGGAAAATGTGGAAACCACGCGGAAAAGGGTTCAAAAAACCAAACAATATGTATGATAGAATGACTCCTCTGGTATGACTATTTTTTAAGATTAATCTGTAAGAACGATGGGACGCAGATGACGTCGTGGGTAACAGATAGCGTACCGTCATGGTATTAAACAGTTATTTGGCCTTATTTGTTGTGACATCGAAAATAAAATTTTTTTATTTGTTTTAAGACATAAGACGAAGAACGATTTTGATAAATGGGCACTTATATGTATCAATTTTTCGTACCTTTTTCTTCTTTTGCCCATCGTACGGTGTTTCTACAATTCGATAATACACAATCTCACGTATCGTCGGCTCCTCTGGCTTTGAATTAATAAACTCAACAGCATCGTTTGGCAGCTGTTTTAGCTCAAATATCTCTGTGTTATTGCCCTGAAATGAGAAATAAGAATATCTTCATACAAAAAAACTATAGCAGAAAAATGGTTGAACGCTTCTGAAACTAAATGCTCTCTTAACATTGCGTTGAGCGCGAGGGGTCCGAATCCAAACGCGGAGAAATAATAGATTGTTTCGGTCTGTAAGGGCATAAGCGTGATCGAATGCCTGTAAATAGAATCGATTAGTCAACGGACTCAAATGTGTTTGCCCACGGGGAAAACGGAATGTGTAAATGAATGAATGTGTAAATAAAAAACTTTATCGGTTTAAAACGCAATATATTTTAGTTAAATTATTTTTAACTACGGCCCGACGTTTCGGATGTTTTGCAGCAGACGTGGTCACGGGGAGACTAAAATATATCGCGTTTAAAACCGTCAAATTATTTTATTTAAATGTGTACTACTCGCGTAAACTACAGACATTAATTAACAGAAATGTGTACTTAATACACACATAATAAAAGTTTTTTTCAATTTTAATTCTTATACACTTAAAAGAATGCAAGTTTTGTTTGAATTAAGACTTATATTTGAAAACTATAATATTTATTTAACTATGTAATTAAAAATCGATTATACATTAAAAAAATCGACTTGAGCGCTATTTTATACTTATATTTAAGGTTAATAAAATACAGACAAGGCGGTCATTAGTTTCGTAATAATATTACTTACGTTGACTTTTTGCAGACTATATGCACAGCTCCGATTCAGCTCAAATATAAGCAGTACGGTTGTGACCTGGTAATAAAAAAACGTTAAGTCAATTCTATAAGGGAGAAATGAAAATACCAAATATTTTGGTATAGGTGGCACTGACGTGTAAGGGATCAATTGTATAATATTGTTAGTTGAGCGAGTTCGAGTCCCGCTTGCATCATTGTTTTTGATTCAAATATATAATGTAAATGAGATGTTTTATAGGTCTTTGTTATCTATAGGACAGGTTAATCAAGACCTTTTTTCTATGGAAATAGTCATATTACAATGGGTACAGAGAACGAGTACATTTTGCACACTTGTTAGAAACATCACTCATGTGCATGCGTGAACGCTCCGAAGTTCGGTGAGGCGCGGAACGGGTTGAGGTCGGCCATTTTATGTATAGAGATTCAGCGCGCACGCACGACATTTAGTTGTGTGTTTGTGGAATATTTATATAAATTGTCCAAAAAATTATATCTCATTTACAAAACAAAAATGACCGTTATCCTATATTCTTAATACTTATTCCCCGAATTGGGTAAGCACTTTGTTTCTTAGATGTACCTTAATAATAATGTGTTTATTAGATTTAGGTTTGCACTTTTTCAATATCTATCTTTTAAATTTTTGTCTTTGTTAATACCCCGTGCTGTATTGTTCACTAGGCTTTTTACTTGCCTTTAGGCTTTTCGCACAATATTTATGCACATAAGGAGTAACTATATTATTAAATCAACATTCCAGGGTACAAGTCTGGGGCTGCAGACCCTCGATTGGACACAAGTGTTCTACAATGCAATAACGTTTATATTTACCACTTTGGCCGTCTTCCCTGTGTTGAGCTACCGAGAGCTGAATCCAAATTTAAATAAGGAAGTATTAATCTGGTGAGGAGGTGGTTTACAAAAATTAAGTTCCTACCTACGACCCGTTAATTTCTCAGTTAGCATTCCTAAAGTGCTACAAATTTACTAAGTGATAAGTCTGGCAACACTCTGTATATAAAATTTTTCATGTATTTTTTTTACCCAAATGTAACACTCTTAACGGGTTATAACTAAAAACTAATACATAGCTAACTTATTTACGTCTTACTTTAACTGCAGCCCGACGAATATAAAATAAATTGTAAATAGGGTAGGTAACTAATACATTTCGCGACAAGACAATATTTAACTTTCACTTACTTTAAAAGACCACATTGTCACTAAAGAAACACCACATTTGAGCTCTATCCAAAAGACGAGTGTTTAATTTATAAATTCTTCTTAATTGGGTTTTAATAGAGCACCTTTATCTTAAATGATCTGCTATCTATAACTGTTACATCTCGAGATAAATAAAAATATGTGTAATTTTGGACGTAAACTTAGACTAAGAAAGAGCAAGGAATTTTGTAGGCGAGAAATTTATTGAGGACTAGCTGTGTTCGCGACTTCGTCCGCGTAGAATAGTTATTTTGGACATTCAAATTTGTTTTTGCAAAACTCTACATCTTTATAAATTGCTGCACACGACATCGGTCGCGTCCCATCGCTCGCGAATCGTCGTTTTTTGAAGTTAATCTTAAACGATAGAAATATAGTGTCGCGGACATTTTTTAGATCATTTAAAAAGAAATCATTCTTTCATACATATTATTTGGGTATCTTAATCCGTTTTCGCAGCGTACTCAACTGAAACCTACAGATTAAAAATATTTCCCCCGTTTTGTTCACATTTCCCGCTGTTTCTTCGCTTCTATTAGTCACGACGCGATGTCTTATAGCACATATAGCCTTCCTCGATAAATGCTCAAACCAACACAAATATTTCTTCAATTCGATCGCGTAGTTCCTGAGATTAGCGCGTTCAAACAAACAAACTCTTCAGCTTTCTATATTAGTATATAGATATGTAAATTTTTTCGTAGTTTAACTAGATAGATTAGATTCCCTGGTGAAGGGACGTTTAAAGGTTGCTTTTTTTATGGGATGATAGACAAGCATGGTGTTCGCTTGATGGGAGGTGAAATACCGAAGCCCTATAATATCTACAAATATGCTGTCGACCTATTTTGGCTTTGGATATTCTTGCCCTTTATATAAAGGTTGCCTAAGACTACTTTTCTTTGTTAATATTACTGAAGGTCCCTTTATATAAATTTAGCTATAATTAAAGACTATAACTCTGAATAAAATATTGATATTATTAAAATAAATGTTTTCTTAAAACACTGTTGGACTTCGTTTGGAAATCTGGATATTAAATGGTAATATCGGAAACTCCGTCCACAGTTGAAAACGTCGGAAAAGTCAATGGATTTTTGAATGTTGTTCAAATAAGTCGACAACATATCCTGAGTAGATGTTATAATGCTAGGGTATTTCATTTTTCATCACCTATGCTTGTCTGTCCTATTAACATAAAAAAATATTATGATAATGTGCTTAATGCGAAAGTTTCTCTCAATTTTTTTACTCGAATATAACATCTAAAATAATAAATATTTTTTTTTAATTTAAATAAATAAAATGTTTAAGTTACTTTTTACTAGGTTCTTTAGAAAGACAACTATGTATTTTTTTTTATTCTGTGTATTGTAGTTAATAATAAAGTAAAACGAACAACTTTTTAACAACTTATTTTTGTGTACTACTCGCGTAAATTATATAGACAGTATTTAACAAACAACTTACTAAATCTTTTAAAATATAAAAAAAACTTACTACATCAAACACGAGTAGTAATTTTAATGGTAGCTGACACATTAGGATTATAATCTTCCAAATCGTCTATGAAAAATCTAGACTGATTTCGCCTAGCACGATAATTATTGTTTATAGACGTTTGAGGCGGGCTTAAATTCTTTTCATCAACCTGTTCTTGGAGTTGAGAGGGTTCTGAAGTCTTTCCATTGATTGGATTTGGAAATGAATAAATGTATGGTCTATTTTGGGAACTATTTCTGAAGTTAGGTTGCTGATATTGGTTTAACGCCCGACTTTTCCATTCGCCTGGATCTATATGTCCAGTACTCTTGTCTGTCGTCACTTCTAAATGACTGGTAAATTTGTGAAGGAATTCTTTTAGTATTTCTGTATTGACGTCGATCTTTTTCAATATCTCTTTGGTAGTGTTTTCATTGTGTTTAATTGTTTCTATCAAAATTCTCTTCTCCGCACCATCTTCTATTGGTGTGGGTTTTGTTGTTGTAAAGATTACAGGTACTAAATGTGTTACAGACTTTATTGTAGTTATAGGCGCGCGTTCCTCACGATTTTCAATTTTCTTTAATATATTAATAAAATCATCAGCTCCTTTTGCATTTTCATTGTTATCAACTATTCTTAAGTTTTGATGAAAATCATTTTTATTATCTAGTAAGTGTTCGAGAAACACCCTTTCCTTTTTTAAATTGTTTAACTGAGAATCAACTCTCTTTTTGTGTAATGTGAATAGTAGCTTCATTTGTTTTTCTTTTTCTTCCACTTCCTTATTGGACGATACGGGGATATGCCTTCGAGGATCTGAATGTATACTATATTTACTATCACTAAGGTTCTCGACTTTTGATATCTCGGACACATTGAGAAGCGAAAAATAGCGAACTCCATTGCGATCATAACTTTTGTTAACACTCGTATGCACTTCTTTGAAACCAGAATGCACGTCAGAGTTATTTTTGGGTGAAATTTTAACGGTAACTCTGTAATTCGATTTCGGTGGTAAAATAGCGTTAACAATTTCTTCAACACCTGTTGGTTTACGATTTGAAAAACCAGTCACAGGAATATTATTATTTCGGTTACTAGCATCTCGCCTAGGATTCGACCTTGCTTGAATCCTATATGGTTTTAATGTTACCGCTTCTTCGTTAGAATTCTCTTTCGATTTTTGGACTTCTTCATAGAAAATGTGGGGATATTTCGGCATGGTTAAAGACGGATCATTTTGGTCGTCTTCATTAATTTGTTGGTTAGGATAATTCAAATTAAATAACTCAGCGAACGGCACTGTGTCGCCATCTTGTGTTTCGCTTGCAACTGTGTCCGGTGTATTTCCTTTTTGAAATTGTTTTCTTTCAGAGTAGAAATTATTAGGAGATACTAAAAATATATTACCCTCATCCGAGTTCTTTTCAGGTTGATTTCTATCTCTTGCTATAATTCTTATTTTGTTGACTTGCCTTTTATTCCGTTTTTTGTTGTTAAATATTCTCTTCTGAATCATTGTTTTTGTATTAATAACTCTACTTAATTTCATCTTAGATTTTAGATTAGATATTTTTTTTACTTTTAGCGATCTCTTTTGTCTTGATAATACACTAGATCTGTGGCGATTTTCGTTATAAAAATTGTTCACGAACGATACAGATAAATCTTTAATATTTATTGGGTTTGATATTATATTCATAGAATCAGATATGGGGCGATAACTATGGTTGAAATTAGCATACCGGCTATGTTTTAAGAATTTCATTTGTGTGCGTTTTTGAGAATTGGGAGGAAAAATTAGCTCTTTCACTAACATCTTGTATGAATTCAAATCAGAATCAACACTACGTCTAGTAATATCATGACTATTTTTTATGCTTTCCTGTTTCCTCTTAATATATTGTCCCTCTTGTGGATCGTTATCGGTTTTGACAATAGTGTTAGAGTTTTCATCGTAAGTTTTATGATATTCCTGAATGAGATTTTCTAAGCCATTAAATAGCTTTAAGCTTTCCATATCAGGCGGTTCATCTACATATTGATTTAATCCTATAGAGAATCCAGAGCCATCGATATCTTTGAGATAAAACGTAACATTGTTTATGTCATCAACGTTAGGTATTATATCAGGATCGACATTGATCGGTTTTTGTTCTCTTTTAGGTATACCGTTATCAATGCTGTCGTAGTTCACAATAAGTTTTCCCATTTCTGCAGAATTTACAGATTTTCCTGATAAATAGGCCGGGCCGGGAAATTTCTGATTCCAAAATCTATTGCCGTAACTATCTAAAATATCTTGTATGGGTGGTAAAACTTTACCAATAGGATCTACTTGCCTGTGTTCTATATCGTGCATGGCTGGGATAATGTTTGAAGCGAAGAAATCATTTTTTGATTTTATCGGATCCTGATTTCTTTTTTTTACTTTTATATGACTAAACACTTTTTTCCTATTGATCGCTTCATTATCGTCATGAATAGCTTTTTGTATTTTGTCAATAAGGTTTCGAACTAGTTTCTTTTTCTTTTCCCCTTTTATTCCTTTTCCGTCGAAATGAGTTTCAATTTCAATGTATAATTCTTCGTCATCTTTGTTTACTTTCTGGCCAGATTTTGTTTTGGATGTCGTCGATTCCTCATCACCGTAGTTGATTTTGATTTGTCTTTTATGTCGATTATACTTCAATTTATTTAAATCTATATCATCTTCATGTATTTCAACGGGATGGTTTTCTTTTAGATACTTTTCCATTATTGTGTTCCACATGGGATTCGAGTAAGGATAATTGCCATAAGGGTTTTGTTTTACTTTAAGCTTATTGGCTGGAGTTACATCTAACTTATCATCTACATTTATTAATTGTGTATGTTGAGTAGTGGATATAGCTTTTTTATCATCATTTTTCATATCAAACTCCTTATTATCTGTTATAGTTTCTTCGTCTTCCATTTTTTGCACTTTAATAGATTTTCCATTGTAAATTAACTTTATAAGGCCAATGATATCTTTGGACTTTCTAAAATGAAAAAAAGGTATTAATTAACTCTTTAAAAAAAATAATAAATAATAAAATAAAACATAATCTTACGTATCGTTTCTCTTTTTAATTTTTTGGTTTTCGTTTATTTCAATAATAGTTTTTATAAATATTTTGGGTTCTGAAAAAAAAAACTGCTTTATTATCACAGTTACGATGACGACTAAAAATATAATTTTTACCTTTATTGTTCACTCGAGTATCGTTTTTGACGTTTTTTATTTGGTCATTTAATGTTTTACATTTTAATAACTCTTCAAAAAATTGTATCTCTTCCTTATTTTTGTTAAACTCCTCCGCTTTATCAATATTAGAATTCACTTTTATCTTCTGTGGTTTATCTAGAATTGTAAGGTGTAAATAAAGTTTAATATCTTTAAATTGAACAAAATTTTCGCGTTAACCTCGTAAGAAGGACAAAATATGTTTGATAACATGGCTGCATAGGCCGAACAGTATACATATAATAGATGAATATTTTTACCAGTTTTGTTTTGTTCGTAAAAGTTCTTAATTAACAAATGAACTTTCTTATATACATCGTTAAGATCCATGTGACCTATGATGCCTTGTAACAATATATTATGCATTGCTAGATGTAACATGTTGTCGTTGTCTGTATCAATGATTTCCCTGCTTCGTTCCGCATTAGTCAGCTTTATAGCCTCGCTCTTTTCTTCGACAGTCTTTTTAGATTCTTCCTTATCAAGTTCTTCTAATAAAGTTTCTAATTTATTAGTTTTTTTTTTTAAATAATTTAAGTATACATTTTTGAATCTTCTTTAATAAACACTTTAAGGATTTTTGACATGGAATAGTTGAAATTACTGGTTCTGAAAATAATATTAAGTTATACAGTTTTTGAATGTTACTAGTTAATTATATTTTGCGTCAGTACCTAGAGATCTTTTATTTCTATACAGGTCATTCTCATCATCGTTTATCTCGTCGTTATATATTTCATTTGTGTTTTCGTCCCTTTTCGTGAATCTTTGCTCCGCGTTGAAAATAGATTCTTTACTGCCATCTAAAAATAAACTCCTTTCAGATGCGATAAAAATGTATTGGTTATTTTTATATGCAAAATTTTCGACTGGTGTGCTAAGTAGAAATTAGTAGGCACAATATATTATGTAACAAAGGCTAAGTAGAAGACACGGTCCACTATATATATATGTAATAACTAGGTGTGCTCGCGACTGCGTCCGCGTGGAATCATCATAATATTATATACTTTTGCAAAAAACCTCCTTTATAATTTATTGCCGTTAGCCACGTCCCGTAGCGGCTTTTTGTGTTTAGTTTCACAAATCGTTTTCAAAGTTCTATATCTTCGCGTCTATTGATAGTCCAATCAAAAACCATCTGTTTTCAATTCGAACCAGTATATTTTCTGAGGTTACTGCGTTTAAACAAACAAAATGTTTACCTTTAAAATATTAGTATTGATTAGAAATACGTTAGGCCCGGTAGGGATCGAACCCGCAATCCGTGGATTATAAGCCATACATTGCTACCATTAGATCATCGAGCAGTTCTCAATAATTAAATAGTTATAAAAAATCCCAAAACATTAGTGTATCACTAATTACCCGTTACTACTACTAACGGTACTAACCGCCATTCTTCGATAACAGTCCATCTATGTCAATGAAAACATTCGTTAAGATAACGGTGAAGGTAAATGCAATTCCCAAAACAGTAGCACAGAAAACTCTATAAAATATTGTGTCATAATTGGACCGTGGCATTTGCAAAAATGTAAAATCTTCTATCAAACTGCAAGGGTTTGCACCACAAAATTAAAATAAAAACATTTTATTTAAATAAAACACTTAAACGGTTTAAAACGCGATATATATTATTTAAACTTATTAGAACTACGGCCCGACGTTTCAATCGTAGTTTAATTAAATATATATCGCGTTTTAAACGGTTAAAGTGTTTTATTTAAATGTGTACTACTCGCGTAAACTTCAGACAGTATTTAACTTTGTGTCAAACTATTTTGGCCCGCTTAATCTGTGGCGGGATTTTAAAAAGTGTTGCCTTCGGTAACTTGAAACTTTGACTATTGAAAATGTTTAGACTTGATAAGGAACACAATGGTATATTTGAAATCACAAATCTAAATCTTTAGCTTAGGATGAAAAGTGTTTGTAAACACGACGGAATTTGTACTAGTTCGTTTTGAATAGTGTTGTTAGTTGGAGAGGATTAAATTTAGAAATATACATTTTTATGATAGAGGACGACAAACAAGCAAGACTCCTTTGGTGAAAAGTGAAATACTCCAGCCATATAATATCTAAAAAAAGATGCGCTGTCGACCTAATTTTGGCTTTGGATATTTCTAAATCCATAGACCGAAACACGATAAAATTTCAGGGCTATTCGTCTGTGGACGGTGGGTGGCACGTTATCTAGACGGAATTCGCAATATTCCTACAACCCAATTAATATCCAGATTTCCGACGATGTCCAACATGTTTTAGAAAAAAATATAAATTAAGTAGAAACATAAGTTGACCGGGATCGAATCCGCGAACCGACGATTATAAGCCATACGTTGCTGCTGTATCCATTTTATTTACCGACAAGTAGTTGTACAGATTTCTGTTTTCTTTCTGACTGGATTTAATTAGTTTAAGAACTCTAAATAAAACACTTTAACGGTTTAAAACGCGACATATTAGTTAGTTTTAGTTTAAACCGTTAAAGTGTTTTATTTAAATGTGTACCACTCGCGTAAACTATAGACAGTATTTAGTTTAAGAACTTCTAGTACTGTCTATGGTTAAAAAGTAGTTCACATTTAAATAAAACACTTTAACGGTTTAAAACGCGATATATTAGTTAAACTTATTTGAAAATGATTTCATGAGACTGAAAAAGTTTTTCAGTCTCCCCGTGACCACGGCTGCTGCAAAGTATCCGAAACGTCGGGCCGAAGTTAAAAATCATTTTGAAATAAGTTTAACTAATATATCGCGTTTTAAACCGTTAAAGTGATTTATTTAAATGTGAACTACTCGCGTAAACTATAGACAGTATTACATTGTCATGTGGCTAATAAGAGCGAAGACAGCGGGAAATGTGACAAAAATTGGGAAATATATTCATCATTATGGGTTTCCGAGGCGTACGCTGCAAAAAACGATACAAGATACTCAAAATTATTTTGTAAATATTTTTCACTATCCTGTACCGTTTTCGCTGTGCACTTAAAGATGTATAATTTCACCCGTTTTTTACACTTCCCCTACTTCTTCGCTCCTATTGGGTTCGCGTTCAATTCCTGAAATGCGTAGTTCTTGAAATAAGCGCTCCAAATTTTTTTTTTTTTTTTTTTTTTTATAACTTTCTCTATCGAGCTATGTTTTCATTATATTTATAGATATTTGTGAAAATAGACAAAATTAACTGTAACAAAGTGTGTTTAGTAGCTCATTTCATCTTGCTCTAACCACATGAGTAATTCATTCAGCGGGCATCGAATCCACAGCTACGTCCTTTAATTTCACCCTTTTATTAATTTAATTAAACACATTTTGATGTGGCAAATTTATTTTATTACATTGTTCTTTTACACTAATACTTAATGTTTCTTCTCGTCTTATATCATTTTCATATGAATTATTTTATCATTGATTCTGAAAAAAAAACAACCTGAATCAGATATTTGTTTTTAAAAATGTTTCACAGGTTTTCACAATGAAGAAAAATACATACATCATTTTCTATAGTTAACGCGAGCAGTACAGATTTAAAGGAAACATTAACGGCATAAAACGCGACATATATTAGTGAAACATATTTGAAAATTATTTTAACTACGTCGCGACACTACGACGGAACAGATGGCTGGTGCAAAACATCCTTTGGGCCGTAATTAAAACAATTTTATATCGCGTTTTAAACCGTTAAAAGGTTTTATTCAAAAATACATCACTGTAAAATATTGCGAAATTTCTCTTCTAGGTAGGGCAGGGGCACACATATTATCAAGATTTGGGAAAATTTTCTTGGTACCTGTTCTGGTTTTACCTTGATTATATGTATACTCGTTTTACCAATCGCTTTTATTGACAGCCAAGTCGTTAATCGAACTTTTGTGCTTTGCCCGACCGAAACTATTTACAATGCGCTACTGTACCCCAGGATACATACGGCATTCGATCGTTCTTTTTTTTAAATAACAAATATATATAACACACACATTCTGCAATAGGACGGCTACATAATTGATATTACCTCCGTACGTTATCGCGTCTTTGCGCTTGGAAGTCGAAAGCCATTGGATCTACTTCGACCCTGGAATTGCTGTCCAGCCCTGGCATTATATCGGAGAAACCTTCGCTGTCTTCGGTAACTATTATTGAGTACAAAATTATAATGGTCCAGTTTTAATTATTATAAGCATTTGACCGGTTCCCTGCCTAAATGGTGAAGATCCAACCTCGTTGAAACAATAGTTAATTAATACTTAAATACTGTCTGTAGTTTATGCGAGTAGTACACATTTAAATAAAACACTTTAACGGTATAAAACAAAAGCGAAGACATCGTTAGTCAATTCTGCAAGGACTCGTTTTGCCAAATATCAACTTTGACGTCTGACTGACCGGACGGTGTGTCAGACGTCAAAGTCGTCGAAGTCGACATCTTCAGTTGTATTAAAGGAACCTTTAAATAAAACACTTTTAACATTTTAGAATGCGAAATGTATCAGTTAACTTATTTATTTATATATAACTTCGCTTCGGTTGTTAACCGTTAAAAGTATTTTTATTTAAACGTGTACTATTCGCGTAAACAAACAATACTAAAGAGCGCTTTTTATTTCAAATGGAGAATTAATCTAGATCATCTTACCAATTTTACCAATTCTAGCGAGGTCACTTGAATGTAAACTTCCATCGAAATAAACTGTTCCTTCGTTGTCCTGCACCAGTTCTGATTTTAATAGAACATAATTATTTCAAAATACCAAGTCTACAGAACAGTTTGTTTTGGAATATATTTTTAAAGCCCAATAAATTCCCAAGAGCTAACAAAGTTATAAATATTATGACACCTATTGACATATAATAGTTAAATAATATCTAAAATAATTTTGAAATCTATACTAAGATAGTAAAGCCGAAAAGTTCGTTTGTTTCAACGCGCTAATCTTAGGAAATACTGGTTCGAATTGAAAAATTATTTTTGTGTTGGTTAGAGCACATATTTATTATATTTAATTCAATTATTAATATAATTTAATTAATTTATATATAACATAACATATAGGAGCAAAGAAACAGTGGAAAATGTGAAACAAACGGAAAACACACACACATCTTTGAGAGATTCTGTTGCGTGCTCTGCGAAAACGGTTCAATATATCTATATATATTTAAATTACATTAAATTACATATTTTTTGTATAGACAAAAAATATGTAATTTAATGATTTTTAAGAAAAACTTATAAGAACGATGGGACACGTCGTCTTGGGTAACAGTTAAAATTTATAAAGATGTGACGGAGGTTAGCAAAAACAAATGTCGATACCCAGAACAACTATTCTATGCGAATTCGCGGCCACTTCTTATAGTATAAGATTAGTTACGTACCGTATTGTTTTAAATTTGACTCTAATTCCTCGTTATCTGCAATAAATTTCATCGATGTAATCAAAAATTGCATGACTATGATAGACATACTTTTGTGTCCCTTTTACTAAAGTTATTGGTAGAAAAATATGGATTATCACTTGTACTAACACATTTTTCCGGTGTCTGTCCCAGTTACATGACATAATAGTAAACTTAGTAAAACATAAACTTACCAGGAAAATACATAAGTACGTCAGGTTGTTTCGTGGCAATTGTATTTAGTATATGTTGGTTTGTCGATTGTGTTGACGGTTGCGTTGTATCTGAAAACAATGCTTGAAATTTAAAATGTAGTTTTAAATTAATTATTGTGTTATATTATTGATGATGAGATATAAATGTAATAGATGGGTATTTAATCTTCAGTCAGCGTTTTTTTATAAAGTTCGTTTAATTAAATACTGTCTATAGTTTACGCGAGTAGTACACATTTAAATAAAACACTTTAACGGTTTAAAACGCAATGTATTAGTTAAACTTATTTGGAAATGAAGTCTCCCCGTGACCACGGCTGCTGCAAAGCATCCAAAACGTCGGGGCGAAGTTAAAAATCATTTCCAAATAAGTTTAACTAATATATCGCGTTTTAAACCGTTAAAGTGTTTTATTTAAAAAGTTGGTCTAATGTTAGAAATATATGGCTAATCATGAACAGGGCGTGGGGTCGATCCCCACCAGATCCAGCATGTTTGACTTCTACTGGAAATCTAGATATTAACTGGTGTGTAGGAATATTGAATTCCGCGTCACCAACCACATATAAAAAAGCCTGCCAGTTTAATCGCGTTTCGGCTGCAGTCAATCGAAGGCATTACTAACCTAAACTTCTTAGATCAAAGACGTTGTTAATGATATTAGTCGTTCCTTTCTTCAAAGTTTCAGTAGGAGGTGTAACTTGCTCCTCAAACTTATCTGTAAAAGTTATCAACACTATTATTAAAATAAAGTCCTTCTCAAATTATCCACTCCATCCTTTGACTTTAATAACTCGAACATAACTTACTCATAATTTGTAAACGCCTCAGTGCTTTCTCAACACACCATCTTAGGATTTGCGTTGTAGCATTTTGTCCTATTTCATTGCAAAAACTTGTCGCCATTGTAATAAAGGGATCTAGTTTATCACTAAAACTCTTTTCTTTTATAACGCTGGGAAGAGGTGTGAGGACAGTAGTTGACGGAATTCTAGCCTTTCGTTTATCGTTCCTTCTTGTATGTTTTATCCATCGCCTTTCTCTCTGAACCTTTTTATTTACTATAACTCTAGCCCCTATGCTGTCAACAGGTAGCAAAATAGTGGTTTTGTCATTGGGTACTTCTTCTCTTTTGTTCTTTTTATTGATAGCTCTTTTTTCAGATGAGAAGCTGGCCAAGATCTTATTTCTCATGATATCATCGATGAAGGTGTTGTTGAAATAGTATTTGTATATCAGGTCATCAATATTTTGGTCGTCTTTCTCGTTCAGGATGAGCTTATCGTAGTTTTTAATTGGAGCCGCGTCAGGTATGGAAAGTAGGTTGATTTTAACCGATTCTGTAGTAACTGGAGTGGTCGTTATGGTTTTGATTTGGTGTTTCACTTCTTTATGTTTAGGTTTTTGTATGCCTTGGTTGAGAGCGCCCAGTGGCTTATTCTTATTTATTTGTTGCATTTTCATAAAGAGACGTGCGAAATTGTTTTGCTTCTGTGATATTTCGCTTTGCGTCTTAGCTATCGAGTTCTGTTTTATATTTATCTTATCATTCTCCTCCAGCATCAGCTTTTGTACGGTGTAAAATTGTTTTTGCTGCGCTAAAAATTTCCGCTGCTGATTCTCAAAGCCCAATAGATTCTTTGATAACTCTCTTTCTCTTTCGGCGAAATGTTGTTCTTTCGTTTTCATTTTATCCTCTAGTCCCGTCAATTCCGTGTTTATTTTCAATATTTCCGCGTACTTCACATCAAAATCTAGAAATTTTTTGTTTAGGTCTTTGACGTTTATTTCAAATTCGTCTTTAAGAGCATGCAACTGTTTGTGAATATTCTTAATGTCACTGTGTTGTTTCATAATCTTTTTGAATGTTTTCGTTAACATTGAGAGAACTTTAATGAGCCCTCTTTCGGATATTGGTTTGTTTCGTTCTTCTTTGTCATTTGGTAGAATTTGATAAGCATTAATGGGTGCAGTTTGCCAGGCTATGTTTTTCTTCTTTTCAAAAATACTTCTATCCAACTTTATATCATTATCAATATTGTCTATAGATTCCGTGATCTCAACCTTCTTTTCATCCCGTAAATTATAATCATCATACATGCTTCTTGTATTTAATGTTCTATTGGGCTTTGTAGTATTAGACTCTCGAATGAATACCTCTAACTTCTTTGGTGGTAGTGTATCTCTAGGAACTTGACTTCCTCTGGAATGTCTCTTTTTATTCATGGTATTTTTAATGTTTTGTGCATTTACATTGTTTTTCGGTTTATTTAAAATGATAGCAATATTATAGGGGTAGTCTTTAAAGAAGGATGGTTTCAGCTTTTTAATTAAATTCGACTGCATCGATGCACTGTTTGTTGAGCATTCCTTGCTGTTAGTGCATTTATTTAAATTTTCTCGTAATAGTTGTTTCTGCTTACCTAAAAAGTAATTAGTAGTAACTTAATATTTCATCATCTATTTTTTGTTATTGCTTTATATTTTTACTTACTATATGTCGATCTTTTGTTCCTCTCAACATACGTTGAAATAAACGGGCCACTTTCGCTAAATACGTCATTACTACCTTGAAGAAGTGTATCGACATCGAGAGAATTAGCCCTAAAGATGAAAGACCCAGCAGTGGGCCTTTTTTCTTGGTTCCTCACCCACAGGCCTTTATTCACAATATTATTTCGCTCCAATTTCGGTTTTCTGTAATTCGATTCAGCTTCTAAATACGAGCTCGATATGAAGCCAATCAAATTCAAAATGATCGATAGTTTAAACATCACTAGAAAGGCACTTGTTCGTTGAAAGAGCGAGTAATAATGTGAAGAATTTCGCGATATTCTTGATAGTAATCAGGGTTGTAAGTTTATTTGTAAATACCGATTTTAGTGATGTGCTAGAGTACAAGTCGATAATTAATGAATATAACTTATATTATTAATACGCTTACAAAAGTTGTCTCTTATTTAGAAACTTAATGTTAGTTAGAAGTATAGAGATCTATGATAATATTATAAAGCTGAAGTGTTTGTTTGTCTGTTAGAATGCGCTAATCTCAGGAACTACAGGTGAGAAATGAACGTCGCGGCCACAACTAGTTAAGAATAGATAGAATAAGAATGCAGGATAGGGTAATCTGTGCCTTACCGTTTTGACAATAATAAAGGCTTTCTGGTTATTTTTAAAGCCGTTAGTTGTCACCAACTTTAGTAAGTACGAAGCTCATACTTACGTAAGTCGTATAGTTCTTTGTAGGTAATTTTATCGATACTAGATCACATCACTAAACCATGTTTACACTTCTTAACGCATTTCATTCATTCTCTTTTGCATATTCATTCTACGATGTTTTTAGAAATACCCGGATGCTGACTTATTGCTTAAAAAGATGTACCTTTTGTATTGGACTCACTTAAAATAAAAAACATCAAAATTTATACATTATTAATCTTTAACAAGGTACGGTACATGATAGCTCAATAGGTAACAGCACGGATCGCCATGGTTGTCGGTTTGAGGCCCGCTCAAATATTTTCAATCATAACATATTTTTAATAAATTTGTGGTTATTTGCCATTATTGTACTTTAATGGTCGATTGGATTATATTATAGTTGTGAATGGATCGATTTATTTTTACAAAATCAATAAAAGAAACATAAGCGAAAGTGTGAAAGCCCGTTTGCCCCTCGTGGGGCATGGGGCGAACACATCTCTGTGTCCATTCCATTTTAATAATCGTTCTTTTAACGGGAAAATAGTTGATCAGACTTCTGTGCCCTGCCCGACCGAAACAATTTATCTTTTCCTGGGATACGAACCCACGACCTCTCACGCTTAACGCAATGCTAGGCAATACGTTTAACTATTTCGCTACAGAGGTATATGTATAGGTAACTAAGTAAGATATAATTCGTTCCATAAAACTCGCCATAAAGTTTATCGACTAGATCACGTTTCCATGGTTACCGCCGAGTCCCAACAAAAACAAAATGTGATCTACTTGTCTAACTTAATTATAACGCATTGCTCAATTTGTAGGTAAATATACTTAGTAATGTTTAAAATTATATGAGTAGGACGTAAGGTTGTTTAAGTTTAGTGTTTGTAATTGTTTGATATCAAACGGTACGTATTTAATTGTTTTAAACATTATAAATGTAATAAGTACGCTTAAGGATTAGTTTGATTCAAATAGTGCTTTTAATAGATCAATTTAGAGAAATAAGTACATTAACTAAAATTGCTTTTTATGTACAATTAAATAAAACAAGCATCAAAGCTATAGATTGTATTTTGAAATTAAAATTAAGTTTTTATTTTATATTCATGTACAAATATTATCACTAAAGTAATTTAAGTGTTACATTAAAATATGAAATATACTTCAATCCTTCAAATAATTGTTCAATGTTATCCTTTACTCTATAAACGCATGAGTATAATTATATGAATTTAACGTTGATAGACCAAAAAATAAGTAATAAGAATTATTAAGAAATAAAGGTGGTTTTTGTTTAATTTTCGAATGTCTTGTAGATTAAATTATTTACCGAATTCGAGAATTTATATATAAATAAATAATTAATTACAGCCAAGTAACATCAATATGGTGAAGAAGTATATATTTATCTCAGTTCTGACTGTGTTGCTAGGCAACGTATATGGAAAGTGGGTTGAAGGTAGAATTAACACGAAGGAGGTTAGTATTGTACCTTATTATATATAGTTTGGTATGAGTAGTGTCTGCAATTTACTCAAGTAGTCCAAATTTAAGTAGAATACTTTTAACGGTCTTATTCGCGAATATAACACTTTATATAGCCTGAGAAAGCCACTAACACTTTTATGAGCCTGGGACACTCCACAAAATAATTTAAATAAATTTCGGGATTTTTTTTTATTTTTAATCACCTTTTTTTTTATTTTTTTTTTTTTTTTTTTTTTCCTATATTTCGTTTTGTTTTATTAAATCTATATAATTTTTCAGAACTGGGCGTTTCTCGCAAGATTCTGTTTCCTGTCGCTAGAGGGCGAGTTTGAGTACCTGATTGAGTTTGAAAGAGATATGGGGACGCCCAATTTATTACTATATTACGACGATCAGTCACAATGGCCCTCTGTGTATCATAGCAAACGGGTAAGATTCAATTTTTATTAATGCAATTCAATATAGCTTGTATATAGAAGTAATTCACAATTAAACAGAAAACTTTTAACGGTATCTAATCCGAAATAATGGTACGTTACGTCGGGTTGTAGTAAAAATTGTATTAAAAAAGAAACAATAAACAATGATGTGGTGTACTTTTCAATTTTTAAATCTTTTGATGAATTCTTCACAGACGTGTCAGGACCGCGAATCAGTACTCAATAAAGGCGGACAAAACCAGATTGTCAAACTATCACACTGGTATCCTGACACTGAATATTCAGGCTGTGTACTCACGAAGGCCAACAAGGAATTGCCGTCTGCTAAAAGGTAGATTGTAAATTTTAAGTTAATAGAGAATTCAATGTAGAGTGATATATTAAGAGGTTTCTAATGCAATGTTGTAAATTAAAATATTTCTTTGCGCATACGATGCTAACACTGGCGGAACCCCATGAGAAAAATCAAAATAATTATAATTAAAAGTTCGCGATAGTATATCTGTAGGTCCCTTAATGATATGACCAATTAATATATTTAATGGAAAATATAAATAAAATTTAGAATCAATTTTCAGCAACATTAGAATTATCATTATCAGTACCTTAAATACATATTGAATTGCACCCTTGCGAAGCCTGGGAGGACCGCTAGTATTACATAATCTAAATTTAATAATATCAATTAAATTTCAGTACAACACCTAAACCAAAAGCAAAACAAACGTTCAAACCAAAATCGATTCCTAAAAACAACATCCCTGTAGACCCAGAATACTATGACCAGTTTTTGAAAACTACCACGTCTACAAAAACTACCACTGACGCAACCACAAAGGAGCCAAACGCTACCACATGGTACGAATTGATTCCGGACGAGTTTAACTCTACCACGGAGTTGCCAGATGAATTATGGGAGAACATAGGGCCAGTTAAGAATGGTAATCTCTCGGAAGATTTAAAAGATGTGGAATTGCTTTTTGATAACTATAATAACAGCGTAAGTAACCAGTTTAATTATATAATAATTTTTGAATACTGTCTATAGTTTACGCGAGTAGTACACATTTAAATAAAACACTTTAACGGTTTAAAACGCGATATATTAGTTAAACTTATTTGAAATGATGCTATAGGCTGTGTTATACCGCCGACCATTAACTGGACCTTATGCTTGTCTGTCTAAAAACCTAAATTAATTGTATTGTATTTTAGCATAAAATAAAGCGATCCATAGAATTGTACGAACGTTACCGTCGGCGGCGTCTCAATGCAGAGTCTTATCAAAATGAGTTCAGCGAGACGGAGAGGATGATTGTGTCCTGTCACAATTCGAGGCGGTTTCGTTCAGCTAGAGAGAGATGGTGGTTCATAGCTATAAGTAACTGTGATAGTCCTAAGGTAAGTGTTGTTTATCTCTATCAATCTAGTTACATCATCCCATACTAAGGAAAGAGCTGGTCCTCTTGGAGAGTTCCCAGAATCTTTAGTATAAACAACAGAGATGGGATGGTGGAACCACGGGAAAAAAACTTTACTCTAACATCGACCTAAGAGTTAAGTCTAGTATTAAAAAAAAAAATTCACTTTGTAAAAATGTCTTTCTGACTCGTCGCAATTTGACTATCTATAGTCAATTTTGTTATGACTGGCCAATATGATAGTCACATTTTTCGACACATAATATAAAACTCTATACTTTTAAGGGTTCAATCAAATCTATAACAATTATAATATTCAAATTACTTATAAAAATTATATGACTCAATAAAAAGATTATAATTAAAATGAGTTTCTTTTTTTAGAGAATCTTTTAATCTAAAATGAAACCAGAGCATTTGCGCTTGGTAAAAAAACATATTTCACGTTATAAAACAGCTGGAAAGTGCCCAAAACCAGTCCAGTCGTAGTTTAATGTTTTACATTTTTATATAATATAGTGTTTAAGACCGTTTTATTTAATTTATTAAAATCATTATTACAGGGCTTAGATGTACGATACAAATTTTTAATGACAAATGGCCCAGATGGTGATTTTTGGCACAAGCATTTTTCCGCAGATGAGTTTTGTAAGTTTTATTAAATATTTAATAATTTATTTTTTTGTATTTCTTTGAATATCATAAAAATTGTTGTAAACAAACTTCGTGTTTATAAACGACATTTTGGTTTTCGTAATTCAAATCATCAATAATGATTGATGATTTGAATTCTTTAAAATTTAAGTAAGTTTATAAATCAAAGCTCAACACTTAAATTAGTTTCTCGCTTACTTGCTGCGAAAATACTAAACCGATTGAAATGAAATTTGGTACACAGATATTCTAGAGCCTGAGAAAGGCTTCTTTAACTTTTTGAGAATAGGAGTGATGTGAGGTGAGAGTGGGAGTGTTGCGGCGAAGTAGCACTTACAACACAGATTGACTGCCTTGAATCTATTGTGAAACCTTTTGCTGTACGAAAAAAAAGAGTAAGGGGTTGAATGAGGGATGAGAAGTAAAAGACTGTCTTTACACATGTGTCTTATTAAATTTATAAATTGAATAAATAAACAGCCTAAATATTTAAAAGTTCTACCCTAAGTCACTATTCCACGCGGACGAAGACGCGGGCACAGAGAGTAAAATAAATAAATCCTAACACACCCTATGCTAAATCTTTTTTGTATATTTATTTACAGATGTCCTACCAATACTTCTATCGTACACCTTCGCATACATAATAGTGATGATCGCAGTAGTGATGTGCTCAGTTGAATTACGTACTCGACATCTCTTACATTCAACATACAAGCTGTTTCTAATATCGATAGTGGTACAGCACAGCGGTGTGCTCTTACAAGCGTTAGCTAATATAAGATATGCTAGTAATGGCGTTGGGGCATCAGCTGCTAAGATAACTGGTAAGTACTTTAAGGAAATTTAAATTACTTACTAGCGTAGGCCACGGTAGCTCAATTGGTTAGAGGAACAGCATGGTACGCTGTCCGTGTCGTATTTTTTTTCAGTTTATAATCGATTTTAATGTATACAAAACGTTTTCATAAAATATATACGTATCAGTTGAATATTCAACCCTTTAAACTTATATCGAACAGACCCCCGTGGGGACAGTCCACACATCGCTATAAGTGCCAAAAATAACACGGTTCTCTTCCAGGGCAATTCCTTTGTGGGGCATCGGAGACAACGTTCCTTCTTCTCCTGATACTATTAGCCAAGGGTTACACGATCACACGTGGTCGTTTAAAGGTCGGATTCACGGTCAAGTTGACCGTGTTTATGTGCCTCTACGTGCTCACGTATGTGGTCATCTTCATCTATCAAGCTAAGGTGAAAATATGTTTAGCTTTAATTATGCATTACACCTTCACCGGAACTCCGGCCAGAGGGAACAGGCTGAAAAACAGCACTGCGATTTCCTTTTAGCAGCATTCAGCTGAGTCTAAAACCTGAGGTGCCATAACATTTTAGTTTTCTGAGTTTTGTCTACTTATACTTAGTTTGGGTTTTTTATTTTTGTGGCAATAAACTACATTTTTTCTTTTCTACTTTTAACGGTTTAAAACGCGATATATGTTTGTTAAACTTATTTAGATACATACATGTTACGTAGTTGGTATTTGACGAAACTGGCCGCCAAATAACAATCCGACGGCGCAGAACAGATGCACAGAACGCGCTAGTGTAGTCTTTACTTTGACATCAGAGACACCCTTCATCTTTAGTCTCCCCGTGACCACGGCTGCTGCAAAGCATCCGAAACGTCGGGCCGAAGTTAAAAATCATTTTCAGATAAGTTTAACTAATATATCGCGTTTTAAACCGTTAAAGTGTTTTATTTAATTAATTAATTTATTTATTTATTATAAAGACAATTAAAACGGCGATAGCCACTTACATTAATTGGATAGAAGTACACAATAGAATTACACTTAAAAATAGAGTATGCATCAATTACATTAGGACAAAATTTAAAAATCAGACAATTCTCTCAGTATTGATGACCAGTGATCTGCGAAAAGATCACATTTGGGTCTTAACTTGAGGAGAGCGTTGAGCGAGGTTAAAATTCGTGGTATCGGCGAAAACGCGCGAGCAGAGGTGCGACCTCTCGGGACGTCAAAGAGATCGTGTCTTCTAGCGCGGCCATAGTTGTTCGGTACAAACAGTCGACAGAAGGCTTCCCTCAAATAAGGATCATCGATTTGGTTTCGAAACAACTTACAAGCTACAACTAATTGCCCACGAGATCTGCGACTTTCAAGAGAATTAAAGCCAAGCTGTCCTAATAAAAACAAGGTCGGATACAAGTAGGGGTAAAAACCGTATTGGTGTTTGTAAAGAAACCGCAGAAAGGCTTTTTGGATCTTCTCAAGCATGAGTATATATTTTCCCTCGTGAGGGTTCCACACGGACGAACTCGATTCCATCTTACTGCGGACAAGACACATATATACAAGGCATATCGCATGCCTATTGCGAAAGTCGCGAACATTGCGCAGGACAAATCCAAGGCGTCGAAATGATTCCTTGGACAGTTCGACTATATGATCGTGAAAGGTCAATTTGCTATCAAATGTAACGCCTAAATCATTAACAAGGGATTTCCTTGCTATCGACGAACCATTAATTTGATAATCGTATATATATGGATGAAATCTTCGACTAAAAGTCATCACTTGACATTTGGATAAATTAAAAATAAGCTTATTATCGATGCTCCACTGTTCAATGGCATTAATATCATTTTGAATAGCAAGGCAGTCGTCATACGATTTAACTTCTGCAAAAATTTTTAAATCGTCAGCATACAAAAGACACCTTGTATGCGGCAAAACTGATGGAAGATCATTCACCATGAATAAATGTGTACTACTCGCGTAAACTATAGACAGTATGTATTTATATTGTTTATTTATTACATTTTGTAGGCTTTTGATCCGGGCGAGGTGCTGTATTTGTATGAGAGTCCGGCGGGGTATGGTTTAATTGTACTTCGAATATCCGGTTGGTGTGCCTTCGCGTACGCTACATACTTCACTGTCAAAAAATATCCAGAAAAGGTGGGTTTTTTAGTCTGACAAAGATTTTTATATGAATATTTTTCTATAAGTGTAAAAGTAAAATAGTTCCTAATTATTTCAGAATATGTTCTACTGTCCATTTTTTATCTGTGGCACGCTGTGGTTTTATGCAGGACCGCTCTTTATATTGACTGCTAATTCATATATAGGTAAAGAGATCATTAAATATAATTCTGTATTATATACCTCGTTAAAAATTATGACAGTGACCAAATTTATTTTCAGATAAATGGGTGCGTGAAAGCGTTGTGACCGCGGTGCTACTGTTTATATCATTCTGTGGCCACGTTATGTTTTTAGTAAGTTTTTCTGGTCCAAGTCAAGTCTATCTAAACTTACAGTCTCTTATTATAATATTTTATTTTAAATAATAAGGATAGATACTAATTGCATTTTTTTCAGCTCCTAACTTTACCTGTGTTCGCAAATAAAAATTTTCCTTACCACGTCAGAACTACTCAAATAGGAGTAATGGAGGTTTGTTTATTTTCATAATAATGATTTTATTATAATGTTCATCGCCTTTTAAAAATTGGCTTAGAGAAATTATATTTTTATAGGTGACAAGCAATCCTGCGTTAGATGGCTTTGGACCAAACCCCTATCACCCCAATTCTGGGGCACAGACTGTCATCATTCCTCTTACCAGGTACCAAATTTTATGGTGCAATTTTATAAAAGCATTTATTAACAAATATTTTTAACGAGACAAGAGAGAGATATACATAAACTAAATAAAACGATAAATAGGTTCAAACTACCAAAAAACGTAATGTAATTATGATTTGTTAAAGTCAAATGTGTGGTTTTATTATAAATATAGATAAATAGAGCAAATATAATGTCAAAAAAATATTGAATTACTTAATCATATTTTAAAGTCTGTATTATATATAATACGAATTACCAACTAATTATAAATTAATTAATTTCTAATTTCAGACGAACAGAGGAACTGATAGGCAGTATTTATAACCAATACATGGCAACAGCGCCCCCGTTGTCGCTAGAGAGTGAAACGCTAAAGCAAAATGGCGCGAAAAGAATAAACTCCGTTAAATCGAATGGACTCATACAACAGAATAGCACAGATACTAACAAATCCGAAGATATAAAACCACAGATAAAAGATAAAGAAATATTTACTGTGGAAAGTCAAATAGCAAAAATAGAAGCACAAGAGCAATCAAACGAAACGTCAAATGACATTAATGACAGTTCAGTGTTGCCAGTTGATTTGCCGAGTAACGGGGTAAATGGCGTCGACTTGCCGAATGTTTCTAGGTCTAAAAGAATTATATTAGAGCCGATAAAAAGGGATGTACCTTCGTGGTCGTTAGCCAAGGGACCTTCAGTAGTTTCAATGCAAAGGAAAAGCGAACAAGGTATTATATTAAGTATATATGTATGTAATATTCAACCATCATCAAGCCATCAAAATAAGAGCCGTTCTCGTCCGTGGGACCAAAAACATTGTTATAACCAAAGCCTACTTAAATTAAAACACTTACCAGTTAATACATAAAATATGTTTTCTTATTTTTAACTACAGTCCATCTGCCGTCCGGAAGCAATTGCGAAAACGTGCCTGAAAAGTCATGAACAGTTAAAAATGTTTTATTTTGATGATGACTTAAATAGACTGTATTGAAAAGGTCGTTTTATATTTTCTTCTTACAGAACAACAGTTGCCACCAATAGCCAATGGAAAAAGACCGTCAGTACGGACTATGCAGTCAAAAGCTGGTGTGATTAGCACCATTCACGAAGGACGCGAACAGACATACAATAGGACTGAAGGGCTATTTACTGTGTCTAAAGGATGATTCTTGTTTGACAGAAGAATCTCTTGGGTGTTTTTTGTGCTATTCACTTATAATTATTGTTTTTAAACATGTTAGACTTCGTCTGGAAATCTGGATGTTAACTGGGTGGTTGGAATATCGAAATCAGAAGTCTGATCAACTACATGTGTACAAAGAAACGGGAACAGAAATATGCTCGACCAGTTCGACCAGACAAAGAGATTACGTATTCACGCATATTGTATGATTTTAAAATAGGAAGCATCTTATTTATTTTAAACAATCACAATGTTATAGAGTTTTTATCATTATTTATTTCATAATGGCTGCTCGGCAAATGCATTTTGTAACAGAAAATAGAAATACATAATATTTCTTTATCTCGCATCAAGGGCAACGATATTATACAAATAGGTTAAATTATAAGAAAGTTCCGATGCTGCTTAAATTGAACGCAGCCATTTTTGCGCGCTGTCACTGTCAGTCGTGCGCATGCGCCGTCAGATTTACTGTTAGTTTGACAGCGCACGCGCTAGTCATAAGTCACCTGGAAGGGTTTGTTTATGTTAGTCTACAACATATGATGAAATTCCTGCCAAGATTATCAAGCACTTAATTACAAGTGTTTATTGATTTATTAAAACCAAGTATCTGCAACAGAAAAATAATGATTATTTGAATGTAAGTAACGATTTGATATATAATGCTTAAATATAACAAAATAACTTAAGCGAAATATTTCGTATTAATTTTTTTAAAAAAAGCTCGTAAACAGATAAACATTATATTACCAAATCAGTAACAATAAATGTTGATCGTTTTATGAATAACAAATCATTTTGCTAAATAAATAACATGTATTTTTTTATTTTATTTATTTAACAAACCATTAATGGATTTCAGTTATTTATTATATTAATAATAAAAAAATAAAAAAAACATGTCAAATATTATAAAAAAACACATACTTTATATTTCTTATCTCTCAAACTTATCAATATTTGAAATATGTAATTCAAAGGGACTGTTGACATAATTTTTACTTATAAACTCAATCTACGGTTTGAGAAATGTCAATCGCGTTTGTAATGAATATATTGGTAAAGATCGATATTGTAAATACTTAGATCGTAAAATAATTAAATAGCGTAATTTAAATGACTCGTGACGTTTTGTGATCAATGTTGCCATCAGCGGCGAACGAGGGTTTAAAAATGTGTTTAAAATCACAGCTCTATCACTGGACTTTGACCTGGCTTAGCATGGACTTCTAAACCTGTTCTTAAGATCCTCGTCATCGTCCAGCTAGTGTAGATTCCAGAGAAAGACCCAAATTATTGCGCACGAGTTCTAGTAATAAGTCACGCGTGATATTTTCTAGTCGAAGCAATAAAGAATCTTTGTATTTAAATGAGTTTTATTTCCATACAGTACAATTGTTTAACTTTAAAAAACGCACAAATATGTTACTTTAGTTGAAATAAAAATTGACCGCCTTCCTAGTCAAATAGTTAAACGTCTTGCCTAGCGTTGCGTTCAGAGAGATTTTGCGTTCGTATCCTGAGGAACACTGGATTGTTTCGGTCGGGCAGGGCACAGAAAAGAATCGATAAGTGGCACGGACACAGACATGTCACAGATTAAAAAAAAATGTTAGTTAAATAATGTTTATCGATCGATGTTTCGGCTGCTTTAAAACCGTTAAAAAGAGTTACCGTTGTTTGTATGCACCAGTCACGTAAATAGATACAGTGTGGGCAACATACGTACAGTATTCATACAAATAATTACTTAGAAGATAAAATCTTTCAAGGTTACTTGTATTTTAAGTGTTAGTTACACTAAATACTGTAATAGTAAATTATTAAAAGTCATGTCATATGTGTCGTATGTATAATGATGTCATAAGTCTTATGCTAGAAGAAGAAGAAGTATAGAATTCTTCTAGAATAATCGTGGGCCAGTCAAGCATGGGACACATAAAACTTACTACCGGAATTTTAAATTATGTGAACGATAGCATTTTCATATAAATTAAAATACCATTTCGCTTTTAAACCGTTAAAAAGGTTTTATCTATATCAATGTTTTTTGGAAAATATTAAAGCTTTAATACGATCTTTTCAAAGGTATAACAAGCTATAAAGTTATAGAAATACACTTGTCACGCGAGAACAAACATTTTGAGCTAGTAACACGGCGATCGTAGTTCGCGGAACTATTTGAATAACAAATTTTATTTCGAAGTGTCGGCCTATTCAGATGTTCTCTTTAAATACACGCGCTGAACGCCAAAACCACGTGTGTATTGTGATTGATTGAGTTTTTCAAGGTTAGTAATTTAAGAGCTTAAATCTTGCTGATTAAACGGCTCACCGACTCTTATAAAATTTTGCATGAACGTGAAAATATTAAGTCGTTTTACATGTTAAATAATACTTTACTATGTTAAGCCGCGCACCGATAATTTTAAATAAATGAATAAATTACATTAATGTAGAATATTCAGTTATTATCTATTGAAAGATCTATATCTGATTATCAGATATCTATTAGTTTGATAATTACTATGATTATTGTTACTTTAAATAAATCATTTTAACGGATTAAAACACGACTTATTTTATTAAACTTATGTTTAATTTTATTTATCCGGCGTTTCGGTCGTGACTACGAACGGCCATTGCAAAGCATTCGAAACGTCGGGCTGTGTTAAACTAACAATAAATTAATTGATTTCGCGTTTTAAACTGTTAAAAGTGTTATATATAGATGTTTAAATACTGTCTGTAGTTTACGCGAGTATTATACATTTAAATAAAATACTTCAACAATTTAAAACGCGATATATATTAAACTTATTTGAAAATTGTCCTAAGTACTTACATGGCTTCTGCAAAGCATCCGAAGCGTCGTAGTTAAAAAAAATCTGATAAGTTTAACTAATATATATCGAGTTTTAAGCCGTTGAACGTGTTCTATATAAATGTGTATTACTCGCGTGAACTATAGACAATACTTAGTTATTATACAATATATTTTATTCTTAAAATTTACTTAACTTTTTTTAGACTAACATTGTTTGATTCATACATCCACGGTTTTTGTTGTCTATTAATACATGAGACCTTGAACTTCGGACACTACGGCGTATTATTTGTATGGATATTATAGGTTACAAGGGTTTCCTGTTTCCTCATAGCAGAATGTTTTATTGTTTCTAGGTGAAATGAAATTTGTAGATTTATATCTGTAATTATGGATCCTGGTTACTTTAACATAGAGAGGGAACGGAACCCAAGAGAGACTGCCAACATTATTTCAAGATTGAGTTATTGGTGAGTACTCACAATTAAATGAAATTGGCTCGTGGGTTCGTGAGTTCAATACCCATCAAATCCAACGTGTCTATTTGAAGTTTTTTTGCAACATATTGGCCTTTGTCTAGATAAATTTGAAGTGTTTAGGAATATCGAGATGCCGTCCAAAAACGGACGTATTCATCTGTTAGTGTGAGAAGTGTCAACTTAATGTATACTTTTTTAATGTAACAATTTATATAAAACCTTTTTTCCGTTTAGGTACACGCTACCAACATTCAAGAAAGGTAGAAGCGGGCAATTAAGCATATCTGATATTTACAGGTAATGTCTTTATAAATGTAGGTTGATAATATAACCATATTATGGTGGTAGATTACAATAAAAAAATTAAATGAACATTCAGAGATCTTAATATACAAATAGATAGCGCCACCTTTAGTAATTGAAGTAATAAAAAGTTAAAATACAATTTTAAACCTAACCTTCATATAAATACGAGTTAACCGTAAGTTCACATGATGATATTAATTAGGAAACGATTGTAAATTGAAAAAAATTACGACACGAGCAGGACTTGAAACGGCATCCACGGCATTCCGTGCTGCTGTTCTAACCAATTAACTACCATGTCCTACACGTTATCGTCAATTTTTTATTCATGTAATATTAACCATAATACTTGCGTAATATTTTTTTTTAATCTCATCGATTTTTATTTTTTATAACCTTATTCCAGATGTATCCCAAGCTTCAGGTCGTCTCTACGAGGAGATGTTATGAGTGAAGTTTGGACGAAAGAACGATTAAGGCAAGGTACAACAGATTTAAATACGATTTACGCGTTTATATACATTTATTGAAGCAAATAAGATACACAGAGAAAAAAATCGAAAATAAATTGAAAAAATTACGACACGGACAGGACTTGAACCGGCATCGTCAGCGTTCCGTGCTGTTGCTCCACCAATCGACTCGGTAGCTCAAAGTTCCTTCATGTGCAATGTGAAAAATAATAAAGTTTTCAATCTTTTATACGGACGGAGACAGCGACAAACTGGGTGGGGTCCGTTAAGTCGCTTTCTCTGTCGTAAGGTTACTAATATATTTCTCGTTTAAAACCATTAAAAATTATTGAATGTGTGCTTAAAAACTTTCTCTTGCAGATAAAACACCTTCTCTATTACGATGCATTTTCAAGGTTTACGGAGCAGAGTTTTTCTTAACGAATTTTGTTTGGGCAGCATTAAATATTTCGTTAAAGTAAGTCTATATTACATACTACTATTATTAGTTAATTACTTAGTACGATAGTTTTAAGATTATTAAAAGTTTAAAAATCGAAAATAAATTGAAATAAATTTTGACTCGGGCAGGACTTGACGATGATTTTTTCAATTTATTTTCGGTTTTTAAATTATATGCTGCCTTCGTGTAACAAATATTAAAGTTTTCAAACATTATTAATAGTTACAATAACTTTGTTTGCTTATGTATTGACACAGAACGCAAATTCGAGCCTTGCCTGTTCAAAAATGTAATATTGTTTTGCTAGTTGTAACCATTAATTTGTTATGATAATTTAAAGAGGAATCATTCTTACATACACATTTTTAGTTTTATAGCCTTACTCGATAAATGCTCTAACCAACACAAAACTATTTTTCATTTCGTACTCGTAGTTACTGAGATTAGCGCGTTCAAACAAATAAACTTCAGATCTATCTATTAGTATAGATATTATGATATTGTGTTATAGAATGTCAACGCCGTTATGCCTTGAAGGTCTCATCAATTATTTTTCTTCATCACATTCCGGTGTAACTACTTCTCACGCATATTGGTACGCTTTAGGTGTCGTCGGGTAAGTGAAACTTTATAATTCCTTTCAACTCTGTATAAAATGCATTGATTTAGATGATAGTAAATCTACTGATATTAAATCCAGTAAAAGTATCTCTATAACGGTAAATTTGTAATAAAAAAAACTTTTTTTTTTTTATTTATAGCCAGGTAGCAATTTAAGTAATACTTAACACTGATAGACAACGCTAGCTAGCTACGATTGTATTACACGTGACTTCAATAAATCTTTATAGTTTTTGTCATGTTACCATTAAAAACTGTCTGTAGTTTACGTGACTAGTAGGTAGACATTTAAATAAACCATTTTAACGGTTTAAAACGCGAAATATATTAGCTAAAGTTATTTAAAAATTATTTTAACTACGGTCCGATGTTTTGGAGGCTTTACAGCAGCCGTGGTCACGGCGCTATAAATATTCTGGATTAAAAAAAAACAGCATACCGGCAATTATAAAGACACTGATCGTCAAACTACGACAGAACAGATGGCGCTATCGTAGCAGTTATTTACTTTGACATTAGAGACACCCTTCATCTGTAGTTTCCCTGTGACCACGGCTGCTGCAAAGCAATCATCGGGCCGTAGTTAAAGTAATTTTTAAATAGATTTAACTGATATTATTTTGCTTTTACATAATATTATATAGATTAAATCTAATATATGTATGTGACTTATGATTTTCAGCTCAATGACGTTAATCGCAATAGTATCTCATCCGATGCTGTTATTCCTCATGGAGATAGCTTTGAAAGTCAGACTTACTTGCTGTTCCTTGATTAATAGGAAGGTAAGATTATGGATTGAACTGCTTAAGTAAAGAGAATTTACTTATTCTGTAACAAGATTTTGTTACAGAAAAAGTAAATGCTTCACAACTTGTTGCCTATCATTGAAATAAGCAGGAGATTATGGATTCGAATCCCGGTAATAGAATATATGTATTGTTCCGGTCGGGCAGAGCACAGAACTTGCAGCCTGTCTGATCTCTACTTTAAAAAAATATTCAGTGTAATGTAGTAACTACAATATGGTCGCCGAATTTTTAGAAACGTAGCATTTCATTTTTATACCAATATTTTGAGACTAATGTTTTTTTTAGTTAAACTAGCATAGCTAAGAATCAAAAATTCGGCCCCCATGGCCATCTGCCACACGCGTTAAGTGTGTTAGATTAAACTCTGCTTACTCTTTCAAAAATATTGATACAGATAACATTTCTTAAATTTCAGTTACTTCGCTTAGATTTGACAGCCGGTGGGAAAGCCTCGGAAGGTCTCACAGGCCATTTGGTCACCCTCCTGACCACGGACGGTCAACGGTTCGACATGGGCAGTCTTACACTTAGTGACTTAGTCAGGGCGCCCGTAGAAAGCGTCATTATAATATCCTTTATGTACAGACAAATTGGAGTGTCGGCGTTGATAGGGACTGCGTTTCTACTATTGCTTATTCCTTTGCAAAGTGAGTAGATTTGTAATAACGTCATCTGTAATTATTTTTTGGATAATAATGTAGAGTTTGATATCCCCGTGGGTCCACCGTATTTCTAATCAATGTATAATTTTTCTGAAACCTGTTGGCTGACTTCTGGATATCTGGATGAATAAATAGGTAGGAATATAAAATTCCGTGGATCACGAACCACCGTCTACAGATGAAAAAGTTATGTTTAATCAATATTTGGTTTTCAGTCTATAGATTTCCCAATATCCAATTCCAAAATGGGTGGACAGCGTATTTTGTTTATAAGTTATATTGCAGGGGTATTTAACTTACTATCAAGCCTGTCTGTCCTGCTCCGTAATAAATAAAAAATCATTAATTACAAAGTGTTAATGTTAGCGAAGATTAGCATAATTTGTTTGACTATTTTAATACTTTTGCAATCTTTATTAAATTTGTGATTGTGGTGTACTTATTTTACTTAATATATTTTCCAGGTTACTTAGGTAAAGTATCTGGTCGTCTAAGTTATAAGACATCAGCGAGAACAGATAACAGAATCCGTCTGATGAACGAGGTGATCCAAAGCATAGAAGCCATCAAGATGTACGCTTGGGAGAACGCCTTCGCCGGGATTATTGGGAGAGCTAGGAAGTTAGTATATTTATATACATTTTTTTTAAATTTAACTGAAACATTTTTATCTAACTATGTTTGAAAAATTCTGAAATTGGAGAATTTTTTAGCAGTGGCAATATATATTGTTTATAATAGAGGAAGATAGACGAGCATGGGGATATCTCCTTCCATCTGGTGACCCCCACACTACAACCATACAACAAGATGAGACCTTGAATATTTGGTAACCCACAGACTGAATTTGAATTCCTACGCAGGATTCGTAATCGCTACCAACTTAATATCCAGATTTTTCGGGCGAAGTCTCAAATATTTCAGAAAAATTCTAAATTTATTTTAGAAACATGTTGGAACCCAGTGAGAATGAAATCCAATATTTGTTGATTCAGCTATCGATTTTTACTATAGACCAACGAGCCAATAAATTGTCTTATTATAAACCATATGTCACAACTGATAAATGTAAGATTGATTTGTTTGTTCGTTTAGTTTTTCCAGTGTATATCTGATGTGTTGCATTCTTTCAGAAAGGAAATGAAGGTGATCAAAAGGATATCATGGCTGCGCGCGATAATGATGTCATGCGCAAAGCTCAACACAAAAGTTGCCATATTCATAAGTCTAATGTCGTACATTTCGTTCAATAACGATTTGACTGCTGCAAAAGTGTTCGTTATATTTTCGTATTACGAGATGTTAAAGTTAACTTTGGTAGATTTTCTACCGAAAGCCGTGGCTTATGTGCTAGAGGCTCATGTGAGTGTAAAACGAATGGAGGCATTCTTACTTTTGCCGGAAGTCGAAAATGAAGATGGCGTCGATTTGATTCACATAGACAAATTGGAAGAAAAAGACGAAGATATATTTAAGGATGTCGAGAAAAGGTTTCCTTTTTTGTACCAGAACATCATTCATTATTAGTTTATTATAAAGTACAATCAGTAAATATGGCTTCCTTAACTTTTATTATTTATAGAATTAATTTTCTTATTTTAGCAAACAAATATACAAAAACACAGCATCTAATTTGGAACCCTTAAGTTCTGAAAGTCTACTTAAATTGGAAGACTATACGGTATTCTGGAAGAATTTAGACCAACTAACATTAACAAAGACTGAAGCATTAAGAGACATTAATTTAGACGTAAGAACCTTTATCTACATTTTTATGTATAACACCACCATCTGTTGATGCCATACGATAATATTTTACAGATAAAGCCCGAGACGCTTACAGTGATAGTAGGAACAGTGGGTTCAGGCAAGTCTACTCTGATACATGCAATGTTAAAAGAGTTCATACCAAGCTCAGGATGTCTGACGGCTAGAGGCAGCTTGGCTTATGCGGCACAAGAACCCTGGCTTTTTGATGCCTCGGTAGGTTTAAAAAAGTCTTTTTTAAAAACATTAATTAATAAGTACTTATCGTTCTTTTGCAAATTAAATTAAGAGATTTGAACAGCTCATTTTTGTTGTAGGTCCGACAAAACATTCTCTTTGGTCAAGACTTCGATTTAAGACGATATAAACAAGTATTAAAGTGTTGCCAATTGCTATCAGACTTGAAAATATTGCCACACGGAGATAAATCTTTAATAGGCGAAAGGGGTTAATATATTCTTCAACCAAATATTGTGCCATTTATAAAATAAGATTTTCTTAAAGCTACCGATAGCATTGAACCATCATTTAATTTTCTACATATTTAAATTACAGGAACATCTCTATCTGGTGGCCAACGAGCGCGTATATCGTTAGCTCGATGTGTCTATAAATACGCTGATGTTTATCTCTTAGACGACCCGTTAGCAGCAGTCGATGCTAAGGTGTGGTGCGCTACAAAGTAATATCTTAGTTCCCCTTCTATTCTTTGTTTATAATAATGGAATTTTCAGGTTGCCCAAGCGATTTATAAAGAATGTATTCGCGGTTTCCTTCGAGATAAAGCCGTGGTTTTAGTGACACATCACGTTCAGTATGCGAGACAGGCGAACAATGTTTGCATCATGAGAGGGGGTAATGTACGTAGAAGTGTATCATTATTTAAGACAGTCACGTATGCTTTAGAGTAAAATTTGTTGATTTATTCTAGCTAGTCGCTCAAGGGGTATATGAAGATCTGGTTGATATACCCGAAATAGAGCAACTGATAGAGATAAGGGAAAAAATCGATAAAGAACAGCAGAAAGACGAGATGCCAGTCCTTAAGGGTCAGGTAAGTGTAGCCACGTAGAAATAAAAATTCAAATTCGATTCGATTCATAATTCGAGCTAAAAGTGCTTTAATACTTTTTTATTTTAGGAAAACGGGAAAATTGTACAATTGGATAGATCAAAATCACATTCCTCTATTAACTTGGATGATACTTGTGATCCGAAGTATGAAGGTTAGTAACTAATAAAAACACAGACAAGATAATTTATTTATGTTAAAACAATCAACAATATTTTTATGCTACTTTTCAGCTGAAACACAAACCAGAGGAGGAGTATCAAGTAGTGTGTACATGTCTTATATCAAGAGCGGCAGTAGTAAATTCACTCTCATACTCTTACTCTTTCTGTTGGTTGTGGCTCAAGTTTTCTACTCTTCTTCTGATTTCTGGTTAAAAGAATGGTGAGCACCGTTTAATTATTAAGAACGTCATTTTTTTCGGTGAAGAGCAAACGAGACGAAGAATATTAAATAAAATAAGAAACTCTAATTTAAAAGCCTTTATAATTTGGGATTTAATAAAGACATAAGATAAATATACTCAAACCCACGACCTCCAACCAACTTAGCGACTTTGCCGTACCATAAGTCTCATTTCTTTAGTATTATTTTTGATCTAAAATAATTAGCGAATTCCATATAAGTCTTGTTTCAGGGTTAACATAGAAGAATCAAACAGTGTAAAAAATATTTCACAGTCTAATACAAGTATGGACAACTTGCCAGGTAAAATACCAAAAAGAACAAGATCAAATCCTAGATATAAATAGGTTAGACAAAAGGTCATAGGCTCATTTCCATGGGGCATGGGGCATAGATATGTCTGACCCGTAATATCGATTTCATTTACAAGTGTTCGTTGATCAAACTCCCGTGCCTTTCTCGACGGAATTAATTTGTTCTCCCGAGATTTGAATTTAGGACCAGTCATGCTTGAGTTAGGCCAAACAATAACTATTAAATATTATAGAGACATTGAAGATTGGATATTAATTATTGTACCTATTTACAGTGATCTATGAAGATCTTCCCTCAAACCGATTCCACTTGACGCGTGCGCAGTGCGTCTACATATACGCGTCTCTGATTGGAATTTGTATGTTCTTCACATGGAATAAATTTGTCGTCTTCTACAACGCCTGCATACGAGCATCCATTAAGCTTCATGATACTATGTTCAGGTGAGTCTTTAAGCATTTGGATTCATAGAATATCTCTAGAATAACTCTTTTTCCATCTTGTTTTTTATTATCTTGGGTTGCCTGGAAGAGATCGCTCGATAGGCCACCCTTTGAAGTCCATATTTTGTGTAAATAAGTCTTCATTCACCGTGTTAGGGTTTCAATTTGAATGTATTTTGATTACTTGATGGAGTAATTTGATTTTATCACCTTTGTTGCAGGGGTGTCACAAACGCGCCAATGTGGTTCTTCCATCACAATCCATCTGGTCGGATCCTGAACAGATTCTCGAAAGATATGGGGCAAGTTGATACCTTGCTGCCCCTCAATTTAATCGAGTGTGTTGGGGTTAGTTCTTATAATTTTCAACATAATAACAAGATGGAAGCAATAATGATCTTGGATGTATATTTTGTTATAGTTTTTCTTCGAACTGACAGCCATCCTCGTGGTCGTCTGTTTGGTGAACTGGTGGTTGCTGTTGCCGACCTCTGCTGTTGCTTTTTTGATGTTTCTGATGAGAGCTATGTTCCTTGGGACGAGTAGGGAACTAAAAAGAATTGATGCTATAGGTAGGGTTAAACGTATCAGATGTGACGATTGTGTATTGAAATTAAAGGTATACACAATATTTCTATAAAGAAAATAAGATTACATCAAGTCCAGCCTTCAATAATTATCCAAAAATCCATCGAATGTAATCCTAAAAATATGTTACAAATAACATATCTGTCTGTAGTGTACGCGAGTTGTAAACATTGAAATAAATTACTTTTGACGGTTTGAAACACAAAATACACTGTCTTAATCCTTCCGTGACCATGACTGCAAAGCATCTAAGACGTTGACAAGGTCTTATTTAAATAACATAGATATGAAATTGGTCTTAGAACGTCACTTTTTGTATTCTCTCTATTATCTTGTTGTAGTGGATATACCTCATTGTTTTTTTATAGCATACAGCCAAAATCTGAATCACGCAACAGCTACAGTAGCAGGTCTCGTTACAATACGCTCGACGGGAGATAAACAACGAACTCTTGCGCAGGAGTTCGACAGGCTACAGGACCTGCACACTTCCACCTGGACGTTGGTTCTGGCCACTAATAGAGCGTTCGGCTTCTGGATGGATATGCTTTGCAGCGTGTATTTGGCTACTGTTACTTTCAGCTTTTTTATATTTAGAGAAGGTTAGTATGGACCTAGTAGGTTAAGAATATGGTATGGTCTTTATTAATTAAAAAATAATTATGATTATTTATAATAATAATTATTGTATTATTATCATTAAATGTATTGGCTGGCTTTGTATTAAGAGCTAGTTGAAATTTCGGAATGCTATCGAAATGATAAAAATTACATCAATTCAACATAAATACAAATGTCTCCGTCGTATAAATCCATTTTCCCTAAATAGGGAATTTAGGGAAAATGGATTTATACTTTTAACGGTTCAAAACGCGAAATCTACCAGCCGTAGCCACGAGCGTCCCACGCCTGCTGCAAGGCATCCGAAATGTCGAGATGCAGTTAAAATAAATTGCCAATAAGTTAACTAAAAGTGTTTTAATTAAATATATACGACTCCCGTAAATACTAATTATTAGAACAATGTAATAAAAATGGCTGAAAATTATTGTCACCTAGTAGTGACAATAATTTATAAGAGGTGGAATTTAAATTAATTTATTAGTATAGAATAGCCGATAAAGATTTAATTTCATATGTTTATTTTTTAGGAACCATGGGCGGCAATGTCGGTCTTGCTATAACACAAGTAATAGGTCTTGTCGGTATGTGTCAATTTGGAATGAGGCAGACAGCTAAGGTTGAAAACCAGATGACTTCTGTAAATATTTTTCAATTTCTCAAAACCTTTTAGACAAATTAACACTAATATAAATTCAACTTAGTTAAGATCAATGATTCCAATTGAAAAAATATTTGTTAGATAGACTATTTATCGAGGAAGGCTTTAGGCTATATATCACGCTGCGACTAATACAAGCAAATAAATACAGGGAAATGTGAGAAAAACTATTCTTTGAGGGCTTTCGATGCGTGCTCTGCGATAACGGTCCAAGAAACCAAAAAATATGTATGATAGATCGATTCCTCCTTAAATGATCTGAAAAATGGCCGCGTTATATGTCTATCTTTTAAGATCAACTCGCAAGAACGACGGGACGCCACATCGTTGGCAACAATTTATAGTTATAAAGGTTTAAAATTTTTCTTCATGTATATGAAAGAGATCGTTTGAGGACTTCTTCATAATAAAATTGTTTGGTTATAGGTTGAAAGGATTTTGGAATATACAAATCTTCCACAAGAAGCACCAGTAGACCCCGATCAAGAAAATCTCAAAGTTAAATGCCCCAATGTCGACTTTGAAGAGTGGCCAAGTCAGGGTATGTAATTATTGTGAGCAAAATAATAAATGAAAATTCTTTATTTCCTTGAAAAAACTATTAAGTACAGATTTTTTAGTAAAATAACATTTCAGATATACGTATCGTATAATCAAGTAGAACCGTAGTTTAGTCCACTGTAAATGAAAAACCGTTAAAGTAATTTACGTAAATATATACTTCTCGCATAAGCTACAGACAGTTTTTCATCTTTTTCACTATTGGTTTAAAGGGTGAATTTTATTGCAGGTGAAATAGTATTCGAAGACGTATCCCTCGAGTATGAGAAGCCGCCGATGACGGAACCAGTGACGGATCCAGCACCGAAGGTAGACGACACGGCATACGCCATCCGCGGTGTCAACTTCTCCATTCGCCCTGGGGAAAAGGTGGCCGTGGTGGGGAGGACGGGGGCTGGGAAGAGTTCGCTTATTGCGGCTCTATTTAGGTTTGTCAAGTTTTATACACATTTTAAGGTATAAGGTACGTTTCGTGAAATTTATTTATCATACGGCCTTGTATAGGTTGAACAAAATAACGGGCAAAGTGGCAGTGGATGGCGTCACGTCGGAATTGGCTGGACTCCGCGCGTGGAGGTCTCGCCTTTGCGCGTTGCCTCAGCGGCCCGCCCTGTTCGCAGCCACGCTTCGGGACAACTTGGACCCCGAACAGAAGTACTCCGACGCTCAGATAAACGCCGCCTTGCATGAGGTCAGTTGGCTTTATGACTTCTGTAAGACAGATTTTTAGCTCTTTACTTTACTATATGTTTTTACATCTCAGGTGGAGCTCCAATCACTGGTATCGGCTCTTCCGGGTGGTCTTTCGTCTCGCGTTGGGGATGGTGGAGGAAATCTGTCCAGTGGACAGAGGCAGCTGGTGTGCTTAGCGCGTGCGGCGTTGGCGAGACGAGCTGTTCTAGTGCTGGATGAGGCGACCGCTAACGTCGATACTGAGTGAGCTACTGGTTATAACTGGTCCTGGATCAATGGTCTTACACTCTATAACTCTTCTCTTTCCTTCACAGAACGGACAGGCAAATCCAGAGCACGATTCGCAGTAAGTTCGCCAGCTCCACGGTCCTCACCATCGCACATCGACTCAACACAGTCATGGACTATGACCGGGTCATCGTCATGGACAAGTCAGTGGCAACTTATTTATATAAAATATCTATACTTATATTATAAATCTGAAGAGTTTGTTTATTTGCACGCGCTAACCTCAAAAACTACTGAATGGAATTGAATAATTCTTTTTGTGTTGGTTGGTCCATTTATTGAGGAAAACTTTAGGCTATAAACATCATGCTGCAACTAATAAGAGCGAAGATATAGTGGGAAATATGGAAAAAAAAGGGGAAAGCTATTTATTTTATTCCTCTCTGAGTGCGTACGCAACTTTCGTTGCAAAAACGGTATAAAAGAATGATTCCTCTTTAAATGTTCTGAACAAATGTCTGCGACAGTATATGTCTCTATTAATAATATATATTAATATTATAAAGAGGAAAGATTTGTATTTTTGTATGTAACGGATAAACTCAAAAAAAGCAACATTATCACCGAGTAACATAGGCTATATTTAGTACTTGATTACTATAGACATCATGATTTCCATGAAAAAAAGTAGGTGTAAAAAAAAATTGCCGTAAAATATCTTTCATCGCATTATGATAGGACAAAAAAATATTCGACAATATTATAGGATATATCAATATATACAAGACACATCGCGAGACCTTATGTCTAACTATTGTAGTTACGACACTATAACTACTTTTTTACATATAACAAATTGATAGAAATGCCGAACAAAAACAGACCGTGTTATCCATACCATTTACAATTATTTATTTAAATAAATAATTTAAAACTCCAAGACTGTGACAATACCTGATGATTACTTTTTTAATTATAGAAATCGGACATTCCTTTCAAAAGATATACAAGTAGCTAGGACGCGCAATACAATTATTTTCTAATTTAGTGATTCATGGTCGTTTTAATTAGCATGCTTTTAAATTAAATATCTGTACCTATCGTCTACCCGTGCGAAGCCGGGACTTGCCGCTATAAGCTAATCTATATATTGACTCGCATGAACGTCGGAACGCCCACGACATCATGGGTAACAGCTTAATTCACACACCTGACGTTGTTAGCAATAATGATACCAACAATAACTATTCTACGAGGATAACAGTTTGTATATTTTCATTTGTATTCCAATAATCTTAAGGTAGACTTTTATTTTACTTGACAGAGGTCGTGTGGTGGAATCGGGACATCCCTTCGAACTACTTAATCGAATCAATGTCCACTCAAAGTCAGAAGATGTGGAAATCCTTGAACACAGAAATAGGACTTATTACAATCGGTATAAGGAATACATTTATTTGCTAACCGTGTTTCGATGTAATATTTATCATTATCGTGTATCAAATATTTCAGATCAAATTCAATTGAACGAGAGGAAGGTATATTCAAAGTCCTAGTGGAGCAAACTGGCAAGGAAACAGCAATCAAGTTGTACAAGATAGCAGAAGAGGTATATATTTATACTTTTTTGAATCTATACTAATATTATAAATCTAAAGAATTTGTTTGAAAGCGCTCGTCTCAGAAACTGATTCGAATTGAAAAACGTAACGGTGAGAAATATAAAATATTCATATAAAAAAATAAGGCAACAGCAAACACATGTTTATCAAATCTTTTCAGAGTTACCAGAGAAGACGAAAAAACAAATGAAGTCTAAAGGACTCTGAAGTTGATGGACATTTAATATGGTGCTATAGATGCTTGAAGCGATCAAGGACAGGTAAAAAAGTGTCTATGTTAAAAGAATGGCAATATGTACTATATATAAACCTGTTACCTCAAACAAGTTTTTTTTTTACTTATTAACGGCCTCTTTGGTTTGATACCCTAGTGGAATTCGTCTGGAAATATGGAACCACAGATGATAAAGCCGTGAAATTTAATCGCGTATTGGTTGCAGTCTGCGGGCTTACCAATATCCAAAGGAAAGGTCGACATCGCTTCGTTTTAAGATATTATATGCCTGAGGTATTTCACTCCCCATCAAATGACCTTCATGCTTGTCAATTCTCTATAATAAAAAATAACATTTTGAAGGATAAAAAAAACTTAATAAAGCAATAATAAAATAAACTGAAAATAGGATTAAAATATTCTCTATATTACAATATAAATTACATACATTATTAAGTACTAACACACAAATTATATGATAAAGGCACAGATTACAATGAACAGTAGGGAGCAAAAATATTTAGTATTTCCTATGTTACTTATTGTTACAATTATAATTTATATTTAAGCTTTTTATGCTCTGGGGTCGGAGTGATAAAAAAATAACAATAAGTCTACTGTTCCATATAATCTATGATAAGGCTTATTAATTGACTAAATCACAAAATTGTCTATGCATTACAATTAAATAAAAATTCGAATAACATAGGAATTAAGTAAAATACTGTAGGTTCGAATCACATAGCTTCTTACTAAAAACTAACAAATCCGTCTCATATTTATAATATGGCAATGTAGCACCTTTGGAGTAGAACTCGTTCTATTAAATTTTGGTGCCATTATAGTCTGTAGTAATGTTGGTATAGAATTATAAAGAACAATGTATTCCACAATATAAAGGACAATGAAAGCTTCTAAACAAACCCTTAGCAAAGAAATCACTTATTTTCAAAGATATTTCAAGATCTCAAAGTTCAAAAGAAAAGACTTTATTTTGTTGATCTGCATAGCTCAAATAGAAATATGCAAGTAAATAACTATTTATCACAGCAACTGTAACTTAGATTAGATAGATTTTTTCAATTATAAGTGACAATATGTACAAAACATCAGGTAGTGCCATCTACAATTCACTATAAGTAACATTTATAAGTGCTTTAGCTAAGACATTTGGTATAAAATAGTAAAACTACCTTCAGTGCTGAAATTTAGAAGTATAGCTATCTCTTTCACGTTTATACACCAAGCTTAATGTAGAAATGAGATAGTTATAATGGTTATATTGGGATGGACTTATTATTGAATAAAGGCGAGTAATAAATCAGTCTTGAGGTATTAAGTGAAGATTATAACAATAAAATTTGTTTTCGTTCGTGATACTTTGGCAAAGTTGTAGTAGTCTGTTTTGTTTGTTTTTTCGTTTTAAAGTTTTTCGATTTCAGTTCAATTGTTAAGAAAGAAAACCTATAATAGAAGAATTTATATATATAATAAATATATAAATTCAATATTGAAGTTGTAAGCGTAGGACGAACTTCACAGAGAATTTGAAATTTAAGTACTTTATTTAGATGATTTTCAGCCTTCTATCCCACATTTGGGACTAATGCCTGCTAAATTTAGCTACGGAGAAGATAGTAATGTTTTCATGGAGTACCAGTTACATAATCACTAAAAAATACAACTTTTGTGAATAACAGAAAAAATTAAGTACCTTTATAAAATGCACAGAGTAACGACTGTAGATTTCTTCTCGTAATATAAGGAGTTTGCAATACTTCTCTAACAATGGTAACTATATCTATCTGTAGTTTGCGCGAATAGTACACATTTAAATAAAACACTTCAAACGGTTTAAAACGCGAAATCTATATTTTTTAATTATTTATTTAGTAATTAAACATTCCTCGTTTTAAACCGTGAAAAGTATACAAGTAAGTTCAAATAAGTAATACGTGTAGTATCTTTACACGAATAATACATATTAAATACAACTAGTTTTAGACGGGTGGAAACTTGACATATTTCAGTATATTGTTTAAACACCTTAAACAAAGTTTGAACGTGTTTAAACAAACACGTTTAAACTTTGTTTATGGGATCGGGTTTAATACGTAATCTTAGGTCTGGTAAACAAAATACAAGATTAAGGACTGTACGGAGGCAAATGGTCGAAATGTAGCAAAACAATATACAATATGCGCTAAATATAAATTCAAAGTAAGATATATCTTTTTTAATACAATTCCTTCTAGCAATGATTCTAGAATGATAACATGAGATTAATTGAAATCGAGCGACCTGTATAATACATAAATAACTTCTTGGCTTCGAATGAATTACGACGTTTCGAATCCTTCGACTTAAAGCGTCGTAATTGAGAAATTCTTGCCGAAATTTCGACAACTAAAGAAACTTTTCAATATGGCCTTATACGATTAATATTTTATATTGTAATAGGCTTTTATTCCATTAAATTGACTAAAGTTAACAGGAGTGTATAAGGCAGTGACGTCATCACGCTATTAATTAAGCATTCTTCTTATCTTGGAACTTTTTGTAGCTCTGAAAAGAAAAGCAGTACACATTTAAATAAAACACAAACGGTTTAAAACGCGAAATATATTAGTGACCACGGCTGCAAAGCATCCGAAACCGTCTGTGTTCATCATCATCAAAAAGTTTACCTAATATATTTCGCGTATTATACCGTCAAAGTATTATATTTAAAAAAAGAATTCGTAGTTATGCATCGCTTCTGTTGTTCAATGTATAATTTGGTAGCTAGAATTTAGTTAAGCACGAGAGGTCCTAGGTTCGAATTGTAGGCAAATAATAAATTATTTCAGTCGGCATATAACTCTGATCCACTGTTATTTATTTGCGTAAGAGACGCGTAAGACGATAATAATCATTAAAAAAATAAATTACCTCTTCCGCCATTTTGTACAATAAGGCTGCAGTTTCCGGGCCAGTTTGTTCAACGAGGACCTTGAATATTCCCCCCTCGGGTTCATTAAGTTCCGACCTAAAAATATATAGCTCGTGACGTCATTGTCTTATTCTATTTTAAAATGTCGTAAATGTCGACGTTATGAAGATAGAAAAATCGAGAAGCAGCCATCGTAATTGAGAAATGGTTTTGGAAATTTCGCCATCATGGTTATACGTTTTATGTTTTATTAATATACAGGCAATCTTATAAAAATACAAAATGCCATGTATTATATATTCTAATATGCAAGCTTAGAAAGTATTTTCTAAAATAAGGAAACTTTAAATTTACAACAAACACGCTTGTTAATTAAAACATTTTCCCCCCAGAAATCCCCCACGTACAAAATACAGTTTCACTTTTTTTAAATATAACCTATATACCTGTTAGAATAAGTCCTAATTCTGTCCTTCGATAATATCAGAGTCTCAGACTCTTCATTTCTTTCACCAGATGACTGGAATGGGAAGTTCTCTGGTATTGCCAGGGGAGCCTGAAATTTAAAGTATTTGGTCAATGTGTGATCAAGGTGAACATAAAGAGATAGAAGTATTTGCTGTTAGGGCTGCCAGGTGGTCGGGAATCGTCGGCCACTTTTCATGTCATCTCCAAGCTCTCACCTTACGCGAAATAATTTAAAGTTGCCGCGCCCTTCGATATTGTAGCATTATGTGTCTTTTCAAAATATAAAAATAACTAAATATGCTATTTCTTATTTAATGTCTTCCAGACATTTTGAATTTCTGATCTGGCAAACCTAATTGCTGTATAAATAAAAGGATTGATTTCTTACCTGACTCTTCGATAGTAAAGTGCGTCTCGGCTGTTCTGCTTTTAATTGGGCGTTGCTTTGGGTCAAAAGTTCAAAGGGATGACCGGTTTCTACGACGTGACCTCTGAAAATGGAAAATGATCTTTAGGACTTTAAGTATAAAGTTTATTTTTATTACATAAAACTAAGTGCTACATCTTTACATGCGTAAAAGTTATGTCTAGGTATAGCACATAGACGGCGCTTAGATCAAGATTTCAAATTTAAGTTTTTAAATTGCTTTACTTACTTGTCCATGACGATAACCCGGTCATAGTCCATGACTGTGTTGAGTCGATGTGCGATGGTGAGGACCGTGGAGCTCGCGAACTTACTGCGAATCGTGCTTTGGATTTGCCTGTCCGTTCTGTGAAGGAAAGAGGAGAGTTATAGAGTGTAAGACCATTGATCCAGAACCAGTTATAACCAGTTACTCACTCAGTATCGACGTTAGCGGTCGCCTCATCCAGCACTAGCACAGCTCGTCTCGCCAACGCCGCACGCGCTAAGCACACCAGCTGCCTCTGTCCACTGGACAGATTTCCTCCACCATCCCCAACGCGAGACGAAAGACCACCCGGAAGAGCGGATACCAGTGATTGGAGCTCCACCTGAGAAGTAAAAAGATAAGTAAAGAGCTAAAAATCTGTCTTACAAAAGTCATAAAGCCAACTGACCTCATGCAAGGCAGCGTTTATCTGAGCGTCGGAGTACTTCTGTTCGGGGTCCAAGTTGTCCCGAAGCGTGGCTGCGAACAGGGCGGGCCGCTGAGGCAACGCGCACAGGCGAGACCTCCACGCGCGGAGTCCAGCCAATTCCGACGTGACGCCATCCACTGCCACTTTGCCCGTTATTTTGTTCAACCTATACAAGGCCGTATGATAAATAAATTTCACGAAACGTACCTTATACCTTAAAATGTGTATAAAACTTGACAAACCTAAATAGAGCCGCAATAAGCGAACTCTTCCCAGCCCCCGTCCTCCCCACCACGGCCACCTTCTCCCCAGGGCGAATGGAGAAGTTGACACCGCGGATGGCGTATGCTGTGTCGTCTACCTTCGGTGCTGGATCCGTCACTGGTTCCTTCTTCGGCGGCTTCTCGTACTCGAGGGATACGTCTTCGAATACTATTTCACCTGCAATAAAATTCACCCTTTAAATAATAGTAATAGTGTTTAGGAACTTGAACTTATTAAAAATCTTGTTGGTTTGATTCCAACCACAATAAAGGATAGTAAATTTAGTCAGAAAAAAACTTTTATTTTTAAACTATTTATTGGTTCATTCACCCACCACCATTATTTCTAGAACCTATATACAATATTAGATACGAACCATTCTTAGGCCACTCTTCAAATTGAACGCTGGGACATTCCGTCTGCAAGGCTTTGTGATCTGGCTCAACTGGGTTTTCTGGTGGTAGATTGGTGTATTCCAATATTCTTTCTACCTGTGATCGATAAAAAGTAGCATATAAATATGGCGGGTGTCTAAAACGTCAATTCAGCTACGCTAACGCCATCTGTTTTTCCTAATTGGTATGTTTATAATAAATAATGGCTTCTTTATACAAAAATTAATACTTACAGATGTCATCTGATTCTCAACTTCCGCAGTCTGTCTCATGCCATATTGACACATTCCGACGAGTCCAATAACTTGTGTTATAGCTAGACCGACGTTTCCACCCATATTACCTAAAAATTAAAACATTATTACGTAAATTATTATTACTACGCACATTTAAATAAATAGATCACAATTAACGGTCTAAAACGAGAGTTTCGAGTAGGAGTTTTTAATTACAATTTCGCTCTGTTTAAGTTCATTCATTCTCTAGAATCCTTAATTTATGCTACTCAAAGATTTAAAATAAGAATAAAAGTCTATGGCATCAACAGGAATCGAACCAGAGATAAAAACACCTTCGTATAGCTAACGATTTACTAGCTTCGTTGATCAGTACACAGTATAGATATACTGTGTACTGATCTACGCTACGCTAGATAGCGCCGCCTATTTCTTTCTTCTCAGCCATTATTCTCTTTCTTACCTTCTCCAGCGAAGAGAAAGAAACTGAATGTCACAGTGCCTAAATAGAGGCAGCAGACCATATCCATCCAGAAGCCAAACGCTCTGTTAGTGGTTAGAACCAGGGCCCAGGAGCTACTGTGCAGGTCTTGTAGTTTGTCAAACTCTTGCGCAAGAGTCCGTTGCTGTTCACCAGTTGAGCGGATCGTGGCAAGGCCCGATACTGTTGCAGCAGCATGGTTGAGACTTTGACTTCTAGCTGCAATTGTAAATATAATTTACGAAATTTCAGCATTTATTTCTGAAGCTACAAAGCATCAGACATTGAACCTTAATACGCAAGTGTTAAGGTTAAAATTACATTGCGCGATAGGTGCATGTATCAATAAGTTGAAAAAATTTGACGATGACGTGTAAAACGTGGTATCTCAATGGGTTACAACGGCAGCATGAAACGCTGCGGATGCCGGTTCATGTCCTGTCCGTGTCGTAACTTTTTCTCAATCTAAAATCCATTCCTAATTTATATGATTATATTCATCTAAATAAAACAATGTTAACGGTTCAAAACCCGAAATATACTATTTACCTAATTTTAAATTGATTTAATTAGGTCTCAACGTTTTCGATGCTTTCCAACAGTCGTGGTCCAGGGGACGTCTTAAACCGTTCAAAATATTTTATTTAAAGCTGTATTACGCTTTTATTTGAATGAGGAAAATTAGAAGTTTAAAGTCGGGTTTGACTGGTTCGTAATCAAATCTAGCAATATTAAAGAATTGTCAATAAAATGCATACCGATAGCTTCAATTCTCTTCAACTCCCGACTAGTACTAAGGAACAGCGCACGCAGCAGGAATAGAAGGAATGCAACGCCAGCAGTCGGCAGCAGCAACCACCAGTTAACCAAGCAGACGACCACCAATATTGCTATTACTTCCAAAAAGAACTGAAATAATATAATTCGTAACTAACAGTTTAGAATGCAAAACTTATTTTAATAAATATGACGACTAAATAGATCGTTCTCTTTCCCACAATCCCCCATAAATGAAGGAGACACGAAACTATCAGTGGGCGTCAACGAATCTAACGACTATTAATTTTCTTGGTAATTTTTTTTGAGAATTAGCATGGAGTAGAGGCCTTATGATGGCTTTGTATATTTGGAAATCGAGAGACTGAGAACGAAACGAAATTATACTTGACGGCTTTTAATCTGTGGACAGTGACCGAGGGCGAATATTCGTACCGCCCATTGTATATCCCACCCAGAGCACACATCCTGTTGATGTTTAGCCATACATTGCTATCATTAGACCAGCCTACATTAGCCCGTCAAAATATAAATAAAAGTTTCACTCACCCCAAGACAATCGACTAAAGCAACGGGAAGCAAGGTATCAACTTGCCCCATATCCTTCGAGAATCTGTTGAGGATCCGACCTGATGGGTTGTGGTGGAAGAACCACATTGGCGCGTTTGTGACACCGCTGTAATGAAATATATTGGTTAAGTGTAGCCCATAGTTTACGCGAGTACATAATTAAATATAACACAACGGTTTGAAACGCAAAACCTTTTACTAACGTAGTTGTCACGGCTGCTGCAAAGCATTCGAAACGTTGGGTCGTAGTTAAAGTAAATTGAACATAATTTACTCAATATATTTCGCGTTTTAGAACGTTAAAAGAGTTTTATTAAAATTTCTATTGGTTAACATAGAGTTTTAGCTGATAATTTTCAAAATCCTGTCTAATATTTAAATGAAATTGAAATTATTATTTTTTAAATGAATTGATATTAAAACTTGGGGCTTTTATAGTACAGTATATTTGTTCTAAGCACTTTTATAGAAACAAAGTTGTCATTGGAGTCCGAACTCAAAATATAATATAAGAACGAAACATTAAACGATTGTAACATTGAATGTTACAATCGTTTAATGTATCTAACCCAAAAACAATTTAAAACAGTTTAAACCCGACTTATATCACGAGTAGTTGATGAAATTTAAACCATTAACAGAATTCTAATTTTAAAATAAAAACGTAGTTGATACTAGCGCCATCTGTACTTTTATTTATGTGATTGATAGTTACGATATTTTATTTAAACTAATATATGAGACACTTACCGAAACATGGTATCATGCAACTGAACTGAAGCTCGGATGCAGGTGTTGTAGAAGACGAGCAGCTTATTCCAGGTGAAGAACATACAGATGCCGATCAGAGACGCGTATATGTAGACGCACTGCGCACGCGTCAAGTGCCACCGGTTCAATGGAAGATCTTCGTAGATCACTGTCAATAAAAACACGACAAGTTAACACATTGGTTAGATGGTAACACTGTCTATAGTTTACGCGAGTAGTACACATTTAAATAAAACACTTTAACGGTTTAAAACGCGATATATTAGTTCAACTTATTATTCTAATAAGTTCAACTAATATATCGCTTTAATAATTCTAATAAGTTTAACTAATATATCGCGTTTTAAACCGTTAAAGTGTTTTATTTAAATAGATGGTAAGATTTTTCATATTTGACGGGCTGGACGGCAAAAAAAGTCGGTCTAGGGTTCAGTTACCATCGGGTCCAACGTGTTTTTAATCAATTCATAATTGTGAAATATGTTGGGCTGCGTCTGGAAATCTAAGAATTGAACGGGTGGTAGGAATATCGAAGTTCTGTATGGGTCACGAACCAACGTCCACAGATTGTTTTAGACTGTGAATTTCCCATTATCCAAAGCCAAATAGATCGACAGCGCGATCTTGTTTATATGTTGTATGGCTGTCCGTTGATTATTAGCCAAATATTGTTACGACTACACCCAGTATCCCGTTGAATTGTGATGATTTTTCCTTTGTTAAGCTGAAACCTACTTCTCTCTAAACTTCAATTATACGTACCTGGTGGCGTGTCAGTGGTTACGTTATTTCGAGTCGCTATACTGTTCGCGCTATTTGATTCTTCCAAGTTGACCCTGAAATAAAATACACGTAAGATTCTCCGACTTGGGGCATAAAACATATGTTTTATGACAAATTGAACAAACTACAGTGCCCGGCCTGTTTGTAAGTTGAATGCAATGCTAAAAAGGCGTTCAACCGAAGACCAGAAAAAAGACGCAATTTTTTATCTCTGTCTTCCTAACTTACGAAAAACAATCAGTATGCCCTTTATTTATTCTTGTATGGTGTGTGTAAACGGTCCTTGGTATAGGTATATTATTTTGTTGTCCTCTTAATATTTTAGATATTTATAAAACACGACAAACAGCGCGAGCAGCACATATTTAAATAAAACACTAACGCTTTCAAACGCGATATGTATAAGTTACACGTTAAAATTTTAACATTTTAAACTGTTTCACTGTTTTAAACCGTTAAAAGTGTTGTCTATATTTTACGCGTTACATCGGTTATTATACCTCGGGGCGTAGTTAAGATATTTTTTAAATAAATTTAACGAATATATTTCGCGTTTTAAACCGTTAAAAGTTTTTTCTAAGACAAACAATGGTGTTCTATTTTAGGACACAACGCTGTGGACCTAGAAACCCAGAAGCTACTTCATTAAACAACTTAGAATCTTGAAAAATGTCTCACCATTCCTTCAGCCAGATGTCAGTGGAGGAGTAGAAAACCTGAGCTATGAGGAACAGCGACAGCAACAGCAGCATAGTGAACTTGCCGCCGCCGCTGGCAATGTATGAAACGTAGACACTGCTGGATACTGAACCCTTGTTCTGACTTTCACCTGGAAATGATTGGACCACAAATAAATCATCTTATTATTTATACTAATATTATAAAGCTAAAGGGTTTGTTTGCTTAAACGCGCTAGGAACTACTCTTATCGAATTGAAAAATATATTTTGTTAGCGAGGATGGCTTTAGGTCAGAACGTTACACATTAGGAGCGAAGACACAGTGGGAAATGTGAAAAAGCAGAAAAAATTACATCTTTCAGGATTTTCCGTTACGTGAACTGTTAAAACAATTCAAAAAATGTGTATGAAAGAATTCATCTTTAAATAATCTAAAAAAAAGTTCGCGACAGTATATGTCCTTGTTTTAAAATTAACTCGCAAGAACGACGGGACGCGTGGTAGGACCAACGTCGTGGGTTACAGCTAAATTAATAAAGATGATGAGGGTGCAAAGCAAATTTTAATGCCCAAAATAGCTGTTTTATGCAGACGACGTCGCGAGCACTGCTAGTGTTACCATATATGTATAAATATGAGAAGATAAAATGTACAGTTTGTAAGCTAGTGGCCTATGTATCTTGCAAACTTTTTATTACAGAAAAAACAGATTTTTTTTATATTCAGATACTCACCCACACAAACAAAAAGCATACGCACCGTATAAGCTCGTAACTGGAAAGCAGCATGTAAACAGATAGCTTTTACCATAGCTCGAATTATGAACAGCTTAAAATTAGCCTTGAAATGATTTTAATAACATGAATGAACGGTTTAAAACGCTAAAAACTACATTAAAAAAATCTGGTCATGATTACACATTAGTAACATGTGTAGTTTGCGTTTTAAACGGTTTTTTAATTCACCAATGAAGTATGTGTGGCAGAGTTATAACATTTTAAAGACTTACCTTCATATTTGGGGTCGGAATTATTATCTGTATCCAAATTGAATGACAGCTGTGACGCTTCGGACATTGACCTTTGCGATCTCAGTATATGACAGTGTTCCTGAAAGATAAAATAGTTTATACATATATGCCATGTTTTATATGAAATGCTGTGTGTCGTTTACAAGAGTATTACACGTTTAAATAAAACACTTTAACGGTTCAAAACGCGATATATATTATTTAAACTTATTTGGAAAAGTTTCGAATGCTTTGCCGCCAGTTTCGGAAAATACCAACTTCGATGGAACAGAGGGCGCTAGCGTAGCAGTTTTTACTTTGACGTCAGAGACATCCTCCATCTTTAGTCGCCCCGTGACCACGACTGCTGCAAAGCATCCAAAACGTCGGGCCGCAGTTAAAAATAACTTTCAAATAAGTGCAACTAATATATATCGCGTTCCAGTGTTTTATTTAAATATTTTATATTGTCATTTATGTCTTGGTCGCACTATTTGAAATCATCGTTTGACCATCGACTCCTTAACAGGTCCCACAGATGGGACTTAAGGTGTATAGGCCTAAAACACATCACAATTCATTCTTGGACTCTAAATTTGACGTCACGCAGATTTCTTTCATGAGAGCAAGCCCATATTATAATTAGGAAGAAGAATATTAAAACAAAATACATTGTGTGTGTGATATGTTTCGAAATAAATCCTTACATACAATAGGGCGTACTTGTAACAAAACAATAAGTGTAAAATACTGTCTGTAGCTTACACGTTTTAATCACTATACCGGTTCAAAACGCGATATTTATTAGTTAAACTTGTTTGAAAATTATTTCAACTACGGTCCGACGTTTCGGATGCTTTGCAGCAGCACGAGGAGATAGGTACTGCCATATATCGCGTTTTAAACGGTTAAAGTATTGTATTTAATAGATAAGTGTAATATACAGCTACAAAATAGTAGCAAATATCTCAAAGTCTACAGACACTAGCTATATACAAAAAGAAAGAGACAATACATGTTCACTCCGTCGTATTTCGGTCTTCGAAGGTTCCAATTTCACGATAACGTTGTATACCTTTCGAACATGTCATGAAATTAGTTCCTTATTTAAATTTGAATATTTAATAGACACTGACATAGACTGAGACTGTAATGCGTTATGTAACGCATCGATTTACCAACACATTAGGATTTATCTTTTTATAAGTGTTCGAAGTCTATATCCATAAACTTGTAGAGCATGCACCACCCATCCAAGAAATAAAAGGAGAGAAGAACTTACCATACTCTCTTTATTTTCGTAGAAGTTCACTTTTTGTTTCTCTTCAACCTTTTCTCCCATTTCTATCAGTTGCTCGAACTCGGGAACGCCATTCTTCAAATCGCGGTAAGAGCCTTGAGCCACCAACTGGGACCAAGACCAAGAATTGGTAAATAAAAGTGCTTTTTAAGAGCAATATAGAGGATGCCGCTAGGACAATTGACAAATCTCATTGATAACGCTCCAGTGGTTTAGCCAGAGGTTATATTAGCGGTGAAATAAACAAAAGTCTGTTATAGCAAGAGTACCTACAACACGTTAAAGAATATCAAAGGTACGGCAAACTTATACGACTTTGGCGCTATTTATTTTATGTTAAATAATGAAGTTCTTTAAATTTAATCGATATAGACTTTTGCTTTAATAGTTGTATTGCATTAATAGGAAATTTAAGGTGATACGTCTGCATTTTGCATATTCAAATAGCACTTAACAAGTTTTTACTTACCTTACCCCCCCTCATAACGCACACGTTGTTCGCCTGCCTTGCGTACTGCACGTGATGCGTCACTAGAACCACAGCCTTGTCTCGAAGGAAACCGCGAATACATTCTTCATAGATCGCTTGCGCAACCTAAATATTAATGATGGATATTAACGAAGAATAAAAGGGGGACTGAGCTAGTACCTTGTAGCACACCTTACCTTAGCATCGACTGCTGCTAGGGGGTCGTCCAAGAGATAAACATCTGCGTGTTGATAGACGCAACGGGCTAGTGATATGCGCGCGCGCTGCCCACCTGATAAGGATGTGCCTGGAATCGACAATTACATTGGATTTAATATCAATGTAGGGAACGAAGGAGATAATGAAGAAAAATATGTAGTCTTATCGTTCTAAGCTCTATGATTTCGATAACTTGGTAATTTAAGTAAGTCTAAAATAACAACATATCTCACCTCTTTCTCCAACGACAGATTTGTCTCCGTGGGACAAGATATCCAAATCAGTTTTCAGCTGACAACACTTAATTACTTGTTTGTATCTCCTCAAGTCTAAATCTTGACCGAATAAGATGTTTTGCCGGACCTGCGATTTTGGAAAATAAATATGAATGGAGGGGAAATATATTATTTTAAAAAATTAAATTTGATATTTATGACGTCATAATCGTCACAAGTTTTTCCAAAGTGCAATATATGATTGTTTAATATATAAATTTAACTGTCACTTCAGTTTGTATTACAAAAATTATACAATTATTAAGATATTTCTTATTTCTTAAACTAAAAATTATCTTACTGAAGCGTCAAAGAGCCATGGTTCTTGTGCGGCATACGCTAAGTTTCCTCTAACTGAAAGAGATCCTGAGCTCGGTATAAGCTCTTTTAACATCGCTTGTATCAGAGTGGACTTGCCTGAGCCCACTGTACCTACAATCACGGTAAGTGTATCGGGTTTTATCTGAAATTGATTTATATTTAAAATAACGACAATAGATGGCACTGTTTTAAATCTTTTTATTCTCAGGGACGTACCGCTAAGTTAATGTCCATTAAGGCTGGAATCTGTCTATCCAATTTCTCGTCTTCCACATTCTTCCAGTAGACCGTGTAGTCTTTGAAATTGATCAGGATATCTGGCTTCAGTTGTTCTAGGTTCGACTCTGATTTTATGTATGCTTGTTGACTAAAAATATAGTGACGTTTAATTGAAAAGAAGTAATAATACCTAAGTTTTTTAATAGCTGCAACACTCCTTAGATAATATTTGCCCAAGGTTTATTTGACATATACCTAACGCAACTTCAAAATAGGAAAACAATGCCAGTTTTAACGTGTAAAACCAAAAATGCTAAGAATCAGAGAAGTCGAAGTAATTTGGTTGATTAAACATATAAGTTAAATAATACAGGACGCCGAAATAACATCATTTGTTGTTTCGTTTCAGCTAAATGCAACAAAGATTGTTTTGATTTCACACAGACAAATTCATACGAATCTCCTTATAAAAGAAAAAAAATTATTACAAACATACCCATTTCCAATTTTCTCAAACACACCGTTGGTTTTCATTTCTTTCTTCTCAATATTAATTAAATCGACGCCATCTTGGTTTTCCACTTCTGGCAACAATAGGAATTCTTGCATTCTCTTGACACTGACGTACGCTTCCAAAGTGAACGTTATTGCCAGTGGCAAAAAATCGACCAAAGTATACTTTAACATATCATAGTAGGAGAAAATGACGAAGACTTTGGCGGCAGTGAGGTCGTTTTGAAAGGAGATGAACGCTATAATACTTATGAATATTGCCACCTTTGTATTCAGTTTGACGCAAGATATCATGACCGCCCGCAGCCATGACATTTTTTTGATCACGTTCATTTCTTTTCTGAAAGGAAACAACACACGATACACTATAAATATAAAAACTAAGGATACAAACAATATTGGCATGATTTGATTTTTAATTCGAACGACAACTTAATAGTCAAAAATTCACGTAGGTAAATAGGTACACTTATGATCGTCAAACCAGTTACAAACTAAAGTATCTAACTTTACATTTACTACCAGTTCTCAAATCAACGGCGTCGAACGAACTAGAAGAACTGGCAAGAAACTCGCCGCCACTTTTTTATTGTCAAGTTTTAATTTACAGTCTTCACGTACACGGACACGTACTTAGGCTGCCAAACACAGATGACCATTTTAGGCCACGTAGGATCATTGTTTTTGATGAATTAAAGGTTTTATGGTAGAAAATCATTACATTAATGAAATTTTGTAATCCGGTTTTGTTCCAAAACACAATGAGAGTAGACATTCCCTATTTAAGTATTATTTAATGAAACTATAAACACCTTAAATAACATGGAGATGCGATGCAGGCCTACTAATAATAATTATAAATAAGTTCAGTTTTATTTAAAAAGTATATAAATATACAAACTTCCTAGCTCTCCCAATAATCCCGGCGAACGCGTTCTCCCAAGCGTACATCTTGATGGCTTCTATGCTCTGGATCACTTCGTTCATCAGACGGATTCTGTTATCTGTCCTCACAGCAGTCTGATGGCGTAGACGACTTGAGATTTTGCCCAAGTAGCCTAGAAAAGTGGACAAAATAATTAAAATAGGGGCTTTGTCAAATGTCATTCAATTTCGAGAATTTGCTTTGATGCCCCGGCCGGGGTATTTCTCCTGCCGACTTAGTTTTGATGCGGATATTCAGAAAAGCAAAGACTCAAACCGAAACGCGATTAAGCTTAGCGGCTTTTTATCTGTGGACAGAGGTTCGTGACCCGGACGGAATTACGATATTCCTGCCACCCATATACAGATTTCCAGACGAAGTTCAACATCCTTACTAATATTATAAATGCGAACGTAACCCTGTCTAAAGTTACTCTTTCACGCTAAAACTACTAAACGGATTTGAATGAAATTTGGTACACAGATGGTCTAGACCATTTTAATTGCGAAAAGGAGGTTGTAAGGTGTTAAAATGGGGGTGAAAGTTTGTATGGAAATTCGTGGTTTTTGGAGCTAGAACAATGAAACTTTCTTCTTTAGCTTTTTGGGAATAGGAATAGGAGTGTGAGTGGGGATGAGAGTGGCAATGGGGGTGGGGGTTTGAGAGAGAGTCAGAGTGGGAGTTAGATTAGGAGTGATGTGAGGTGAGAGTGTTGCGGCAAAGTAGCACATACAACATAGATTGACTGCGATAAATGCGCAATTACATAAATTAATAAACAACCTAAATAATTAAAAATTCTACCCCAAATCACTATTCCACGCGAACGAAGTCGCGGGCACAGCTAGTGTTTCATAAAAATCATAATTGATTACAAACATGTTGGCCTTGATGGGGATATGAAAGTTACGAGTCCGCATTTGATTTATGTTTGCAGGTCATATTTTAGAATCTATCGGTTTTGAAATGTACGTGTTATTGCGTCGGCTATTTAAAATTCGTCAGGATTTATGAAAAACTAATCACGTAAGTAGTAGTTGAATACTTTAGGAATCAGTTTTTCAGTAAGTGATTTTCGTATTTGTACATACCTTGTAGAGGAATAAACATCAAGAGAAACGCTACTCCTATAATAGAGGAAACTCCAATCTGTCTATACATCAGGTAAACTATAATGACGCTCTCAACCGGGGTCCTGACCAGGTCGACCATGAAGACACTGGCCATGTCGAAACGCTGAGCGTCCGTGGTCAGTAGGTTGACCACGTGGCCGGCTAAGCCTTCCGACGCTTTCCCACCGGCTGTTAAATCTAGGCGAAGTAACTGAAAATAATTACATTATTAGTTTAAAAATCGAAAATAAATTGAAAAAATTTTCGACTCGGGCAGGACATGAACCGGCATCGTCAGCTTTCCGTGCTGTTGCTCTACCAATTGAGCTACCGAGTCCTACACCTCATCGTCGAATTTTTTCAACTTATTGATACATGCACCTCTCGCGCAGTGTAATTTCAACCTTAACAATTGCGTACTAAGGTTCAATGTCTTATGCTTTGCAGCTTAAGAAATCATTGAAGATGAAATTACAAAGTTATAACGTTTGAAAACATTAATATTTTTCACATGTTATTGCACACGAAGGCACTATATAATTTAAAAATCGAAAATAAATTGAAAAAATTTTCCTCCCTGCCCTGCCCGAGTCGAAATTTTTTTCAATTTATTTTCGATTTTTAAATTATATAGTGCCTTCGTGTGCAATAACATGTGAAAAATATTAATGTTTTCAAATTACATTATTAGTTTTGACGGTCGTTGGTGTATATTATTAACTGGTCTCATCATCATCATTTTTAACTGGTTTGATCCTCCCCAGGTTCAAAATGTTTCTAACTAATTTATAATTTTTCTAAAAACACATTAGACTCTGGAAATCTAGATATTAATTGGGTTAACATAAACCACAGACGAAAAAGCCGTCAAGTTTAATTGCTTTACAGTTTTAGTCTGTGGATTGAAGAATATCTTAAGCCAAAATAGGCCGACAGCGCATCTTGTTTGGGCGTTATGTAGCTGTGGTATTTCACCTAACCATCAAGCTCTTGTCTAATCTTATGCTTGTCTGTCCTGTTATCATAAATGTATATATCGCATCGTAAAACAATCGTTTGGATTTTACAACTTGTGATATTTATAACTTGAATACTAAAGATAGACAGACTTTGACAGACTGATTGATACTCGTTGGTATAATATAATTTCTATAGACTTGTCGGTGCTTTTAATGTTTGTAAAGCAGTTATCAAAAAAACTTTGTAAATGCACACTTTATTAACTTGATGGAATATGAAATAATATAAGGTTCCCATAAGATAGGAAATGCCTAGTTTGGGATCACATTAAAAAATATTTACTTCTACAAATAGAACATAAATATATAACACCTCTACAAGATAAACTGTCAACTTATTTTGGCTTTAGATACTTGGAAATCCATAGACTAAACCTGAATCGCGATTAAACTAAGCTTTTCATCTGTGAACGATGGTTCGTAACCGAAACCGAATTTATCTATTCCTACATCCCTATTTGATGCGTATACGGATTGAAGTGTTGTCATTTTTTTATATTTAAATATACTTTTTTAATTAATGTTTCCTTCATCTCTAACTATTTTTCGTAGCTTAAGCAGTGAGTAAATAGTTACCTTTCTATAAATCAAAGAACAGCAAGCCACCCTGACTTTCATACTCATATCCAGTAAATATAGTAACATGGGATGGATTATACTCGCATTGATCGCCATAAAACTGAAAAATTAAAGAATATGTTACCATCAAATCACACCGACCACGTTGAATATTTTGGCAACATATTGATACCCCTCTCGCACAATGTAACTTGAATTATGCTTTCAGCTTAAAAATTCAAAGAATATCAGATAGAGTTTTTGTTACGACTTATAGTAGTTATTGCTGTATTAAGTTCGAAATTAGATTGCACGATTGTAATTAAAATATAGTTAAAAATCGAATAGACGGATTAAGCACAGAAGTACAATCGGGAGAGCAACGAAACTGTACGCTATTTGTTTATATATTCTAGCTTTATTTTTTATATAACCTATATACAGAACAAAAAATATAAAAACAGAAAACACATAACGTACTAACTTATAAATAAACGGCGGCCTTATCGCTAAGCAGCGATCTCTACCAGGCAACTGAAGTACAGTAGAAAATAAATTGAAAAATACTTCAGATAAAGTAGGTAGGTACATCGTAAAAGTATATATAGCAAGTAGGAGAGAAAATAACTTAATAGTTGCAAAGGTAAAACTTATAGAGCAAACTCTTAAAAGGTTAAAGTTTGATTTCCGATGAAATATTTTATTTTGATAAATCTTGAACCAGTAATTTACCTGACCACGCCTAAAGCGTACAAATATGCTTCCGAGGTGGTTACCCCGGAATGTGAGGGTGAGAAATAGTTGATGAGACCTTCGAGGCACATTGGCGTTGTTATTCTGTAAATAAATTGATACATTTAATTATTCTCGACACAATATGTTGATACAAATACATTTTACATCTTGTTGACATTAATTAGAAAGAGATAGCTATAGGCGAGAAAGAGAAAAAATAATTGTATTATATAAGAATTATGGTAAAACTACAATTGTCACCTACTACGAGTATTGTATGTAGTTTACGTGAGTAATAAACAATTAAATAATATACACTTTTTACGGTTTAAAACGCGAAATGTATTAACTTACGTATTAACAATTTTAACCTGATGTTTAGGATGCTTTGCTGTCGTCGTGGTGATAGTTTATAAATTGTAGATTAGCTAATATAATTCGCGTTGTGAACCGTTAAAGGTCTTATTTAAACTACTAAGAGTTATTTATAGAGATTATATATTTAAAATGATATTCATTCTTTTAAATAGTTCACGTTTACGATCGGTTTAGTGGTTGCAATTTGCATTAAAAAGATACTAAACAACGGGTTTGATTCCTGTCCCTTTTATTGCAAGTAGTTTCATACCCTATTCGGCCTGAGTCTACCTACATTTTTAAATTACTATTAATATTATAAATGCGAAAGTAACTCTGTCTGTCTGTCCGGCTTTCACGCCGAAATTACTGAACCGATTTAAATTAAATTTAGATATTCTAGAGTCTGAGAAAGGACATAGGCTACTTTTTAATGCCACCAAAGGGTTGTTAGGGGTTGAAAATGGTGATGAAATTTTGTATGGAAATTCGTCATTTTTTAAGCTAGAACTATGAAACTTTCTTCTTTGGCTTTTCGGGAATGGGAGTGAGAGTGGGAGTGATGTGAGATGAGAGAGGGAGTGTTGGGGCAAAGTAGCACTTACAACACAGATTGGCTACCTCCTTCGATGACATGCATTCTAAAACCTTTTGCTGTACGAAAAAAAAAGGGAAGTAAGGAGTTGAAATAGTTGTGTGGATGTATTGTAATTATTTTTTATAGAACTTACTAATATTATATATGCGAAAGTAACTATAAAAGTGTACTCAAATAAGCCTATAAAAATAAACTATACCATGGATATACTTCTTATGAATTACTTAATAAGCTCTTTGCAATGAAAGACTGTATCTCATTGTGTACACATGTGTCTTATTAAATTTATAAAATAAATAAATAAACAGCCTAAATAATTAAAAGTTCTACCCAAAGTTAGTATTCCACGCGGACGAAGTCGCGGGCACAGCTAATATGACATACATAGTGAAGTTACGACGGAAAATAATATCGCATCTTTGATCTGTTTGTCTGTCGTAAAAAATATATTATAAACGTTGACTTACCTAAGTGAGGTATCGACTATTGCAAATATAATATTAGATACAATGAATTTAACTCCGTAATTCTTTATAATGCATCGTAACAGCGACGGTTTTTTGGTTTTATCTGTAAAAAAATATATTATTGAGTAAACAAAGAACTTATCAACTTAATTATAAACCAAACAGGTAGTGAATTATTTAATGCCACATTAAAATATAATTGTTCGTCTCTTTTCCTTCTTCGTAATTAATTTAGATTCTCTGATCGAATTCCGAGGAAAGAATGAATGATTTCTAACTAATATTATGAAGCTGAGAAGTTTGTTTGTTTGAACGCGCTTAACTCGGGAACTACTCGTACTTCTTCGAATTGAAAAATAATTTTTGTGTTGGATAGACCGTTTATCAAAAAATTTAGGCATCACACGACGGCATCACGATGCGGCTAAAAGTGAAAATAGTTGAAAATGTGGAAAAAAAAGGGAAAAAATATTCATATTTTAATTAATTATTCAGGGTTCCCGTAGCGTGCGATACGAAAACGGTTAGAAACAAAAAAAAAATGTATAAAATAATGTATCCTCTTTGTTCGCGACAGTACATGTTCTTTCTATTCTTTAAGTTAAACTTGCAAGAACGACGAGACGCGGACGTCGTGGCAAAGATATAATTCTTAAAGATGAGGTTGGCAAAAGTTGACGGTATTTAGATTAGTTATCTAAATACTGTCTATAGTTTACACGAGTAGTACACGTTTAAATAAAACACTTTAACGGTTTAAAACGCGCCATATTTATTAGTTAAACTTATTTGAAAATGATTTTTAATTTCGGCCCGACATTTCGGATGCTTGGCAGCAGCCGTGGCTCACGGCTTAGAACGTTTTAAACCGCTAAGTGTTTTATTTAAATAACTAATCTATACTTAAAATATAAAACTTAACAGTTTGTTTGTTTGTGCGAACGCGCTAATATCAGGAACTACGTGTTCGAATAAAAAAAATCTTGAAAATTGAGGACGGTTATACTCTTAAAGGAGCAAAGAAATAGCCGGATATATGTAAAAAACGGGGAAAAGTATTCATCCTTGTGAGATTCTATTACGTACACTGTTAAAATTGTTCGAGTTACTCAATTAGTATGTATCAGACAATGATTCCTCTTTAAATGATCTAGGAGGATGAAAAGGAGATCCAAAATCACTTTTCCACGCGGACGAAGTCGCTGACGCAGCTAGTACCACGTGTAAAAGAAACAAAAGATAAATTTTATAAATATGTTAAAGAGCACTGAATTAACATTAAATTGCATACTGTCGACAACATTGTTATCTTTCGCTAAGTAGGTTAAGGTTTACTAATTATCAATACCAGATGTGCCCGCGACTTCGTCGGCGTGTAATAATTATTTTGGCCATCATATGATTTTTTCTGAACAACTACCTCAGCTTTCTATGATTTAGAGCTGTTACCCACGTCCGCGTCCCGTCGTTCTTGCAAGTTAATGTTTAAAGATAGACATATACTGCTGGGGACATTTTTTAGATCATTTAAAGAAGAATTATTCTTTCATACATAGTTTTAGATTAGCGCGTTCAAACAAACAAACTCTACAGCTTTATAATATATTACATTGATAGAGCGATAGCGCGGAACGCTGTGAATACAGGTTCAATCTCGCCCGTGTCTTAATTTCTTTTAGTAAAATTGTTAGTGGAATAATATGTTTCACACATTGATTTCCAAGTAACTAAACATTTTAGCACTAAATTGACAAATCGACGAGGAAAACAGACACAAAAATGTGTCCACGTTATTCCTCAAATATCCAAACGGGATATTAAACTTATTCGATATAGTTTGTTCAATTGCGAGATTGCGTTGTCAAGTTTTGATTGAATAATTTGCTTCGTTAAAATTGATACCTTGTTCCAAGAGTTCGTTTTTCCAAGTTTCACTCATGACATCGCCACGTGGAGCAGCCCTGTGGCCCGGTGTACACCTGGAACCGAAATAAAGTCGTCTAAGTATCACACAATCTCATTTCCAACGTAGAGCGTACTTCTTTTTCTGTTGAAATAAAACGCTTTAACGGTTTAAAACACGATATACATTAGTTAAATTTATTTGGAAAATATTTTAACTACGACCCCACGTTTCAATAATCGATTTTATTTACAGGTAAGTAGTTAAGACTTCTGTGTCGTGCCTGACCGAAATTCAAACCCATTAACCATTTAGCTACTGGGGTAGCAATATTCTTAAGGAACGTCTGCCGGTACTATGTTTTTAACGGTTTAAAACGCCAAACTTATATTACATAATATAATGTTGATATCCTTTAACTACGGCCCGACGTTTCAGACGCATTGCAGCAGCCATTAGGCTATCACGCCACTTAACTAATTTATTCTACGTTTTAAACCGCTAAGAAGTGTTATATATATATTTTTTCCCATATTACCGACAAAATATTAAGAGTGTTCGCGAAAAGGTAGTTCTAATTAGTATATTAGGACGAAGTCTAAACGTAGCCTGGCAAAAAAGTAATTCTTCTACAAACGACCAATCACCTGTAAACATCAGATATGCTGAGCTGTCCTTTTCTGCCCTTCTCGAAAATGGGTCGCGTGTACCTGAAAATTAAGAATTTGACATTTTGAATATCAACTTTATGATAGGAAAGGCGAGACAGGCATGTTTATTTGATGGTGGAATCGCCCAGCCATATAACATCTAGACAAAATGTGTTGTTGACCTATTTTGGCTTAAGATATACAGAAATCCAAAGATTGTAACTGAAAGCTGATTAAACTAAGTTTTTCATCTGTGGACAGCGATTCGTGACCCGGACGGAATTTCGATATTCCTAACATTCATTTGTTAATTACATTTTCAGACAAATTCCATGTGTGTATGTATTTACGTATGTAGGAAAATAACTGCATGTGCAATAATGTCTGTAAATAATTATCATTAAATAGCTAAGTCTGTATTGGACGGTAGTTTCGTTTTCACGTATTTTGCCTTTATATATAATATCGTGAAGGTATTTTGATTTTGAAATATGAAAGACTGGATACATTCCTTCTAATCAATAAGCCAATAAGCTTATGAATCCCGCGCTGAGCAGAATAAAATGTAATCCCGTTTCCCCCGTGGGGCATGGGGCGAACAAATTTCTAGGTCTGTTTTAACGATCGTTTTTTTTTAGAAGTAGTTGATCAGACTTATATGCCCTGCCCGACCCAAATTGATTTTCCGGGAATCGAACCCAGGGCCACTTGCGCTTAACGTAATCATCTACCTAGACGGCGGCAACTACTGCAGCTTGGTGGATCTTAAATTATATAAACTAATCACAGTACTCACCAAAAACATGTCTTAGACACCAAGTTAGCCTTTTCCCTCGGGTTCTGCTGTCTGTCTATATCGAAGTACCCGGGATCCATCCTAGCAACACTATTATACTAATAATTGCACTTTGTACTGAATATAAATGCGTTTATATTGCGCTATCCATTTCTTATCTGCAACAAAAAAGGTGATTCAAATAAAGACTATTGTAGATGAATTTAATATTAATGTCCGTATAGTAATAATTATCTCGCAAATTAAAAGTTATATATATATAAAATTGTCTTTTTTTTTAATGAGAATAGACAGGCACGAGGTTCACTTAATGGGAGGTGAAATATTGCAACCATATAACGCCTAAACAAAAAGTAGCGTCTACCGAAACGCGATTAGACTTCACGGCTTTTCTGTGGATGGCGGTTCGTCACCTGGACCGAAGTTAGATATTATTAGATATATCTATTAATATATGAATTTTCCCGAAAATATTTTAGAAAAATTACAACTTAATAAATACTTGTTGGACGTACGACTTGTTGAATATTATTAATTAATTTCTACTATTGGGCCAGCGAGCTAATTTTTTTTACAATTAGCTTTGAACAGTTTCCAAAGCTAACACCGTATTTACACACACCCTCCACGTCACCACGCAGCTGCAAAGCATTCGAAAGAGAGGATAATTTTCATATAAGTTTAGCTAATACCTTTTGCGTTTGAAGCCGTTGAAAGTGTTTTATTTAAATGTGTACTACTGTCGTAAACAACAAACAGTAATTATTTTGCCGACAGCTGAAACCAAAACAGGTTTTAGTTGTCAATGAACGCTGATATTATTAAGGGGAAAAACCCAAAAGCAGGAAAATGTGTAGGAAAATTGCGCGACGTTAAAAATATACGGCTGTGTCAACACATACTGATTTTTATTATTTTCTTTTCTTTTCTCACGCGCGGCGTACAGTGCCGAGACGTTTCTGTCTAAATAGATGGATGTATTCGCAAACGGGACTGGAACTCGCGACCATTGATAACCATTCCGTTAACATTGCTATAAGTTTTGCGATAACAAACTTTAGCTGTGCATATTTAAATAAAACACTTTAACGGTTTAAAACGCGATATATTAGTTTAACTTATTTGACAATTATTTTTAACTTCGGCCCGACCTTTCAGATGCTTTGCACGCTGTTTAAATGTGTACTACTCGCGTAAACTACAGACAGTGTTTAGCTGTGCATATTTCTGTTCACTTTTGAATAGACGTCGGTTATACAAAAAATATATATTTTTATTGGAAACAGAAACAGTTGTTATGAACACTTTCTGCGATACGATCCTGATAGTAGAACCTAATAAGTTCATTTCAACCTAGTAACTCAAGGCATATTTTGACAGACATGTTCATTAAATACAACAATTTTTAACTGAGATACTGTCTATAGTTTACGCGAGTAGTACACATTTAAATAAAACACTGTAACGGTTTCAAACGCGATATATTAGTTAAACTTATTTGAAAATGATTTTTAACTTCGGCCCGGCGTTTCATTTCCAAATAAGTTTAATTAATATATCGCGTTTTAAACCGTTAAAGTGTTTTATTTAAATTTTTAACTGCTAAAACGCGAACCTCATCATCGTTTTTAACGACCAATATTTCAATAAACAGCAGCCGTGGTCATTAAACTGTACCTCGCTTTAAACAGTCAAAGTAGTTTTATTTAATATAGGCAAATGATTTATACAATTACATGAATTTGAAGTAACAAATAGGACCGCAAAGTTACTGTAAAGTTCTAACTTTAGTTAGATTGGCAGTCGCCTGCCACACTCATACAGCATAAGCCCACCAACCAAAATATGGAGAAGAGTGGTGGATCTCGCCCTTTACATAAATAAAAGGATGCCTTATGCCCAGCAGTCAGAACGTAGTAGATTAAAGCAACAATCTATACCAATATTATAAAGTAAAAAGTTTGTTTGTTTGAATGTGCTAATCTCAGAAAGTACTCGTTCAAATTGATTTTTTGTGTTGAATGGAACATTTATGAGTAAGGCTTTAGGCGAAACTTTTAAAGAACGAGAAAAATTATTCATCTTTAAGGGCTTCCATTACGTGCTCTGGGAAAACGGTTTAAGTTCTTTACACAGTACATCTATCTTTCAAGATTAACTTGCAAGAACAACGCGACGGAACGCGGACGACGTCGTGGGTAACAGCTAGTGTCACATAAAACTTGATTAATCCGCACGCCCTCGTGAGTGCTTCTGTAAACACTGCGACGGCAAAATGCAGTGACGTCAGTAACAATCAATACTGGACTTGAGATAAAAACACAATATGGTTTTATATGGCAACAAATAACCTAGACTAAGAGCCGGCGGCGTTTTATGTAAACATTAAAATGTAAAAGATTTAGATAGCCTTTTCGGGACCGAGGGTTTATTTTTAATTTCCAAAATTCCAATAATTAACAGGCTTAGTTGGGCTATGTCAAAGTCAAAAATCATTTATTCGCGTAGGTAACTACACTTATAAACGTCAAACGAAAAACCAAGGACACAAAATGTACATTTAGCTAAGTTTCAACAAGGGCGTAGAAGGTTAAAAAGAAAAACTTTGATTTAGTGACCATTAAAATGGCAACTATATTTAATTAATATATAATTATACAGATAATAATAATAAGTGTTGTCTCTACACAAGCACATTTGAATAAAATACTTTCAGCGATTGTGGATACACGTATATAAACGGACCCCGGGGTATCTCCAGTGACCGCGGCCGTTTGCAAAGCATTCAAAAAGTCGGCCGTAGTTAAAATAAATTCTCACTAAGTTGACGCATTTCGCGTTTTCACCGTTAAAGTGTTTTATTTCAATAAAAAGATATATAAATAAAACTGTAGGGCACAGAAGTCTGATCGACTACTTGCCTGTTAAAGAACGTTAAAGACACAGAAATGTGTTCGCCCCACGCCCCACGAGGGGGAAACGGGATGTCACACAAATAAAACTATTAGGTGAAGTTCATTAAAGATGTTAATTTTACAGACGCTGGGGTAACCTATAAGCATGTGACTTGGCAGGGCACATGTATCTATATACACTACAAAATGTATTAAAACAATTGACAGATTAATATCTGTCAATTTCTTTTTCTAGAATTTTTTTCTTTCTAGAGAGCTGTTAGTATTATGAGGGTATTGTCCAGTCGGTCTTTTATGTCTGTACATCAGTTATATTTTATACGCTTGTGCTAGTCAATTATCGGTTAACTTATATTAATAGTCAACTTACTAGCCATTACTAAGTTGACGCTAGTTTTTATTTGAGGTCGTTGGTCTATGTAACGGACAATGGATTCGATACCGACCCGGTCCAATATATTTCGCCTGCATCCATCGGGTTCTAAAATAAGCAGTAGTAATATTAAAACTCCATTCAAGTGCACCAATAGAGAAACTGTACAGTTTTATAGATAGTGAAGGTTATTTTTTGACACCTTGTTATGCATAAAAAAAGCTTGTTTTCCGCTGATACATGGTGAGAACATGTCAAAAGTTAAAGCCCGATTCCCCCTGGTGGGGCATGGGGCGAACACATTTCTGTGTCCGTGTCACTGATCCGTTCTTTTAACGGGGAAGTAGTTGATCAGAGTTCTGTGCCCTGCCCGACTGAAACATTTGTATGATTCCCTGGGATTCGAGCCCAGGGCCTCTCGCGTTTGATGCAATGCTATGTATTACGTTTAATCAATTGGCTACAGAGGCGGTCGAACATAGTTCTCTATTATTTGGTCAGATTTCTGGTCTGCCCGACTGAAATGTTCGAACGACTGAAAACTAGTAATATTCGTAAATTTCATCTTTGAAAACATTAATATTGTTTACATGAAGGCACCATATAATTTAAAATTCGAAAATAAATTGAAAAAATTTTCGACTCGGGCAGGACTTGAACCGGCATCGTCAGCGTACCATGCTGTTGCTCTACCAATTAATACTTACCAATAATTACCTTAATACGCAAGTGTTAAGGTTGAAATTACATTGCGCGATAGGTAAGACCCGGTAGCTCAATTGGTAGAGCAACAGCACGGAACGCTGTCGATGCCGGTTCAAGTCCTGCCCGAGTCGAAATTTTTTTCAATTTATTTTCGAATTTTAAATTTCATCTTTCTTAAGAATTAATGATCACTTTAATACAGAGTGCTAATATAACCTAAAATCTAGTCATCAATATGTACTTATGAATAAATTAAGCTACTTAAAACGGTAAACCATAAATACACGCAGAACAATAATGATACAGAACTAAGTAGATATTATACGCGCTGAAAAATCTTTGTATTCATGAGTCATGTTTTGTTGGAAATGCAAATTTACTAACGGTCTGTGAACTGCAGATCATTGTTCAACGGAACGTCCATTGTAAATGGTCTCTACGCTATTCTCCAACAATTAAAGTAGTTAGTTTCCAGATAAAAATAATTATATAAATCAAAGAAATTTTCCAACAAGCATTGTACATAAATACAATTGTTAACCTGTTATGTATAGTGAATAAGACTTTTAAACGGTTTAAAACGAAATATAATTGTTAAATTTATTTTTAACGACGTTTCAGATGAAGGATAAAAAAATTGGCTCATTTAAAATTTCTTTGGCATACTACTTTAATACTGAAATAATTATTTTAAATTACTACCAGGCAATTTGAGCACAATAAACTTACAGTAAAATACTTTATTGAATTGAATTGCATCGAACCCGGAACAGCTTGGATCGCCCGGTAAATAAATAAATAATGTTTTTTTTTTTTAATTGTTCTCGAAAAGCTTTTCACTATATAGGTATCAGATCGCGCCCAAAAAAGCTATCGATTTATAATCAAATTGCGGACCAGCCCGAACGACCTTGACTTTGTCCACTCCATGAACACTTACACGTGCAAGCGAAAATCGACTTTATATGACGGACCTATAACGATACAAATTTTCCATTTTACCATGTAACACCTATTAGGTACAACGGCCGCGCTTTTGTGTCCGTTGCTTCAATTTTACTTAAGATACATGCGACTTTGAACTCGC